CTCGTCGAAGGTCGTATGTCGTGTAGTGTACCTGTGTAAATTGAGAATCATATCCTAGCAAAGCTTATAATATACGTAATATGTACCTGCATTGTTTGGACTGAGTATATCCTGTTGTCCGGGATGACAACCGAATTACGCTCGTCATCCATGAACACATGATTGCAATAACTAACATCCAACTTTCGAAGTTGATATAGTATGTGGTCTTTTAGTTTTGGTATGAATCCCTATGAGTTATCATGAATACGATGAACGTCGAGAAGAGGGGCACTTACCGCTACAGCTGGATCAATATCGTGTTGGCGAAGAAAATCTGAAAATATCTAATGGATTGTTGCGACTGAGCTTGGGTATGTAGTGATGACATTCGAGTCCCACAGGCAAGTCAATCGCTGCATCCTGGTTAGCGTACAAATTTTGACCTGATTCTGCTGTGCGTCGAAGGACGCGACGATGACGTTCATGCCTAGTGAGTTGAGCTGAAGTGTCTAATTTGTTGGTCAAAGGATAGAAAGCTTTCAGTGCCCTATGGGCCAACTCTCCCTGTTACAAAATCAAGTTAGTTCAGGAAATATGATAGAGATTCACGTACGATTTGTGTGGTAAAGGAGTCTGTTGTCCCAAAGAGTTGGATTGATCGCATGTAGTCCCCCATGGCATGAAATTTATAAGTATTTAAATTGAATTTCTTAGCCTTTCGGCCACCGTCGCCAACGTTCGGATTGTGGAGACCTGAACCTTCACGTGCAGCCTTGCGCTCTCGAGCAGCCTTTTCTTTCGGCAGCTCCGCTGTATTGAAAGCAACGCACGTGAAATCGCGAAACTTGCGCAACTGACGCGAGAGCTTCTTAAAAGTCTCTTCCAGTGCCGATAAGGTAGTCTCAGAGTGCACCCTCAATTTTGCAAGGGCGTGCCAGTGCGCAACCTATACAGAAGTGACCGAATAATTATATCATGGTCTTCAGGGAAAAGCCCTTCAAAGACAGGTATAGCACACTATGATAGATATCAATGTCGTACTATAATGCATAAAGTGAAAAAAAAACACTAACCTGCAGGATATCTTCAAAATCTCGTGCTGCAAGCTTTTTCATTTCTGACGTGTTATTCGTAAATTTCCGAATAACGCCGTTACCATATGATGGGACCTGGCGAAATCTAAGCCACATATCATCAATTTCATAACAAGGAGAAAAAAAATAACGGACCTATTATCGAGACGTGCAACCAGGCTGTTGCCGCCAGGAAGCGCATAAAGGAGACGGATGAGATGTGTAAATAATGCCTTCCATGTGCCCAGCTCGCACTCGTGCATCAAATCAACAGTGAGCATGCGAAAAGCATTGAATCCTACTAGTAGGCCAAGTTTATCTACAAACACATTCTCATAGAAAATTGGAAACCGATCAATATATTATATTACAAAGTTAGTCTCACCATGGTTGGCACCCATGACCCTTGGCCAAGGGTCGCCTGGACTTTAGAGCTGTCGACAGTATTTCCCCATCTATATATGAATTCGCGGGCTTTGGTCACCTTCGCAAGAGAGTAAGCTCTGAGACTTGTTACGCGATCTCGCATGTCTCTGAGGAGGCCCAAAAGATCAAACAAAGCTTTCGGGATCAGGCAGCGTGGACATGGGCAAGAGCCCATGTCTTTGATTGTTGCGATCAAAACCCTGAAATGATGATGAAGACTTTAACAAGGGACGAAGATGAAGAAATATAGCATACTTTTCAGGGTAATTGGCCGAATAAGTAAAGATGCATGGAAAGACTCGTCGTAATATTCCATCCGGACACATGAGCACAATTCCATGACGGTATGCGCAAATAAACTCAGCATCGAGCAAGATGTTCCAACATGCATGGAATAACTCTCGTCGACAATGCGTCTGTAGGGCCGCGACGCCGGTTTTTGATACGCGAGATAGAGTGCTCAAAATGTCCTTAATGCGATCCGGAAGCTGAAAAAATAGTAAATGTCAGGTACAGCGACACAGGAGATAATTGACATACCAAGGGTAAGAATCCTATGAGATGACATGCACCAGACGTGGGTGATGAGCGTGCGTACTTGCTAAGATTTCCGAAGTATAGGTACAAAGGCCAGGCCTTAGCTGTTCCGAAGTTTGCAAGGTGAGTTGCATCGGAAAAAAACATGAGCCCCGCAATAACACGTTCGAGCGAGCAGCCAGGTTCTTTTGGCTGCCTCTGCAAGTCATCCTGAGCTTCTAGCCAGGTGTCAGAGGTATAGAGCTCGTCGAACATGCGCTCCTCGTGATTGTCGAGGGAATCCTTCCACAAGCGCTTGAAAGGAAAAAGGTGGAAAGCGTTGGCTTGAATGTCGGCGAACGCAGAACGTATGACTGCTACAAGCAGCCGAAAGTGGAATCCTGGAACGCTAAACGATTGAGGCTGATCGTCCTTCGACTTTGTAGGAATGTCAATGGTAACATCTGTCTCGACCCAATCATCAGGAAAAATAGCAGTCTTCTTGCTCGTATCATTGTCTAGTGTGCGCAGACACCTCCTGACTGAAACCCCGACCAGGTCCTTTACATTGAAGTCAATTGCTTGCATCACATCTTTAACAAGCCGGGTTACTTCCCCCTGCAACTTCTGGTGACTCCCGGAGTTCATCCATGTAATGAGACGATATGTGGACATATTCAGGAAGGGGTACAGTGGCAGTTTAGAAACCCCGCGAGACGGGTCGGTTCCTTGAGTATCGTGTAATTCGATAGGTATGGGAGATGAATCGGCTAACAGCACAGATGGAACAAACTTATTGGGTTCAAATGATGGGCGCCGAGGATATCATCGAGAGAGTCCAAAGGCGTTACACACTGTTTGGAGTGTATCACGTAGCGTTAGTAGGACTCTTCGGATTCTATGCTGCGGGGGATTTCAAGTTTTCGGTCACCAGAGACGGGCCGGCCCCAGCAACATTTGAAGGATTGATATCCTCATCATCAGGTAGTAGATCGTCGAAATTCCTTGGAACTAATGTGCGTCAAGACAGATGTTGACGGGGGTCTGCTAACGATCCATGAATACTAGTACATCAGCGATAAAAATTATGAAGGTGCATACCTGGAACATCATGGCATCCTTTGGCAACATCCTCCTCCATTGCAAAATCTGATTCCTGTAACATAAAACCTGATGCACCAATATGAACGTTACTGGCCTGAGTGTCTAGATTGATCTGCTCAGGTAGTTGATCCTCAGGCTTGGGACCAGTCACAGTGAACGCAGGTGTTGTGCAATGCGCTATGGGTTTTGAACGACAGTCCTTTGGGAACCTTATTGGCTCAAGCAGCCATGTCTGATACATGGGTTTACATAGCAGTTCTCAAAGGACATTGAACTTACTTACAGTGGTATTGCCATGACTAGTACTAGCCTGAGGCTGCGGTTGGCCCAGGTGTGAGGTTAATTTGCGTGATACTTGGATTGAATTTTTTGCCCGCTCCCGCCTTTTCTCGGTTGCCAATGTGCTTGCTTTTTGATAGAACCTGCACGTAGCCCGATGCCTGGAAAGTCCACGAGAATTCGTATCTTTTGCCCAGGAGCAACCCAGGCCCGTTGCCATATTGTTGCTGCAGCATAAGATCATGGAAAGGATCAATACGAGACACAAACCGACCCAGAGCGGTCAAGAGATATACATTCAATGCTCAAGTGACTACAGGCAGAGCCTGAGCAGGAATTCTAAGAGACTGAGACCTTCGACGATTTCAGAATGACTTGGACTCTCTGACTCGGAATCAGACAGGTATGACTTAATTATTAACAAACAGGTCAAAGCTGAACTCCGTCGTCACCTCGAACTTGAGAGGAAATTTTCCTTTAATGGCACATTTGAAATGCCGCATAGCTCCGATTGAATGAGCATACAGTAACATTGATAATGGTATCATGATGGTATACTACATCTTCCATACTGAATCTTTGAACATTTGAACATGTTGGAACAAGTAACACTCTCCTCTACCGTTTCCGACACGACTCCTTCGTCATCTCCATCAGAATTGTCTGGGCTAACTTCCCCTCGACATTTCCGCGCTGAGCATAGAGAATTCAAGAAAGAAGGTACAACAGGCCCGAAGAGAGATACAATCATATTTGGTGTGTGACGACATCTCCTTACCTAGTAAGATGCCAGGAGCAAATACTCATTAGGATGTGTAAGATGACCCTGGATGAAATCGATATTGAGGCAGACGAAGAGCAAACCGAGATTTTCACTTGGTACACCATTGACGCGGTTTGTGCAAGTTACGCTGCAGCGCGAAACCGAGTACGCCAGTATACTCAACTTGCCAAGATATATCAACAAGAGGCAGATGATTGGGCTATCAAACTTGAGAGGGCCAGTTATGTTATGCCAGACTACAAGCCCGTGTGGTGGATGTCGTGCTTGAGCTAGGTAGGGCTATCAATATCACAAGCCTTTGCCCTGGGTGACCGGTTAGAATCTTGAGCTTCTTGATATAGGTTTATTCGCTGAATGTGATTGTACAAGCCAGCCATCAATATTTATGACATTATCGTACGCCTATTCCCAAATTGTGTTAGGTACTAGTATGTAGTACTAGGTCACAGTGCCATACGAGCACTGCAATTCTATGTTACCGTGACCAGTGATTGCCATGTATTTATCAGATGTGACCTTCAAGTTCTGAACTTGACCTTCAAACCCCAGTCTTATTGCGTCCCCTACTTTTTACTAGTACTCCGAGTCAACGCTCACAACTTGAACGACTTGGTTTTTCCGGCCAGTACTAAGTCACGGTCACGGTATTACTCGTCCGAGTCCTCAGTGAGGCTACTACTAGTAGTTGTTGAGAATGTTAGCGACGATCTCAAAGTCAATGTAGGAACTCGTGCTGACTCGAATGCAGTCGAATATGATCCCTGTAAGCATGAAATATTTTCATGACCCAACCGCAATATTGACCAGAACGACATTTCAGCCTTCGACGAGGTCGTCAAAATGCTTGAACTTTCGCAGCGAGACGATGGATGCAGTCTTGTTGACATAGACGGTGGTAAGTCGTTTGTCTCAAGTTCAAGTTGGGGTTTATAACCCGATCGGAACCGAATAGTCATCTACGACGTGCTTAACAATGCTACAATTAGCGTCCTCGGAAGCGCGACGACTGCAATGTTGCCAGAGCTACTGCTAGTATGTATTTCCTTCTCGGTTATTAGTTCACATATTGAACTATTTCTTAGCGGTCAGGAATGTTGTGAACAAGGCCAGAGTCGACGCTCTCACCCCCAGGTCCAAACGCCATGAGGAGAAGTGTTACTCGTTTGATCAAATCGAAGTGAGTGCGTCATTATTGTACTCACTTCGTATTCCCCACTCATAATTGTGTTACAGTCGTCACTAGCGCATATAACAAGAAGAACAGTGCGGTGACTGACAAATGCGATGACGCCGGTGTCTGCATGATCATGGAAAGGGTCCTCAACAACGTCCATTCCGATGACCTTACGCCATCTAAGCGCGGGTACTTACACTATTTCCCAAGTTGCCACTGGTATGACATGTGTCATTTCTTTCACCGCCGGATTCTAACTGTACATTGTAGCAACCAAGGATGTCCTCGATGCCAATGGCGTGGTGTCAAAACACTCAGACAATGTCGACGATCTTGTCGAACCGATTCTTGACGAGTTATCTGCTCGAGCTGCCAAGCGCACTGATGACATCAATGTCCCTGCCAGTAAGTACCGTCATGGCCGTAAAGTGACCACGTCCTAAACCATCAAATTCAGTTGCCGAAAACGATGTCTAGAACATGTCGCCTAAATGATTCAGCCATTTCAAAGCGGCATTTCATACCCGACAGCCGCGCACATACCTCGTTCTTTGTTTACCACTGTTACTCGAATACCCTAATGCAAACTCTTCCCTCGTTTTTATACCTAGACGAAGTTTAATGTCCAAGGCCAGACAAGTGAGATGTTGTCTTCAACATGGCGCCAATGGCCAGTCTACCTATGATCGTGACGCGCTCTATTTAATGGCACCCTTTCACTCCTGCACATTTAAATGATATTTCTCCATTTTGATATCACTCCTACCCCGCCAGCATGGCACAATAAATGTCAGCCGGGGTAGTGCTCATGATTGCTGTTAACTTTACAGAACTGGAGCAGCTTCACCCACAGGTCACAGTAACAATTGAGACTCAAACTTCCCTTTCCAGAGTACGACATTGGCATAACCTCTGCAATTTGGGACAATGATAAAGGAAGAGGGCATGACAGCAAACCGTCCGCAATGCATGTTCAAGGTGAAAAGATTGCTTGTGTGCCCTAATCTTCGTTCAGTATTCGACTTATTCAAGGGAGCCTTCCTGGTCATCACTCTTAACTCAAAACAGACCTTATAGCACGATATATCGACTTGACAACATATATGTGTATCAGCGCAGTCACTAGAGATTAGGCGGCGGCAGGGGCATGTCACAATCCTTTCATGAACTGCCGGAGGTATCTATATATGCTGACCAGTGCTAAAAGCGACTGTTCTTCAGAATGTCTTGAAGCAAGAAACATACACAGGTGTGAGTGACAATGCTCGACAACAGTGATATGAGTGCGCTCTCGTTCCTGACTCACTGTGATGGCGATGTGTCACAATTCTTTCATGAACTGCCAGAGGTATCTATATATGCTGACCAGTGCTAAAAGCGACTGTTTTTCAGAATGTCTTGAAGCAAGAAACATACACAAGTGTGAGTGACAATGCTCAACAACGGTGATACGAGTGCGCTCTCGTTCCTGACTCACTGCGATGGCGATGTGTCACAATTCTTTCATGAACTGCCAGAGGTATCTATATATGCTGACCAGTGCTAAAAGCAACTGTTCTTCAGAATGTCTTGAATCAAGAAACATACACGAGTGTGAGTGATAATGCTCGACAACGGTGATACGAGTGCACTCCTGTTCCTGACTCACTGCGATGGCAACATATCATAATTTTTTCGTGAAACACCAGAGGCATATATGTACTTTAATCAGTGGTAATGCGACTGTTGTTCAGAATGTCTTGAATGATCTCGCAATACAGAATATGAACAAGTGTAAGTGATAATGCCCAACTACATTGGCACAAATGCGCTCCCGTTCCTGGTTCACTACGATGGCAACATATCATAATTTTTTCACGAAATGCCAGAGGCATATATGTACTTTGATCAGTGGTAATGCGACTGTTGTTTAGAATGTCTTGAATGATCTCGCAATCCAGAATATGAACAAGTGTAAGTGGTAATGCCCAACCACATTGGCATGAATGCGCTCCTGTTCCTGGCTCACTGCAGTGGCGACGAGTCACAAATTTGTCGCAAACTCCTCCTCCTTCTCTGTATTAGTAACTATCCATGGCTATGTGGGATTAAGCCAAATTTCTCAGAGTATATATCGTGATATTTAGCAGGAGCAGAATTAGATCCGTCTACAATTGCCATGGCTACAATGCCAAGAACTCATGGGTTCACTGATGATGTCGCTCAAAATGAATTCTAAACACTTTGAAAGCTTTAACCCCAGTGAAAATCGACAAGAATGAGGTAGATACGTGCCGATAGATGTCTAAGTACAAAATGAGATGGATACAAATCTAAGAAATTTGAGAAGGCAAAACTCTAATTTTGTGCAAACGCAAAGAATCTTTCCAAAGGTGAAAAGATGCAAACATGTCGGACTTTGATTGCGTAGTTTGCAACTTTGCGACAAATTTTGCACCTGCATGCATTCAATGCACGTGTGTATTTTGCACAAGTCCATAACTGTATTTGCATTAATGATGTTTATTGGAGTCCTAGTACAGTTGAACCACTCGCATCTTCTCATCTGCCCACCATGTCATTCGCCCCCGCTGCGACACCGAGTCCAGCTCGATATGACCATTCCCTTGTGTTGCTAGCACAACACGACAATCGCAAGCCCGGGGCGGCGAGCAGTTGTTTCGCTTAATGTGACTGCCAGTGTTGTCTTTGAGGAGAGGAACTCGGTCCTTGCTAGTTCTTCGTGCCTCTCCCTTATGTTTCCTTGGTCACTGGTCTTTCTATCACACTGATCAATCTCTCTACTTCACTCACTCAAACCAATCTCGTCTTCCACCCTTCATTAACCAGTCACGGTAGCATCACGCACACGAAATCTATTCGTTTTCGAATCATCAAACTAATCTACAGCAGCCCTTCGCTCTCTCATCCTTCTCATCCCTTACCTCCCCTGATTGACCTAGTAGTGAGCTGGACTTGTTTCATGGATTGTCATGAATGACAATCCCGTCTACTGGACTTATTGCTGGTGCGCTCCTGATGACATCGACACGACACCTGAAACCCACGAGTCCTCCATCGAGATCCCAGATACATTGGCCACCTCCCCCTCTAATCCTCTGAAACGAGCTGTATCTCCTGATGTCGAAGTTCAACCAATACCAGCACCGAAAAAAAAGCGAACTGGCAGTACTACGAGTGGCCTCCCAGACTCACCTTCACCACTCTCCATCAGTTCGAGATTCCCTGTATTGAATCTCATGATCAAGAGAATGAGGTAAGTGCCATATTTTTCGTACTATTTTATTGAATAAGTCACTGGCAGGTAATGAGGCGACCAGACTCACCCTGCAGGCTCGGACGTTCTGTGGCACCTGCCATCTGAATGTGGATCAGCACCAGCGCTATCGCCGCTATGTAGTACCGACAAAGGAAACGCTAAGGAAACGGCCAACATAGAGGTGAGTCAAATGTGCACCTCGCATTGCATCAATTTGGTACTAACTTCAACTGCGCTCGCTAGATAAAAAATCCACTGTAAGTTTTAGATGTCTAGATACTTGGTCACCAGCGTGAACCGGCTGCATTCGCACTCTACTGGAACAATCTGTCTACCAGTATCAAGGAGGTACATGCTACATCGGGGAGAACCTCCCGCGCTAATGCAGTACAACAGGAATACAAACGAAAGGCCACGGCGCAGGTGAGTGTCGTCGTGCCTACTGGTTCTATTGGCCACTGTACTAACTGGTTCTTCCACTACTACAGGTCAGCTCTTCTTCGACGCTCCAAGGCAAGGACAGCGAGAATGAGCACCATGACTAGCGGCAGGATCCTGGTGGATGTGTGCATGATAGCATTGGCATCGGGATGGTGGGATGGCGGGAGGAGCAACCCCACTATTATAGTACCTGCCTAATACCAGTAATTCACAGTGATACCCATCTACAATTCATTCAATAGCATTAGATCTGTATTGATACCATTTTCCGGGCCAAATCAAACCATTTTGACCTATCTCAAGATCTAAATTTCCTTTCGACTTCTATCTTTTCTTGTCTCGAAAAGTGCCGTTTTTTCGAAAGACCTCGAAACACGACGATAATATCTATAGGCTTTATTTTCTTTGATATATATCGACACGTATCTACCTCTTTCTTGTCGATTTTCACTGGGCTTTAACCTTGAATTGAATATGCAAATGCACAACGTTGGTACGAGTCACATGTGAAATAGGAATTGACAAGGACTCGGACGTGTCACCGCGGTGTGGCTGTTTAGGATCACTACGATAGTAAGTGAGAGTTTCTCGCTTCATTCACCTGGATTTGGATTGCTAAGTAGTCTGACAATTGCTGACAGTAAAATCATATTCCATGTGCGAGCGATTAAATATGTTGGTGACGAGATTATGTGTGCCGTGCGGACATCAGTGAACCGAGGGAAACCCGAGAAGGACATATATTACCTATCTAAAAGTCTTATAGTACTTGAAACATAAGGAAAGAAAAATAGGAACACTCAGAAAACGTACCCACTTGACGCTACAGGCAGCAATGATGCAATGTCACAACATTGTCACAATCTCGCAGATTTGATGACCAATGTGAACACCAAGAAAGCCTTGAATAGTCATGTAATTTACAGCATAAATGAGAATGGCTTGTGCTACCGTGTCTTGCCGGTCATCCCGCTACGACGTCACAACCTTATCATAAACTCCTCGCGATAATCTAAATTTGCAGACATTAATCGCTATGTAACAACAACTCAGTTCATTGTGGTAGAAAATTGTATCCTTCGATAGTTCTCACGGTTACAATAACACGGACTCATGGATTCACTGATGGACTCGCCAGACAGTCAGGTAAAAAGCCATTGATCAGATGACACACTGATGGGCGCAGGATTGTACGGAATGTCTTGATGAGCTGGCGAGCCTCTACAATTTGAGGGTCAGTTGCTGACGTCGGCGTGGTCTTCCCATATGTAACTTTCATGATCGTCGTTGCAGCATAACTTCCAAAATCTCGTAAGTAACACACTGTCAGACCCCACGTACTGCATGCAGAGACGCTCACACGTGAAACAGGATCTGCGTCACCGTCACTACTAACTAGGTTTGGGATGCACGGAACTCCGAGTCACGGCCCGGGTATGTCGGGTTCCTCACTTCACATCGGTGTATTGTATATACGTATTCAATGTATTGCAAACTGGAAGCTTAAGGCAGACAAATCAAAATAATGCACGAAACGGAAAGGCCCGAGTGAGTGAGTCTGCAAGATTGCAAGTGAGTTTGACAATCGAGCTTGTAACGGTATAAAAGCAGCATTCCTCGAATCGCAGTACACTCAGCACCCCAGTAAAGCTCCAACAATCACTTCGCTGTGAGATCTAGCAATCATGAAAGGACTTTTGTCACTTGTTCTCGTCTCCATCGCTCTCCTGCAGACGGCAGCAGCAGCACCCACTGTGTCAGAGCGCTCCCAAGGTATTTGCACCGACATTGTTTTCGCATGTTTTACTCACCTTACTATTGTAGCCGTCAAAAAGAGCGAGGGCGAGCAGAGTATGTCTCTACTTGTCTGTACTGGTATCTGCACCCGTCTCACAAGAATATTGACGACATAGATGTCGGGAAGCGCAGCTACATCTCCTTCCAGAGTACGTTTTGATTCCTCCGTATTCTCGTGTCCTGTCTAACGAGAGAGATGCATAGATAACCCTCCTGAAGATGATGAAGGTAATTATCCAGTGCTAGTGTCGCTCTGTTCTAACACGAAACGCGTCGCGGTGTAGTCCTTACAGGTACCACTGAGACCGAGACTGAAGGTAGTTACTTCGCGCTGACCTTCTTCTGAAGAGTTATACTAATCTGTTGATGACACAGATATCGAGAAGCGCGCCATGGGCCGGGTGGCGGCCTGTACGTTTCTATTTCTCTGTATTCTCGCGTCCTGTCTAACGAGAGATACATAGATAGGCCTCCTGTAGATGATGAAGAATGACGTCGAGGAAGGTAATTATCTAATGCTGGTCTTGTTTTTGAGTTTTTTTACTTACTCACTCTGTTAAACACGCAGTTCTTGACAACACCGAAGGTATGTCTTGAGTATTGAGTTTCGACTCTTTCTAGAATCATTCTAGCCTCAGATTATAGAAGCGCTATGACGTCTCCGAGAACGCTGGCAGTTGTCTGGGTCGTCCTCCGGAAGTCCAAGTATTGCAGATCATTAAAGCTGTCATGGCACAATAACTCCCGATGTTTTTATCTATGTATTACAGTGTACTGTGCTCGTTTGTGGTGAATATATTCTTGAAGTTCCGAGGACATCTTCGATCCCTTTACCACAAAGATTCTTTCGGGGTAACAATTAATTCCAAGTCATGCTTGAAACTACTGGATGCGTTGTTTTTTTTGTCCGTTGGGGCGTGGCCCTATAGTAGACAATACCTACAACATATAGCTAAATGTATGTAAATGTATAACGTGTCTACTGGGGCCTGTTCTAATGGTTCAGGCAAAGATGCGAGAACGGAGACGCCAACTGAAGATGAGTGACAATAATGGCAACGGGGTGGCGGTTGAACGTTGATTGGTAGTACTTGTTCAAGAAATTTTTGATAAGTGTTCAATTTATCTCTGGCCGCGTCAAGGATGTTTTCAAAAACAGTATCGCATGTAACTGGCTCATCGACTTGTGTCTCGCATGCGATCGACGAAAAAGACTGTTTGATCGCCAGCTGTCTCATTCTTCAGTGTCTGTTGCGCACCTGTGGTTCTGCGTAGACGCAGCAGGGGCACAAATTGACGTTCACATTCAACCGGAAGCTGTACAGATGCGAATTCATGCAAGAGATCCGAGACAGACTTCGCTAAGAAGGATGCACGTAGGTCAAGGAAGTGACAGTAAATAGCGACGAGAAAGTTAGATTTCGTGCGACGAGCGACATATAGACCGGGAACACGTGAGAGGGACTGAGATAAAGGCAAAGCCAATAAACTATCCAGGTGGGATCAGATGATGTCTTCACTGGAATAGAACCAAGGGGGATATCGCTCCAAGAAGTGCAAAAAAGAGACATCTTTGCACGAACCAAGAGAGAGTCGGCGGTTAATGGAACAGTGACAATAACCAGCGCCCTCAAAATCAGCCAGCGACAGTGAAACAGACACGTCATAGTGAGTCACTACAATGGCAAACGAAATACAACCCGTGAACACAAGTCCACGCACTAAGCACGAGCGACGATGGGACACTAGACACTTCAGAAGCCAAGCACAGAAAGTCTGAGGTGTGGCAAACATCGCAGGATGGTATTGAAGATCATAATAAAGAGCACCATAGTATTCAGGGTAATCACATATGTCGTGATCAGCGGAAGGAGGGCAGATGCCCTCCTTCCACCACACGGGGCACGCACGAGGGCGCTTTGATCAAAAATGACCTGCAGCACAAAAGGTAAAGGATTCAGGAGGCATTGGCACCGGAGACGAAATACTGACATGGAGGTGAGCGGTAAAAAAAAACCCACTTATTAAGGGGTAGAGATTTCTGATCGTGTCTTGGACAACAGAAGGTATGGGAGGGAGACGGAAAGGAGACGGAAAACTTGGATGAACTTGAAAGTGACGAGTGAAAAACCTTACGAAGGTTCAGATGTTTTAGATGCCGAGTCCCGACAGATCCAAAATCGTTCCCACAGAATTTTTGGTAGAGAAAATGATATTTGCTGCAGTCAGAAGTTAGAAAATTCAAAACCCTCCCCCACTTAGTGGCAGCAAGTGCAATTTAGCTAGTTTTATCTATATAGTACTAATCGTACCTATGGTGGTACTACTAATGACTACACAATCTAATATACCAGTTTAATTTGGTACGGTAACTGGACTACAGGACAGTAATGATGAAACCAATAGCCAATACCAAAACCCGCATGGCGCAAACCCACAAGTCATCCATTCCCTCAGAGCTGGGGTTATTGAAATCAGTGGGATGGCCATCGGCTTCAGTATGGACGAAGGCTAGGGTTTAATTCTATGCACAGGTTTCAAGTTGCTAAACTGCAGTTCAAACATTCGTGTCTTACTCAATTGCACGTCTGGCACATAACTGATCGAACTAAATATTGTCTATGCATCAACCGCATGTATGAGAACCCCATCGATCCTACTACACTAAATATCTAAAACCAACGGTGCCACTAAGAGCCCCGTCATCCCTCCCATTCCGCTCCTCCCTCGCGATGTGTTTATTCAAACGTTTCAGGTGGAGATGCATCACACCAAGCATGCCCGTTGAAACACTAATCGTCGCGATGCAGGCAGCATAGGAATACCGATATGTCGGGCCCCATTGAGTCTGCCAGACGTACCTATAAAATATATGCAATTGTGAATGATGAGTGAACGTCAGAGGATCAAATATCACTAACGATCCCGAAATATTTCCTATTGACCCCAGTCCGTTGATTATAGCAACAGCAACAGCTAGCTTCGCGGGTTCTCCAGCGAAAGTATTGTTGACCCAGCCCCAGAACACCATGTAACCAGCGTAGACTTGAGCCATCAGAAACCTGTACGTCTCTGAGTACAAGGGGCAGCGTTTATGAGCACATGATATGCCACTTACAGCGAAAAATAACGCGCGGCCGTGTTCATCGTACAGACAGATACGATGAATCCAAGAGCCGTGATTCCATTGGAAGCGGCAAAGTATATGTAACGCTTTTGCTTCTTATCAGAGTACCTGTTCGTCAGTGAGATATAACTCTCCGATAAAACTGGTTCATCCACCTCGAAAGAGCAAACGCAGCTATCGTAGATAACATCCACGGAGGAGCGCAGAGCAACAAAGATACTGTTGTGTTATATCCCATAGTTGCGCTAAGCGTCGGGAAGTAAGCGGCGAATGACTGCGCTAAAAGCTGGGCAATGTATGCGGCTGTAAACCACCACACCTTCCAGTCAGACACAGCACCCCACAGTCCTTGTACGCTCGTCTTGTCCAAAAGTTCAGCCCTACTATCACCATCTTCTGCAAGGCGAGAGATAGCAAGTGCTCTTTCCTCCGGAGAGAGCCATTTCGTGTTGTGTGGCAAATCGGGGAGTATGAACATCGCGCAAACTGCAACGAACATCGTAATGCTGCCCTCGACGTAGAATAACCATCTGCAGATCATTCAACATAAGTGAGTAAGAGAGACAGCTATTTCTCACCTCCATGCAGCTTGACCGAGTTTTCCCTGCATGCCTTGAAGTATACCAGATGCAATGAGGGATCCAAAAGCATTGCTGATCGGGATTCCACATGAAATGAGAGTTACTCTCAAGGCGAGCTCGTCTCGTTTGTACCACCGAGATATTAGATACAAACTTCCAGGGTAAAAAGGTCCCTCGGCAAAGCCAAGAAAGAAACGGGCGAGAACAGCCCCCGTATAACTTGGGTCGAACTGTCAGAAAATACATAGCATGACGCAAAGCGAGAAAGTATACTTCGTTGTAATCCCTGGGTGCCATTAGTATTCGTTTTCATGAAAAGTCGATGTCGACAAACCTGTCAATGCTGAAATTGCACCCCACACCAACATACAAGACGGAAGAAAGACAGAAGGTCTCCCTAACCAGTACAGAAACATATTTCTGAAAGAAAGAGGAAAGTCAGTTGACTTATCCCCTGATGACGGACACAACTCACGCTGGCACTTGCATAATGATGTACCCGATGAATAGGATCGACAAGATCGTGGCGTATTGTTGCCCCTGCAGGTGCAGGTCCTGTTCAAAACCTTGTAACCGTGCATTGCTGTCAACGTCATGAGATTAAAGCAAGTATGATAACAATTTACATACGAAACATTCGATCTGTCAATCTAGTCGTGGGTGCACAGTAAGCGGTGTACATACCTGAAAACCGTCAGATAACTTGAATTCAGACTCACATAGTTAAGTGTAAAGATAACCACGATTATGGACATGCGCAAATCAAGCTTCCTCAGCAACTTCCGTTCAACTTCAAGATCATCACGAGTACACGTTGCATGCTCGAGTACGCCGGGGGGCACCTTGACTCGGAAGTCGTCGCTCGCGCTAGTGGTATCACCGGTCTTGGAATCGTTGAGAACAGACATCCTTTGAAAAGATAAGAAGCGAACCTGATAACCATGCTCTTTTTATTCTCCCCCAGTCACATCGTAATAAGGAAAACCGTCGTTCCTTCCTAATAATACTTGCCTTTAACGCGCACCAAGACAGTCAGGTGAGAAGAATGTTGTATGTATCTTGCTGCACAGGTGGGCCAAGAGCTATTCGCAGTGGCCTGGTAGGGAATCATTAATCATCTGACAAGATGAGGCACCTTACGCGTGAAGGACAAGAATAACGCAAGTCTGATTATGGCATTTGCACGGCACCAGGAATTCGCCAATATACTTATCGATACATTTGCAAATCGTGTGATGGTGACAGTGGATGGACATGGTGCAAATTTTGTACCACAAAGGCGCTGTTAAACCTTTGAGCAAGCACAAAACATAGGAAAATGACGGGCCGACTGCAGAGGTCACAGGGGAGAGGTATGGAGGAGTACGACCGGATCCGAGCCCTACCACAATTAAGCAGCAAGTACGATATTTAGCTAGTTCTATATAATCGTACCAATGGTGGTACAACATATGGAAAGAGTAGTACTAGTTACTACTTCTGAATCTGATATGATATACAACCAGTAGTTTAACCTGGTACAGTAACTGAACCACAGAACAATAATGAACGCCAACACAAAAACACAAAAACCGCTATCACCTAAGTATACCCGTCTCTTCAAATCCAAATATCATGACAATCGTAATCGCTCTCTGATCAATGAGAGAGAGGCTATTCACGACAAGCTGGTCAAACTCTCCCACCAACGTCTCATCACTCTCGACACGCTCCGTGGCTGACGTGGATACACAGCAAAAGCAGCTTGCGCCGTAGTCACTTGGCACTGCGCTCCGCCTCCACTGCTCGATGCAGTTGAAGAGGGCACGGGTGTACCCGTAGTAGTTGAGCTGGAATTAGAAGATGTCGGCGACGAAGTATTTGACACCGGTGCAGCGAACGAGACAACTGGAGGCCCAGGAAACGTGTACTGCACGGGCGTGTCAAAAATCGTTGGGTCGTAAATTCCTGGATCGTCATCGCTGTACCCGCCTGGAAAAGTGACTTCATCGCTCGCTGGAGCGACGCCTGATTGGTCACCCTGAATATTAACCTGAAGAGTACGCGATTGACATGGAATTCAAGACTACGAACAAGTCATGGCTCACCTGCGTACAGCTAGGGTAGAACTCGGCACCGCCCATCTCAGTTGCGAGATGCAGCGCGATGATCTCGTGTCGTATGAGGTATTGCCCAGGAGCTAGCGTTGGAGGAAGGGTTACGTTCGATGGCCCACCATCCACTGTGCATGCAACATTCAGATAGAAAAAAATGACGTGAATGAATGAACGTACTGATATTCTGTTGATACCAAACCATATCGCCTGGCTGCAGCCCCGTCTCCTCGATCTTGAACCATTCCGCGTTCGTTGAATCATACTGATCGCACGTCGTGTTGACGCACTGAGCCATGTAAGTCATGATGGGGCCGATATCGTGGGGCCAATTGCTGCCGTCACCACCCTTCCACCAAAACTGCAACTGACTGGATGGGTTGGCGTTGGCGACAAGTGATGCGAGTTGAGCATCTTGTCCGCAATTGAGATACGAGTTGTTGGCGCCCTTCACGGGGTCGACAGTATTGATCTGTCTGACGATGCTTGGAACGGGGTTGGCATTGGGGAGATTCCCATAGTAGTCAGTGCCATCGATTGCAACTTGCGCGACATATCCATGGGCTGAGACAAGTGGTAGAAATGCAAGGAGGGATAGGGAAAACTGATACGAGCAGTAAGACATGGAACGTTGACAGTACTTCAAGGATGTCGCAGCAGGCTTGAGCGTTGAGCCTTATATCAAGAATGGAAAAGATGCGTGTCAAGGAAGGACGGCAGTTAAAAAAAATAAAGTTAGATTGATGGAAAAATGCACACAAGGGGTGACAGGGCTCGCGCACAGCGTGAGGAGAAGGCACGTCGCGGTATAGGCGGGGATGTTGTGGGGAAAAAATAAGTAAACACGATTGCGAGGACGCAACGTGGTTGGGCTTATATACGTACATACGCGTGACCATCAAACTTTCTATTGTATTCGAGGAGCTGGCCAGAATCATTAAGGACAATCGTGACTGGAGAAAGCAAAAAACGAGGCGTGGATTTCATATCAATATTAATGGTCCGAAGTGCCTCCTAGCTATATTACTTCCGTAAGATAAGATTAGATGACTGTGTTTTTTCGGTCATCCTTTACTAGTACTGCCAATGTTATGCAAGTATTCTCCAAGTTCATTGATTCAAAGATACAGCTCTGAGCTTAGCGTACAGCTAGGTATTGATTAAGACACTGCATCGAAGGATACAGTCCTGAGCCAATGATCTCATCACCGACCTCCATTCCACCTGCGAGCCTCATGTCCGCCGCATGTCCGCAGTACCTGCTGGTTCTCTTCCATCGAGTGCCGCCTTCCATACATAACGTTTTTAGCTCACAAAGACGTTCATGCATTTGATATTCTAGGTTCCGGGAACTGCCTCCATGCCACATCAACCGCTCAATTGAGAAGCAGACTGATTTCTATCACGGTGAAATTGTGCGAATCTGCTTAGCTGCAGCCACTTAATGACTCTGACAGACTGTCGCGAAGTTCGTCAGCTTTGCTCTTGGTGCTCGGTAAGACTGAGACAGTGAATAGAGTTTCATTTATAAGGTTCCATGGAAGAGTGGTAATTAGATTATGTATACTCCAAAAGGTTTCTTCGACTTACAACCACTGGAAGATAGAGAAACATTCAAATCTGCGTCCTGTAGATTGACGCCCAGTGTACCTTGTATCATTGGAACTCCCCATAACTACGGTCCCTAATAGATTTGTGGATGACCACGCGCACGATTGGTTAGTGGCGATAACTTCAGTAAGTCACTTGAACCTGTTGTCGTGGCGAGGTCGAGGGAAACAGGCACTGTGTATGCTGCGATGTCCGAGTATCGTATACCAAGCTCCATTTCCGCGCGAAGCAGCAAGCGGAGAGTTTCCAGATGCATAAATCCTAGAAAAAGTCAAATCAACGGTCGAACCACTGCAAAATACGGATATTCAACATGGAAAATGCGTGTTTCAGTTGATTCACATATTTCCAGACGCTTTTTGGTACCACAACTACAACAATAAATGTCATGATATCGTCACGATCCGCAAAAACGCTTTGGATTGACACGGGAACAAATGGGTTAAAAAACGTGCCGAGTTTTACCAGAATTATACTCACACGTAGCAGGTGTCAAAGTCGAAACGACTAGAATCACAATCGACGTTGTTGCGCAAGCGAAAAAGGCGAAAAAGTACCGTGAGCAATTGCGTTCTATCAGCGTTTTGATGGTGTCATGTGACCAAATGATGGACTGTTCATGGTAGATAGGAGGACCCCATGATGCCTGACGATAATGATGCTGATAGAGGTGATTCTGCTATCGACGGCCATTAATCGCGGAACCTTTGAGCAAGATGATAAGGAGAAACCATCTTACCAATCGTGCCAGGTATGATGTCCATCATGAGACCGTAGGTGTTCAATGGCACATCTAGTACTGCGATTATGAACAGCGTGACAAAATGCCAGGTACACTATGGCCGCCATTTGGAAAACTGAACTCTTGCAAGCATGGCAGAAGCTCAGCTAAAATGTCTTGGTTACACTCGGAGAGCGGTGCTGGTGATAAATCGGAGAGCGAAGAGGGGTGAGCAATACAGCTATCCTCCCATCTGGAAAGTCGTCGTATTCGAATGAGAACTCTGGCTCTAACGGAGTGGCCTTCATAACAACAGACGCCTGGGGTGTTCGCAGCCTATTCTTCAAGTCGTCCAGGTGAATGTACGAAGGTTTGGTCATGCTGCTCGCCCTTGCTCACCCACAGGTAAGACATTAGTATACAAGTCACTCAGACATGATAACATTCGATGGCCGCCGGGTTCGTCAGCTTGAATGGCTTGAGTGTGGGGGACTACGATGAACCATACTTGATATGAATAATTAGAGACATGGAGCTAAAGTTGTCCCGTCGAGCTCAGTTCTGCTGGTCAGCGTTCATATGTTAACCGATGCAGACTGACGCCTACTGACACGCGCTCCTACCATTTTCGATCGTCAGAATTTTGCCGCGGCCTGGTCATCGGATGACGATGACATATATTTGGCCAGATACGCGATCGTGACTTCCCTCGGAGCTCCGAGGCGTAACTCTGGAACAGAGTTTCCACCGAAGAATACAACCCTGCCATACGCGTCAGGTTGAGGTGTTTTGCCACAGTCGAGACCCTTTTGCGTGAGTGATAGGTATCAGGCACATACACCCCGCCCCAACAGGTATGAGATAATCATATACGGGTCTTAGCAAGGACTTATGTGCCGTTTAATGCTATCATGGTTGGGCAAATATAACGAACCTTTGCAGCGCCTCCAAGCCTCGAAACCTTACGCTGACTCCGACCTGAGAGCGTGACCTCCCGAAGCCCTCCCGCCACTTCCTGCTTTTAGGGAACATAAGTAAATTTGACCGCTCTCGAACGAAGGAAGACAACACACAAGATAAGGAGACATGTTTCTATGTTTTTTTATGTAAAGCTCGTCCTATTTCAACGATGGATTCTGAAACCGCAAACATGTCTAAGTCATCGTTGCTGTTCGCGAGTGTGAGGATGGGGATGATGATAGATGGTACCGGCGCAGGCTCGTGTTTTGGAACACCTGGCGATGATAATGCCGATGAGATATGGGCAGTACAATCCTCCATAACTGGAGGGAAGGCGGTTGAGGCCGGAGATGTCGATGCTGAATAAGTCGGTGATGGCGTGTCCGGTATTGTCAGCGGGTCCCGGGATAATGTAGATTTGGCAGAGGGGAAGCAGGCTTTGGCGGAGAACAGCGATGCTGGCCATACGAGGGCGTGCCAGTGGGCGCCAAGAGCGCACCTTCAATTAATTACCGGAGAAGGACGAGTGGAGTTCGGTGGAGGGCGCACGCCGCCGCATGCACTGATGAAACTTGACTTGGGAGCTAGATGAGCACGGATGGTGGGTATCTCAGCAAGCAAAGAGATAGGTAATGAACAACCCGAGTTGTAGGTTGAGTTTAGGTGGCACCTTTCGTGTAGACGGATCGTCGTTGGCGTTGACGTTGGCATTGGCGAGCGCCGGAAATTCATCCTGTCCGTGGCCAGGAGGTTTTGACGCCACTAGGTTCCTACTACTCAGGTAAGTCAGACGTTACGCTATGGTGGTGGAAAGAGTGGTACTAGTTACTATACTTCACAATCTGATATGATCTACAACCAGTATAGTCTAACCTGGTACGGTAACTGAACCACAGAACAGTAGTGAATGCAAACAGAAAACACAAAAAACGCTATCCCCCAAGTATACCCGCCTCTCCAGATCTAAATATCATGACAATTGTAATTGCTCTCTGATCGATGAGATAGAGGCTATTCACGACGGGCTGGTTCAACTCTCCCACCAACGCCCATCACTCTCGACACGCTTCGTGGCTGACATGGAAAAGCAGCTTGCTCCGTGCTCACTTGGCATTGCGCTTCGCCTGCATTACCCGATGCAGTTGAAGAGGGCACGGGTGTACCCATAGTAGTTCAGCTGGAATTCGAAGATGTCGGCGACGAAGTATTTGACACCGGTGCAGCGAACGAGACAACTGGAGGCCCAGGAAACGTGTACTGCACGGGCCTGTTAAAAACCGTTGGGTCGTAAATTCCTGGATCGTCATCGCTGTACCCGCCTGGAAAAGTGACTTCATCGCTCGCTGGGGCGACGTCCGATTGGTCACCCTGAATATTAACCTGTAGAGGATGCGATTGACATGGAATGTAAGACTACGAACAAAACATTGCTCACCTGCGTACAGCTAGGGTAGAACTGGGCGCCGCCCATCGCAACTGCGTCATGCAGCGCGATGATCTCGTGTCGTATGAGGTATTGCCCAGGAGCTAGTGTTGGAGGAAGGGTTACGTTCGCTGGCCAACCATTCACTGTACATACAACATTCAGATAGAAAAAAAAAGACATGAATGATTAGACATACTAATATTTTGCTGATACCAAACCATATTGCCTGGCTGCAGCCCCGTCTCCTCGATCTTGAACCATTCCGCGTTCGTTGAATCATACTGATCACACGTCGTGTCGACACACTGAGCCATGTAAGTCATGATGGGACCGGTATTATGGGGCCAATGGCCACCGTCACCACCGTCCCACCAAAACTGCAACTGACTGGATGGGTTAGCGTTGGCGACAAGTGATGCGAGTTGAGCATCTTGTCCACAATTGAGATATGGGTTGGAAGCGCCCATTACGGGGTCGACATCATTGATCTGTCTGATGATGCTGGGAACGGGTTTGGCATTGGGGACATTCCCGTAGTAGTTATTGCCATCGATTACAACTTGGGCGAGATATCCATGGGCTGAGACAAATGGCAAAAGTGCAAGGAAAGATAGGGAAAACTGCTGGTACGAGCAGTAAGACATGGCACGTTGACAGTACTTCCAGGATATCGCAGCGGAGGGGCTCTTATATCAAGAATGGAACAAAGATGCGCGTAAAAGTTAAAGGACGGCAAATAATGGAAAAATGCACACAAGGAGTGATAAGGCTCGCGCACAGCGTGAGGAGAATACACGTCGGGGTATAGCATCACTGAAAACGATAAGCTCTTATATACACATTGCACGGACTCCCCTTAAGCTGCGGAGGTCGCCATAGTAGTGAGCAGACACGCAATAACACATCATGACGCGACAAACGGAAAAAGTCGTACAAAACGCACTACGAAAAGAGAGACAGAAGAACGCATGCATCATGACGTGGTTAGTGTTGTGGGCAGAAGTCTGCCATTCTGCCAGCCGGTTTGGCAGAGCCGGTTCTGCCTGGCAGATGGCAGAATTCGGCAGAATGTCAAACTACAGGGGATCACAGCGAAAGGGTATTCTAATAAGCCTCTTCACCAGTCTTCACCTTATATGGTTATTCGTGCTTAGATAATAGACAATCCCAACAATTCTACATCAGGAAAACTACCGCTTATTTCACTTTTTGTCCCTTAATGCTTCGAAGCTTGTAAATGAAAATCGGAACAGATGTCGATACAGGAACATCAACACATACCTCAAGTCAGACAGTGAATCGTTGAGTGGGTTCAATACAACCGTGACTACAATGATGCTGATAGAAGTGATTCTGCTCTTGATGGTTACCAACCGCAAAACCTTTCAGCGTGTGCGGCCCGACCCGCCGCCGTTCCTACTCCGAGACTCGGTTAAGTCAGAGGCAAATTTGCAGCTGACGAGGTTTTCGAGGTCTTGTCGTTACGTTCTTACGTTACGCTGCACGTATCTTGTTTTCGGGAGCTTTGGGAAGCGGAAGTACTTCGGAAAGGTAACAGGTACTCCTCACTCCACAATACAAATTTACAAGGTAATCTGGTCTCGACGTCGAAATAAAGAAACAAGCGTCTTCATCTATCAAATATGCAGGGAAGACTGAAAGTGTATCCGAATGAAGTAGTCTGTTGCTATGGTTCGACAGTATCAGCGCAAATCAAATATCCTCGTGTCGTCGACCACGCATACAAAAATATGGATGGTCTGACTCAAGGATCTTCATATCCTTGATTACGTTGCGTGCTGTGTGATCTGGAATGAATAAGAAGGGTTGAGATCGTGCATAACAGGGTATAAATCCCCGTTTTCGAAACTCATGTCCCGCACGTAATATTCAACGTTTATGGACTGATTGCTGATATCCATTGTCACGAAACCATTCGCCGCTGAGGGAGTGTTAATCCAGATCAATATATGGGGAAGTGAGAATCATACCAGTCATTGGATTCGCTGCCAAGAACATTGCATATGGTCCGAGTGGAATACCGTAGTTGCAGTCACCGGCTTGAGGGTAGCCCGCAGCGCCAGAGAGAATGAAGTTGGTGTTGTTTGAGTAATAATGCCCAAGGCAGTGGTCATGACCGTTCAGGACGATCCCGTTGTGCTGGATAACAATCTCCACGAGAGGTGCGAGTTCGGTCTCGTTGGTGGCTGAAGACATGTAAGGGTGGTGGAGTTGAAGGAATTTCCATGTAGCCGTGGATTCAGCGAATGCGTTGGCTAGGAAGTCCACCTGTGTTTGCCGGTCGGCATAGCAGGCTTCCGTGTACGAGTTCGCATATACAGAGGTATTCTGGAAGACTCGTCATCCATCAGTCGTTAGTTTGCATGTGACAAAATCCACAACCTTTTGATACGAGCTTAGGAAACAATCTGAGTCCACGACGACAAAAGTAGCACTCCAATCTTTGCCTGTCAGATCGTAAGTCCAATATGGAAGCCCTTGTGTTCCCTAACAGAAGCGTTCAGTAGATGTTCCAAAGGTCCAGATACGTTAAGCCCACAAAGTTCCAGCGAGGGTCATAAATTGGAGCAACTTGAGTCTGGAAGTCGATGCCACTCTGACCTTTCACAACGTCATGATTGCCGAGACATTGATACCAAGGAGCAGTCTGAAAGACTCCTTCGTTGTACATGTCGACCCACGCTTCCTGGAAACGTTGTATTCCGCCGGTGGTGAAATCAATACCACTATCATAAAAGTTGTCACCGACAGAGACCTGGAAACAGTTCGAGTTGACTAATTTATCCGAAGCTATGTTGAAGCACGTACAAATGCAGTGCAGTTCTTCATCGCACATACTTGTCCAACATATGAAGATGTATCGACTTCATAGGGCTTAGCTACATTGTGGTGAAAGAGCAGGGGCACTCACGTTGCAAAGCAGTGGCATTGGTTATGTACGTTATATCTCCAGGATCACAGTCGTTTAGGACCTCGTTGGGAATAACGAGTCCTGCAGCCTGCAGCTCTGGAAGTACTTCAAGACAGAAATGTGGAGGACTCGGTGTCCATCCCGTCCAGCCATAATCTACGAAGTCCTGGTCAAAAATTGTTCCTGTTGATCAGATATGATTACTCACCCCCAATAACGCCCACCGTCAGAACCTCCTGCGCCGACTGGAGCGATAGTTGATCTTTTGGTTCTCACATATTTTGCAAGAACTATTTCCTGCAGGACGAGAAGCGCCAGGAAAGACAAACGACTCCAGCTCGTCATGGTAGGAAGGGAAAGTTATTGGAAGCCGGTTATAGAACGGGGCCGTCTAGCGGGGTATGTAACAAGTTTGCGATTATCACTCATGATATAGAAATCCTATCAGCGCAGCCGGTTCACCCGTGCATATCAGTCACTGAGTGCATTACAGAGATGTGTCAAACCGCGTGAAAGATTGAACATGAAACTTGTCATCTGCCAGGCTCAGATATAGCGCACCGATTTAGTCCAAGCCAATGGTCTGCGGATAGGTAAGTTGTTCGACCACGTTCGATATGTGCCTCACAACATCCACGACCCTTGTTGCGAGTCATAAAGAAAATCAACGAACGTGTAACTATCATGAGGATTGAGGAATCATGTGCATGCAGACAGTGTCACAGGAACACTCACTAGCGCTGAAGCTGAGCCTGGTGCATCATGTGGACCTAAGACGGTGTGGCCTGTAAAGGTATGAAATTTATTCGGTCATCTACGCTCAGGTACCGAGGGTGTCATGAGGAACCATCACGTGTGATAAGGTATGGAGAGTCAAGGAACTGCGGAGTCCGGATTCCGGACACCCACCAAAGTTTGAAGTGTGGACTTCAAAATCACGTGACTTCTAGCAGAGCCGAGGCGTTGATTTCTCGACATAAGTTTCCATTCAGTCTACCATATGTTAGTCCAAACTGAAAGCTTGCATTCATGCTCAAACGCGATGACGGCGGCTTTCTCGACACAAAACCTGGTCCTCGCCCCTCCTCTCTTATTTTACACCGCCAACGTGACACACCTACAAGATGAAGCTTACTGCAATCTCTGCGCTTTTTGTAGTAGCAGTTGTCGGGTCACCCACTCCTCCACCAAATGTTCATTCTAACATGGGTCGCACACAACGCATTCTCCTCAACTCCAGATCAAACCCCACTAACAGCTCCAAAGCATTTGATCCGAAGACTGTGTGGGATCAGCTGGATTCTGTGTATCAGTATGTTTGGGATTTTTTCTTTCACCAAAGTCGTCAGCCTGACGTGAACTAGTAAGTACAGTGCCACCATGAGGGCCTACCAACGGAACACTGGATCTCCCCACCCGCTGAATAGTCGCTTCGACGTTCGCTCAGGTGCAAAGCGGAATGGAAACGTGCCCCTTGTCAACTACAATGCAGACCTCTGGTACGGTGAGATCGACGTGGGTACGCCCCCCAAAACGTTTACAGGTTCGTTTGATTGATTCTACAATATGATATGACCTAACACCGACATTCTGAAGTGGTGTTCGACACTGGCAGCTCAGACCTCTGTGAGTCTCAGAAGTATATTCCTTCATCTCCGCGCTGACAGCAATATTCGCGTAGTCCTTCCATCAACCGAATGCAGTGTCAGCTGTGCTGGGCATACACAATACGACCCTGCCGCATCCTCGTCTGCCAAAGATTCTGGCCAGCCGTTCGTGCTCATGTACGGCGCTGGGGAAACAGCGGGCGAGGAGTATGTCGACGACGTTTTTGTTGGGGGCTACGAAGTTAGTTGTCCCAGATGTTCATTTTCTCTTTATTAAACTGGTTTATCAGGCTAAGGATCAGACCGTCGGCGGCGCATGGCTATATTCGCCAGAGTTCAGTAAGGACGGGTCTTTCCCTCCTGACGGTCTCTCCGGTCTGGCATTCCGCGAAATATCAGAGTTCGAGGAATCTCCACTCTTCCAAACACTGGACGAAAGTGGAAAACTGCCGCAAAGCGTCTTTGGGTTCAAGCTATCAACTACTCCAGGAGACAGCGAAATGGTCATCGGAGGAACAAATACCAATCTCTACCGCTCCGACACACTCTCTTATGTCCCTGTGACGGATAAAGGCTACTGGCAGGTAGAGATGGATAGCATTTCGAGGTTGGGACAGGAGGTCATCGAGTCCCAAGCCGCTCCTGCCATCATTGATACCGGCACCACTTTCGTCATCACATCCTATTCAATCGCACAAAGTTACTACGCGAATATATCTGGAGCCACGGCCCACACGGAGGGCGCGGATACATACTGGACAAGTAAGCGTGTTACCTATTCCACGATCTTCAATTTTATTAACGTCTGCATCTACGCAGTTCCGTGCGATATCATCAATTCCACCGTGCCTACCTTCACGTTTGGCGGGCGTGCCTTCAAAGTCTCTGCGCAGACGTACAACTTTGGGCCAGACGATCTTTCCAGCGACTGCTTAGCTGGGATTGCTGCGTCTTCAGAAATGGGTGCGTATAACCTGTGGTATCTTGGACACGATGACGTTGCTCATACTCTCACACCGCAGATTTCACAATCGTCGGTGATGTCTTTCTTCAGAACGTTTATTCAGTGTTTGATTACGCAAACACGAGGGTGGGATTTGCAGAACTTGCTTGATGTAACCCGTGGATACATCGATTAATACCCGAAGTGCATGTATACCTCTTCGTACTACAAACTTTGACTGTGATGTGTAGCTAAGATGGGCCGTGACATCTTACTACCTGTAGTCCAGTGCAACGGATGTCGACATTGAACGGACATGCACAGTGCATATGCGGTTTCAAGAGCAAGGGGTGTGGGGGCCGGAGCAGATGGTATACCTCCTGAAGTTTGGCATTTGGTTAGATTCATGGACAGGTATGCACCTTATACAATTTGTGTAGTGGATGTGCTCTGCAGAGCCCAATAATCAGACATGCAAGTGTCCGGCCTGGTACTATAACCGCACAACCCGTTTCGTTAGTAACACATGGGTCGCGCACTCGTCTCATCACCTCGAGTGCAAATAACTAACCGCACGTCCATGTCGCAGAACTAGAACGCATGCGATGTAAATGTCTTCCCCTCCGAAACTTGAAGTTTGTCAAATTCCATGTCTCTTTCTGTCGCAAGCGTCGAAATTCTGAAAGATAAATATTAATATTAATTGCGTCTCGATCGAGATGGTGTTCAACGTTGTCACACGCTAGATATATCACACAATTATAAGCTGTGTGCACCATACTTCGAAGTGTAGAGCGTGCTTGAATGAACTTGTGAATTTTGCAAGCGTCGGTTGGGATACCGGTACCGTCGTCTGAGGAATGCGTGGTGCGACTTCTATCCCGGGGGAACATTGAACATAACTCGGCCTACTCATGCGCTATTGTTGCATCCCACAGCCGGATAGTTGTACCCTCTCAACCGGTCGCGCTTGAGTCGCACTGCTAGTCTCATCCGACACAACAAGACTGTGTAAACACAAGAGAGTATACATCAAGTTAGAAGAATCTGAGGAGTTAGCCACGTCCCCGACGAATTGGTCCTAGAATCGAATCAACATACGAAATTTGTCCATGTAACATTGAATAGTATCGTTCGGTTTGTGATTCATGCCAGTAAGAACGATCTACACAGATAACGGCTGCGCAACAGATTGGATTCGGGGCGAGATAAACATACTTTAGATGTACGCAAGCATGCTGGGCGTTACAAATGGGACGGATCTTATGAGCCACGTACCGAGCTGCAAAATTTTGGAGGACCATCTGGAATACCCCCGAGCAACAACCAAAGTCTGAACAGAAATCATTAAAACACGGCAATTGTAAACGCACCAAGGAGAGACATGCCTGCTTATCCGCACTGCAGCCACTTCGACTACAGGAGGTCGGCTTGGGCGTTGCGGCGGTTCGATGTCTTCGTTGATGTGAGGTTGAGAACGGAAGAGTGAGGACAGCCAGCTGATGAGTACATCTGGACGTGAACTCAAAGGCGTTGTGAGATGGAGTTCGGCTTCTTCGTCGGTGTTGAGCCGAAATCGGGACAAAAGTGAGGAAAGGCAAGCTAGGAAAGCATGCGGATCTAACCGCGAAGGCGTGGAAGGTTGCTGAAGTTCGTCTGGTGCATCATTTTGAGATGGAGAGCGGTGAATGAGTGAGAACAGTCGAATGAGGAATGCATGTAGATGGAACGCCAAGGGTTGCGGCAGTTCGGTCGCTTCACCAATATCGCGTCGAAAGTAATGGAGGGGTGAGGAAATGCGAACGAGGAGTGCATCTATAGAGGAATAATGGTGTGCACCACCTGTTGGGGAGGACTGAGCACAGATCTAGAGGTCTAGATAACTTGAAAGTGCAAGAGCTAAGGAAATTTGACGGTGCCGCAACTTCCCACGTTCCCACATACCTTCCATGGCTACCCATGGCCGCCGGCAGACTCTGCCAGCGCACTTTCTCCGCCTTCAAGCCATCCAACCGACTGTGGGCACCAGCATCTTCGAGATGTGCACCGAACCAAGTGACACAGCAGCTTGCTCTCACATCCCGCTTTTCTCTCATAACACAGAACTTGGACGCCTTCTCCTCACGTCCCGTCGCACGAGCCAACCTACTCCTCGGTGGTATCCTCGAGGAATCCAAACGTCCTGACATTATCTTTCTCCAAGAAGTCACGTCCGACGTCCGCACCTCTATCCTGAGCAATCCGAAAGTTCGCGAAGCCTTCCTGGTGACGGATGCCGAGGACCAAACGTCGTTCGAGGGAGTACCCTTTGCGAATATGACGTTGCTGTCTAGCAAGCGCTTTGCCTTCGACTTGGAGTTGCAGAAGGAGGAGGATGGGGTCGAGGGAGGGGAGAAGTTCATGCTTGGTCCCGTTTCCCGCGTCAAACTCCCCAGCAAGTATGGGAGGTGTGCGCTTTCCGTGGACATTATCCCCCCATCCACCCCAACCACAACCTGTCGTCTCGTCAACGTTCATCTCGATTCTCTTTGGGACACGCTCCCTTACCGTACCGAGCAGATGGAGATCCTTGCCAACCTCCTGCGCGAGCCTGGATGCGGTGGTGGACTGATCGCGGGAGACTTCAACGCCATCAGCCCCGAGGACCATGCTCTCCTCGACAAGAACGGACTGGTGGATGCGTGGGTCGCGTTGCATGGAAAGAAAGGGCTTGACGGAGCTACGTGGGGAGTGGGGGTAAAACGACATGACGGACTGGGACCTGGAAGGTTGGACAAGATTGCAATGTCGGGCTTAGACGCGAAGGACATGGAGATTCTGCGCCCTGGTCTGAGCGAGGTGCCCAAGCCCGGCGAGGATTCCGACTATATCCCTTGCAGTGACCATTACGGGCTGAGACTTAGCTTTACCGTCTGAGTACTATCGAATATGTTTGGACTAGCACTCTCGACGACCATTCAAGAATAGGAAGTGAGCCCTTTAGAATATTGACTACATGTTCTGACTATTACTCTGTCTATACTAGTAAAAAATTTGTCTGCGTTGTAGGTGGCTTCCGTCAGGGCCTTCATTTGCTTACTGTCCTCTATATTGACAAGCGCAAACGCCAGATCCGTCACGTTCTTCAACCTACTGCTCAGCATCAATCGCCTGTTGTCCAATCTCCCGATTTCTGAGAGTAGATTCGCACACTCCTTTGCCATGAGCTTCATGGTGTCCTTACGTTCATTAGGACTATAGTTATCGGAGTCCAAAGCGGGATTCGGTGTCTTGTGGAGGAACTCGACGGACTTCTGGAAGTCTTGGAGAAGCGACTGGTAGTGTAGGAGGTGTGCTTGTATGATGTGAAGTTTACGAGTCAGATCGATGTTATTAGTTAACAGCACTTGGGATTCCTGAATGGTGTTGATAATCAACTAAAACAACAAACGTTGATTATTCTGCGATGCACCAGCCAATTGATATGAGTGTATAGCGACTCAAATGCCTGGTCCCATGCATAGAGAGCATACCACAAGATTGCTAGGAACAAAAATGTCGGGTCCTCAGATTGGGCGAAGATTTCTGCCAATATACACTCTGTCCCGCACGGTAGACAAGGGAGTGTAGCTTCTTTGGGGAAGGACGGCGGAAACTAGAGCTTGGATGATATGATATGATCGTGCTCGAATCCTCTGAGCGTACCATATGTATCGCGAGGAGATCGAGGAGAATGACGTTACCACCTGCGTAACTTAGCTATCGATCTAGAGATGAGAATTTCAACCAGGACTTACAGCTGAGAAAGAGTGCTGCTTGGGTATCAATGATTTCATGTTGGTCTTGAAGAAATACTTTAGCTGGGAGTAATTGCAGAAAGAACGAAAACAGCCTACCAGTGGAAGTGTGCTATGAGTGTGTAGATCTTACTGAACCTGGTGTTTCGGCTATTGGTGTTGATGGTCGAGTGACTGGATTTTGCATCGCCCGCATGAATGGGAGTGTAGTCGTAATATCTGTAAAGACTCATCGAACCATCAAACCATCAAACTACAGATCAAAATACGCACGATCACCCTTGCCCCGCCGAACCTCCTCTTGTTAATGCGAGGGTATCCAATTGAGGGATGAAGAAAAGAAAAAAGGTTCAATATTATACCTACAATTTGTCAGTCACACAAGTGATCGAGCAACGAAACCATTTACTTCGTTCCAAGCATCACATGGAAAGATTATCCACGAACAATGCACGAAACCGTTCACCAGTGCCCTAGATGTATCATTCTCGAATGAGTCGAATCTATCGCGTAATCTGCGTTGAAAACGCGTCAGCCGATCAGCTCGGCTTACCTCGTCAATCGATCTGAATCGGTCACCATAATCAGTGTTCAAATTCAAATTTAAACGTTGTGCATTCTCCGCACCTTTCCCCGTTGCTACGTTTCTGGGTTCGTCCCTGTGTTGCGAAACCTCTGCAAGATAGGCGTTTTTCCTGCGTTCGCTCTTGAGGACAATGGCAAAGGTACCGAAGCGGCCAGCAAGCGCTCAAGCCTGCTCGAGCTCCAACCAGTGCTAGTCAAGTGTGTGAACTCTGCAAGCGCCCGTAGTATCCTAGGATCCGGCTGGTCCACACCTGGCGCATGGTCTGTGTCCAACCTTGACGCGAGGGAGATTTCTCTAACTCCAATCAAGAATCAGGATGGCGAACTCTATCCACACTTCAACTGCCCCCTGTGCTCTCCATATCTCTGGTACTTAACGCTCGCGCTAATTGAATGGTCAAGCCCACTGATTCCATCAACCATCAAACTAGGCATCTCTATTGATTTCAGCAATTCGGAAAAGAATGTAGAGTCTGCTGAAGCACGGATCAACCAGTTGTCGAAGCCAATTGAACACGATGCAGGAAAGACTATGCGACAGACGTTTTCCCCACCTATGTAAGGACCTGAGAGACCAAGGCGAGCGTGCCATCTAAATTCCTATTTTGTTCTAGCCAGCTTTCTCTGGGGGATACATTTTCCCTACATTTACGGTACAGGAGACGTTTTCGAAAGATTGGCCATGAAGACATCAATTTCGATCTGGCTGACATACTCCGCGCATCTGATGCAAGACAAGGTCAAGCAGCTACGAACCATGTTCTCGCCTCGACAATGTACTCACCTCGATCACACAGAATACCACAAGTCTCATGATAACATCAAGATCGTGGTTGTACTTTCCGGGAACACAATAACCGAGGCATGGATCCATGTTTCATATCGGAAATAGCCTCTGAGTCGTAGATCAGCACGCAGAGCAGCCTGATTCTGCCTCCGATACAACACTGGAGCTCCAACCCACCACCAGCGAGATCATTCAGATTTGTCCTCGGTGAGCGAGGATGACCATGACGTATGTTCTCCAGGTTGACACCATGGACTCCTCAGGTTCCGAATTCTAGTGATAGGAAAGGTATCGGAGTTTCGTTGATCTCAGGCTAGTATTGACGCGGTATTTCCAATAGACCGGTGTTGGTAAATCTTCGCTCATCAACCGCGCCTTCGGAGTGCACGAAGCGGTGAGCTACTCATGACACAATGTCTCGGAGGAATACTCATTCTGTTTTCATAGATCGCTTCGACTCATAAACCAGGCGAAGCCGACATTGACCACGAGTTTATATCACCACAGAACGACAGGTTCGTTCTTCACGACAGTAAAGGTTTTGAACCGGGCGAGGAAGGCAACGTGAACATAGTTCGAGGTTTCATTGAACGTCGAAGAAACATGGATACTTTGAAAGACAAGCTACATGCTGTTTGGTACGGTTTCTATATCAATGATTCCGTATAATTAGCTGACAAAATACACGGAAGGCTTTGCTTTGAAATACCCCGCGCAGGCGGGCGTTTACTGGAGACGGGCACGGAGGATTTCTTGACATTGAAGCGTGGTGGAAAGCTGGGAAATAGTGAGTGGATCAACAGCTATCTCTCTACTAAGTTGGAGCTTACCGGTGGTCAAGTTCCTGTCGTCGTCGTTTTCACTAAATATGATAGGTTCATCAACCGCGTCGATCGTACTCTGGATGAATCATCTCTTGTGGGATTGAGCTCCAACGCCGTCAAGGAACTCGTCAAGAACAAAGCAAACGCTGAGTTAAAAGAAATTTGCATCGGACCCCTAGAGAAATTTGCAGGGTCGGATGTCCCGTATGCCACGGTCTCCAGTGGGTATCACTACTGTGATCGTCTTTAATACTCCTAATAATAATAAATGCAGCAAAGGAAGAGCATGCAGAGACGCTGGCTCATCTAATCCAAATAACCGAAGAGCGTGTTTGTAAGCATGTTGCGACCGAGGCGTCGGTGATGACTTCCATCGCCCAGCGAGTAGATCCTAAACTCAAATTCAAAGCATCAATTGAGTAAGCATCACTTGCTTCATTCTTATCTGAAAATTCACAGGGTGTTAGGGTTGGCAAGAGAAGTTCGTCTCGATTCCGCCTTAGTGGTTCATAAGTGCAATCTGAACTTCTGTGGGTTATAGGATATTGGAAGGCACTGGCATCATGTGCAGCATTCCAAAAACGTACGATGTGGGAGTGCCTACGTGTGCTTCACACTGACATCGTTGCTGTGTGGAACTTCCATGACCCTCATGATGTAATGTTCATCTTCGTTATCACCGCACCTATTCTGACGTGATTTGTGTACAGTACTTGTACAGCGATGACTTCAGAAATTTGATGGTGAATATGGTCGAAAAGCTAGACGTTGGACCTACTACCAATCCTAACAATACTGTGTAGGTCAATTCTTCATATGAATGGATTTTTATCTCATGATTATTCACAGGGCTGTTGGACTGTCTACGGTGGGAGCAATTGCGGGCATCGTGGCTGTCTTAGCAGGACCTGCGGCTCCCATCGTAGTGCCAATAGTGGCAGGTGTGGTGATCGCGAAATGGGTTTACGACGTGTACCAGCTGTCGTACGTACCGCTACTTGTCATTGATTGAGAGAATAATGATGCATCCTACTCAGCTGCGCCGTGCTCCAGCGCTTTATAGCGTACATTGTCGATTTGACCCTTGTGTTGCAGATACTTTATCTTGTGTCGGACAGCCAGGAACTGTCTCGTAGGGTTATCAAGCTCGCGGTCGCTTCCTATCATGCATCACCAACAAGCGAAGAAGTCCATCGTCGGATTCAGGGGTATGATAGAAATTTTACCCTCCTGGAACGCACGGACCGCGATACCTTGGATAAAATCATTGAGCTGATGGAATTGTATTGCATCGATGCAAAGGAAGTTTCCGCTGTTCGGGCACAGATTCCGACTGTCGATTCACTTCCGGATGAGTCATGGTGAGATGTGTCTACAGGATATGGTTTCACCGCGTTGGCGGGTGTTGTGAGATTGCAGCTCTGTTACCACTTGTAGTAGTATTTGGAGTTCCGCTTGGTTTATTCCATGCATATACCAGAGTGCCCTCGCATTCAAAGGTACAATTTGACTGTCGTACCATGTGTTGGACCGTGGCTTTGTATTGATTGGCCTGACCTGTAGCTGCGTAGCGGACTCTATAATGCACTTCGCCTTGCCGCCTTGTTTTCATATTGCAAGTTGTCTGAAGGCCGCCTCCATCATTATGCTCTTTCGGGCTTCCCCTCCGTGCATTACTATCCATCGAATCTAGAGCCAGGTATGGACTGCGAACATCGTCCTCCTGTCGTTCTGCATCACCTGATATACCAGGCAATCTTTCATCCAGCATCTTCAAGGCGCATTTCCAGCACCATCTGACAACAATATTGTCAAGAAGTGCGAAATAATGTAGTAGTATGAATCCTGAGATGCATCGCCCTGAAAATGCCTTGTCAGATTAATATTTTAACTAATCAGATGTCAGTCCTCCAACGTTCAACTGCTATCCAATTCAAACCCATCTCAGGTTCGTGAACCGTCTTGCGCGCCCTTCATTAGTGTTATGGCTGCAAGGGACACCATACCAAATAAAGCTTGAATTTGCCTTGTTGCACTAGTGCGGTGCGATCAAACATGAAATACCCGATATACTTAGGACAAGGAAAACGCAAGATTCGGGGCAAAATTTCGGCCGAACATCATAGGGAGCTTCCGGGGGCCTGCCTGTTGTATCTGGTACATTAACTGAGTCGTGATATGACCTTATCGTCCCATATCTAGGTTGTAGAGTTTTGAAATTTGGTGATGGGGGCAGTACCCTTCCTTTCAACTCGTTAGTCGGAACTGTGTCGATTTACCAGAATTTTCCACCCTCAATTCGATTCACCTCTGCGGCAATACTAAAACTTTGCTTGTCCGCAACCGCCATACTTAGACCGGACACACCAGCACAGTTACCAGTGGTACTAGTCTAACAAGCGAATGAGCCTCAGGTGATGCAGGGACCCTGGCATGACCTCTATATCGTGATATAAAGTCGTATGGCAAAGGCTCCGCAATCAACGTAACGCACCCCAAGTAAAGGACACGTCGCATGGCTATCTCGTGGTCTGAACATATGGTCCGAATTCCATTTCGCACCACACTCTTCCTTAGACTCGGTCTATCCAGTCTACTCACTACAATGGTCCGCACCGACGAGTCTGCTATCAGGTTCAGACGTCGTCCTGAACTTCAAGGGAACAACCCTGTGGGATGCGGCACTTCAACTTGAATGCTTGCCATTCGACTGGACATGAGTCAGAAGGCGGTAAGGACTTGTGCTGGGAGATATTAATTGGTGCACCATGAGGCGTTGGCAATGCGACTGCTGCATGCTGGCAGTCTTCGCCTCCGAGCTGCTTGGACGCAACATTGATCATTTATAGAATGTGATTTCCGTAAAAGCTGATGCGCACACAGTTAAATACTCTTCCAACGCCTAAACAGCATTTCAACGATTACCCTCTTGCCGCCATTGCTGTGTACCATGGGTATGTTCATAAGTCATTGCGGATGTATCTTTCGCTCATTCTACGTGACGGGCCTTCAGATCCAGATATGGCTCATTCCACTGCAAGTGGCATTTGCGCGCCTAGTGCTGTAGAGGAACCGTTACCGCTTACCCAAAGACCGTCCGCCTCTGCCTATCGACCACGCACAAGTGTTCCAGACAGTCAACCTCACGATAGGTTTTCCAACTGGCAGACTCTTCGAAGAGCTGCAACTTTAATGGTACGACCAGAAAAGCCGATAGCCAAAGCCCCCAGCGTGTGGAGAAGCATTCAAGCAATTGTTTTTGCTTCATGTGAAATGACTTTCTTGCAATGAATGGACTATGCTGATCTTCTCTTTCAGGGCTAAATGTCCTGTTGGTCTTTATCCCGATATCCGTACGTAACTTCTGTCTCAGCTTGGACCATCTAACGTATGGTGTCCGAAAGTGGGTTATAAACTTTGCTCTACCTTATCAGCATACTTTTATATTTGTCTGTGAGTCCACGAGCCGACCTCCATTGTAACCTACCTTATAGATCACGCAGTTTCATTTCTCGCTATCGTCCCGCTAGCCAATGTAATATGGATTCACTTTCCTCTATTGTTCAGGTTTGATGTGCTCGCAGATTCTCTCCTTCGCGACGGACGAGCTGTCACTACGAGTCGGTGAACCTCTAGCTAGTCTCATCGACATTACATTAGTTAGTGGTTCGTTTATTCGTTTTTACCCTACTAAAGCCTTTCGGCTTATAGGGAAATCTGTCAGTAGAAATTTTCTCAGCTGATCACTTTCTTATCTTGTTTCCTTTTGTATACAGCATCGAACTCATCATATCAGTGCGTCTCTCCAAACTCCAGCAGCGTACAGTATGATCAATTGAGCCACTCTAGATCATCGCCCTCACAAAGTGTCAGATTACAATTGTCCAATCATCTTGTATGCGTCCCACGGTTGTTACTTTTTTGTAGCTTCCCTTAACTCTAGATGTGTGTTATTCTCTGACAGTGATGGGTTCTGTCCTGAGCAATATCTGTAAGTGTTTGGTAATCTTATTGTGACGAAATGAATTAATGCCCCATGTAGTATTGGTACTGGGCACGTGTTTTTTCGCCGGTGGCCTCCGCTTCTCAGAACAGGGATTTGGTCAAAGTACGCGTTTATTTGCCCCAAGTTGATCCAGAGTATTGATATATACTTGTTTATATGGCTTAGGTGCTGTGCAAATTGACTCGTCATTACTCACCATCAGCATCATCGCCGTTTTACTACCTGGTGGTGTTCAGATGGCTGTGCAGGGCCAGCCCCAATATGATGAATTGTCGACTAATTACAACATATTAAAGATTAGTCATGGCGTACGTGGACTAGTATTCCTGCTACATCTAGCCTTACGTTGTTTCATAAAGCTTGCAATTATTCTCCTTTTCAGTAGGCTAAAAATGATTTTCTCGGCAATTAACTCATACCATTTATTTCATACAGTCTACGCCTCTTATCTGGTTTTCCAGTTATTGTCGCACAAAGCCTTGTACGATGATTACGCTGATGATATACAAATGACCAGGTGCTACATGGGCGATAATCCATTCCTGTTGCACAGGACACGTAGGAATATCATGCACAGTGAAACAGTGTCTTCCCCGAGTTCGGCACGTCATGGAGAGGCAGCCACAACATCATTCCACCCCTCGGATGCTAACCCTGACGTAGAACCCGGGACCCGTTCCATAATATCGGTGGAGATGGAGCCTGAGCAACCACTGATGAGCCTCGCCGTGTGCCTTTGGCTTCTGGTTGCAGTAATGGTGGTACGTGTTACGTGCTTACTATGACAGCGATGCAAAGTTCTGGAATTTTCGTTCTAGTTAGTTGCTGTCACTACAGTGTTCCTTGTTGACTCCATTGATGGTTTGACTTCATCTGGGTTGATCAACAAGGAGTTCATCAGTGTTATTTTGCTTCCGATGATTGGTAATGTAACGGGACATGTCGCCGAGCACGCCACCGCGGTTAGAAGGTCCGTCAGGGATAAACTAACTTTAAGCTTGAAAGTTGCTGTGGGTTCGAGTATTGTGAGTTCACTTCCACCAACATGGTTTTCATGGCGACTCACCGTTCCTCAGCAAATCACCCTTTTTGTGATTCCGTGCGTCGCGCGGTTGCGTCCTTTTCTGCAATTCATTTAGTCAAATGGTTTCAGATTCATCGTAACACTTGGCTGGATTATGAACAAGCCATTGTCGCTTCTCTTTGACCCGCTGGAGTCCATCGTGTTGTTCCTGTCCGGTGTGCCTTTGCTTCAAGCTTGTTGACGCAGAACAACATACTGATCAGAAGAAAAATAGTCCTCACTGTGAGCTATATGGTGCAAGAAGGCAAGTCAAATTGGTTGAAAGGAATGATTCTCATATGTAAGTGTGCCATCTGTGGGATATATTGCGCACTGAAGGCACTTTGTAGGCTTGTATACGATGTTGGGTGTAACGTTTTGGTATTATCCTGGTGAGTCCCTCGTCGGTGGGACGGATGAGTTTCATACATGTTAAATGTAACTGTCTCAAGGCACTCAAGTGATCTTCCAAAATTGTTAGGCCACACATGACTAGGGCGTCACGCATGTCAGCGATGTCAGCCAAAACCTGGCCCTGTCTGATAATCCCTATGAACGCTAGTAACGACGTCACCGTAGTTTAGATATCATGTACTGCTCAAATTTATTCAGAGTTTTTTTTTCTCGTTCGGATATAACACAGTATTAATTCTCTTCAAGGTATTAGTGTGAGCAAGGTATTGTAAGTCAACGACGAGGCATGCACATCAGGAAAACCTTCCCATCCTAAATTTCTCCGAAATATCTGAATCAGCTGAATATTCGATAATGCGTATGTAGGGCTGAAGAAGGCTTTGCAGCATGGTTGAGTCATCTGCCTCGCAGACGAGCGTGAACGAGAGCGGACGTCCCCGCGACCGCTTGAGCCATACGTCATAGTGGAAGGCTTGCGAGCCCTCGAGGTAGCAGTATGGCAATTCATTGAACCTCACAGATACCCTGCACCATAAACATACTGCGGTTAATGACACAGGAACTTCTAGCTCTATGGGCAGTTAGATTCCGGGAGACAATGGTGGAAAATTTGGGACAGGACTTCAGTTGGCAAGCGCCAGAGACGCGATACAAGTCCCTTGTGCAAATTCATCGAATTTGTGATCCTGTCCTTTTTTCGAACAGCTGCTGATTGTTACAGTCTACGTACGCCCCTATTCATTTTCTCTTCCTACATTGTATTATGTCACAATCACTATCACAGTTGTCGCTAGACTCATCTCTTATCATCAGTTGTATTACATCACGATCGCATCATGCTGTCGCTAGATGATCTATTCTTGCTATCTCTGACTCGTTCTTATCTCTGACTAGATGATCTATTCTTGCTATCTCTGACTTGTCTCTTATCTCTGACTCATTCCGACTCATCGATACCTGCCCTAAAGCAGTTACTGTTCACTATATAAACCCGTTCTGTACATTGTATTTCTTCACTTTAATCTTACTAGGTTTTACCTGGAACTTCCTTCACTTAAGACCTCCAATCTTAAGCCGTCTGAAACCGATTCAAGTCGAGGACACTCTCCTTGCCTTGTCTTATGAACTCTTGCATACGCGAGAGCCTTGACTTGACCTTAGCCGAATACTCGTATTGAGTAGCTATTGTCGGAACTATCCTAGTTCGTAACACTGATGGATATTTTTAATACCATCCATCACGGATTCCAGGCCTGAACGTTCAGCAATCAGAGCATTTGCAAATGTATTTCTGGAGCATGTGTTTCCTAGATCCCAATGCCACATATGCTTCACTAAAGCATGATATCTGTCTGACTCTGCCAACCTCCTGGACCTAGCCATAGAGTCTACTAGCATCTAGTGATGTGCACGGCCCGGCTTCAAGCCGTGAGCCAGTCAGGCCAAAGTCATGGCTTGACCACGGCTATTGCAACATTTGTGATCTAATCATGCAAGTTTGCCACCCTTATCGTGCGAGGGCATAAATCATGGTATGGGTCTTGGTTTGGTATCGATTAGCGCCTGAATTGTTATGAACTAGGATGGTTCAGACGTATGGCTACTCGATAAGAGTAATCGGCCAAGGTCGGTTCAAGGCTTCGGCATATACCGAAGTTCGATGTTCTAAGACAAGACGAGGAGAGTGTCCTCGACTTGAATCAAGTTCAATACGACTGAAGATTGGAGGTCTTAAGCGAAGGAAGTTCCAGGTAAAACCTAGTAAGATTAAAGTAAAGAGCTACATAGTACAAAGTGAATTTATATAGTGAAAGATAACTGCTTTAGGGCCGGTACGACGGAGTCAGAATGAGTCAGAGATAAAAGCGAGTCAGAGATAACGAGAATAGATCGCCTAGCGATGGCATGATGCAATTGTGGCGTAATACAAGATAAGAGCGAGTCAGAGATAACAAGAATAGATCGCCTAGCGATGGCATGATGCGATCGCGGCGTAATACAAGGTAAGAGAAGAAAATGAATAGGGGCGTACTTGACTGTAACATTACCCTGTTACTATCGTTGAAGTCACCGATTTCAACAATCAAAATTATCGTAAGCGTCATAGTTGTCACGATCTCCAGCACATTGAACGAACAGTCTCTTGTCTTCTTCGATCGAGATCTGTTCCATAGCAGCGTCTTTATCAGCCTCCCATCTAGAGAAGGCCTCGTAGAAGCCTTCGTCCGTCCATACTAATGGAATAGGCTTTTCTCCTTTAAGATCTTTGCAAAAGACCGAAAGGTGTCCTGGCGCGAGATTACGACATACACGGCAGAAGTACGTGGGGCAGTTCTTGTGAGATGACCGATAAGGTTACAGTCACACATAAAGTTGTCGTGGGGTTCAGTCTTTACGGTGGTGATGGAGGACAATTGTGGAGGCGGGGATGGTGTCTTGGGATGTAAAGTGCGGTTGCGAGAAGTAGGGGAGACGGAGATCTCTCGCTTGGAGGGTTGTCGATGGGTAGGGCGTATACGAGGGGTCGTTGCCGCCGGGGCAGACATAGCAATAGTTGATATGACCGGTACAGTAGGAGGAATGATATCATTAGACGTATGCTCAACCGGAGTTGGTATCTCAACCGGAGGTGGAATGGGAATTGCGACGTGTGGGGATGGTGGTCTAGCAATGGGGTTTGTTGCAATTCATTCAGTGACAATATGGATTGCCTCTCTAACAACTTCTTTGGTAGTGGCAGGCATAAGACGTATTGCAGTGTTGTGAATACGAATATGAAGGTGACGGAAAATGGTTTCAAGACGTTGGTCATTAATAAGTCCTGCGGTTCGTTTGACAAGATTGGCGGCGCGAATGATGTTAATGAGAAGTGTGCTAGAGAGAGCCCCTTGTTCAGCAAGGAGGCGGTCTATCTCGATAGCGTATTGTTCAGAAAGGAGGGCAGATTCAAATAGCATGTTGGTTTCGATATCGTCAAGAATGGTGAAGTAGTTTGGGGATTCGATGGTTTCGGTCAACGTGGTGGACGTCGCGGATGGAGAAGCAGTAAGGCTTGCAGACATGTTATCAAGGGTTTTGATGAGAGTTTGGAGTTGTAGGAGACAGATTTGAAGAGTACAAAGTTCCAAGAAAGACATCTTTTCGCGACGTTTCTTATAACTGGTGAGCTTTCTTATAAGCAGCGAGGATTGCGGAAGCATTGCCGAAGTTTTCTGTGGGAATCCATTTGTTACTGGCGGAAGAATATCCTTTCCAGGATACGAGATAGCGTCTACGTTTGCCCGTGCCTTTATGCGATAAGATTGCTTCGACTTCGTATTTTTCTTCGTTATCGATGATATCGGGTGGAGGATCAGGGAAATTAGGACTGTGGATTTCGGTTTCATGATAGGATGATAGCTCGGAAGCATGGAACGTGGGGTGAACCTTCCATTGTTCTGGGAGTTGGAGTGTGAATGTGATAGGGGAGAGTACGGCTTTCACGGTAAAGGGTCCGTATCGTTTTGGGGCGAGTTTCCGTGATGGTAATTGCGTGATGAGATTCTTCCCCAATAGCCAAACCTTATCTCCAACTTTCCATGGTTGGTATTTCTTCCCGTACGATCGTGCGGCCATTCGCTGCATTGCCAGGTTATGACAAGAAATAGCTTCTTCGCGTATCTTTTGAAGGAGGCGGAGTCGTTCTTCTGCGGCTGGTACGGTAGAATCTGGGAGTACATGAGGGAGAGCCCGTGGCTCGTATCCCATCATAAGGAAGAATGGGGATGCATTGCGAGAGTCGTGTTTGTGGTGATTGTGGACGAATTTGGACATAGGGATATGTTCAACCCATTCTTCTGGGTTGTTGCAGCAATAGATTCGGAGATACATAGGTTTCTAGTTCTTGATTTAGACGTTCAGTTTGGCCGTCTGTTTGTGGATGATAAGCGGTGGAAGTGGCGATGTCGTATTTCAAGAGCTTGGCAAGGGCTTTAGAGAATTTGGATACAAATTGTGGTCCTTGATCAGAGATCACCTTCTCATGGAGTCTGAAGCGGCGATAGATGTATTTGAAAAACTTCTTTGCTACGCCTTCAGAGGTGATGGTTTTCGTACAAGGGATGAGAATTACCCCCTTCGTAAGACCATGGTCTACCACGACCATGATAGAATCGAAGCCATTGCAAGGTGGCAAATCAGTGATGAGGTCGACGGAGACTTGGGAAAATGGAGTGGAAACTGAAGAAGGAATAGGAACCAACGGGGGAGTCGTAGGGTGGGTATCAGACTTCATTTGCTGACAAAGGGCACAACCCTCAACGTATTTTCGGATATAAGTTCCCATTGACAGCCACCAGAAATCGCGTTTAACCAGTTCTTCGGTTTTAAAGTGACCGGGATGCCCTGCTGTGGCATGGTCATGGGTTCGTTCTAAAATAGAGTGGCGTCCGGCCGGTCGGACGTAGGCACGATCTTTATTGAATAAGACGTCATCCTTAATTGTCCAATCAGAGAGAGCCGATTTCATGGGGGGAAGACAGAGGCCATTCAAAGCATCAGAGGCGGCTTGGAACATAGGGTCCGTATCATCAGGGTCAGGGTTCGCAAGAGTGGTCATGAGTTCTTGGTCGAGAAGGCGGACAAACATAGAATCAGGGAGAAGCGTCATATCTTCGTTATCGGTGGTTTCTGGCGCATGATCAGGTCGTCGAGATAGGGCATCTGGTGCGGCGAGTTTGGTTCCTGGTACGTGATGGAGTTCGATATTGTAACATGAAAGAAGGAGTTGCCATCTAGCCTGACGACGGGTTAACTTCTGCGCGGTGCAGAAATAGAGGAGGTTCTTATGATCAGTGAATACGACAACCGGATGTGGATTTCCTTCCATATAATGACGCCATTCTTGGAGTGCGCGAATAACGGCAAGGAGTTCCCGATTGAAGATCTGATAATTGCGTTCTGCCGGATTCAAAGATTGGGATAGATATCCGCAGGGGTGATACACACCGTTTTCATTAGTTTGCAATAAAACAGCACCGGTTGCAACAAGGGATGCATCGGTTGCTACCGCAAATTGTTGTGATGGATCAGGGTTACGGAGAACTGGTTGCTTCAAGAAACACTCCTTAAGTGTCGTGAATGCGTTTTGACATGGTGTGGACCAAAGGAACGCATTATCTTTCTTCGTAAGATCGATAAGAGGTCGTGTGATATCGGAATAATGGGGAATGAAGTTTCGGTAGAAATTGCAAAATCCCAGGAACGATCTAGTTTCTTTGACGGTGGTTGGGATTGGCCAATCGCGGATTCCATCTGTCTTGGCAATATCCATGGCGATGCAACCTGGGTGAATAATCATACCAAGATATTTGACCTCTTGCGCATCAAAGGTACATTTCTCCGGTTTCAGGAAGAGTCGTTCTTCGCAAATCTTCGTAAGAATGCGACGGGTACGAGCATGGTGTTCATCAAGGTTGTCCGAAAAGATGAGGATGTCATCCATATAGATCACCAACCATCCTTCATTAATTTCTTGTTGGAATGTGCGGTTCATGTAGGCTTGGAACGTGGCCAGGGAATTGCAAAGTCCGAAAAACATGACGTTCGGCTCGTAGAGTCCGAATTCCGTGGTGAACGCAGCTTTCCATCTATCATCAGGATGAATGCGGATGTTGTTATAACCGCATCGGACGTCCATCTTGGTAAAATACTTTGCTCCGTGTAACCGTGTGACAAGAGATAAGGGAAGTGGCAAGGGATAAGCATTCTTGATCGTCCAATCATTGATATACCGATAATCTTGACAGGGTCGAAGGTCTCCGCTTTTCTTTCCTACAAAGAAGAATCCGCTGGCTTGTGGCGATTTGGATTCCAAAATAAAACCTTTCTTTACGTTTTCATCAATGAATGCTTTGACAGCGGTTCATTCAGCAATGGAGAGAGGATAGATTTTCGATGTCTTGGGAATGAATCCAGGTTTCATTTCGATACGGTGGTCAATACCAGGTTGTTCAGGGGGTAGTTGGTTAAGACCGTCTTTGGCGAAAATATTGGCGAAATCATGTAAATAGGAGGGTATGAGTTCTTCGAAAGTTTTCTTGTGTCCAGACGTCTTCCTTAGTATCAAAGGTTTCATCATCATCGTCGGGGATGGGGAGTAGGTTGGGGATAGGAAGAATGGGTGATGCTTCTTTGTCACTGATTTCTTCGATAGTCGCTTTGAAAAAACGACGGGGGTTTCGACAACTGGTGTCTTTCTAAGTTTAGATTGTTTCCAGGTTCGATCGATGGGTTCTTGTTGAAATAGAAGTGGAAGATCGTTCTTCTTCCGTTCTTTGTCGACTTCTTCTTCAACTTGGTTACTTTTCTCCGTCCGAGAAAGGATGAGGGTTTCGGCTGCCCAGTCAATAATCGGATTCATAGCCCGCAGCCAAGGGATTCCAAGGAGAATTTGGTCTCTTCTGCCAAGGCGTGTGACGTTGAACTTTCCGATCATAGTCCGTTCGTCGATTTTGATGGTAAGGACGCAGTATCGGCGTATAGCTCCGCTTTTGGAGTAGCTTCCATCGGCGGTAGTAACCCTAAAGGGTTTGCTGAGAGCGTGGGTTCGGATCTTGTGCTTCTTAACGAAGTCTTCTGAGATGAAAGTTCTGGCTGCTCCGGAATCGACAACTGCAGTGGTTTCAACGGTTTTCAGATGTGTCTTCGAAATTAGGGAAAGGGGAACTCAAAGTTCTTTGCGTTCACCAACTTTTTGTACAAGTCTTATGGGTACATTGAGAGATACTGACGTTGATCCAGTCTCCCATATCAAAAATCCTCGTTGAGACAATGGACTTCTGCTTCTTCTTCTTCTTCATTGCTACTCTCCACTTCTTTGCGGCGTATCCGGGTTTTCCCTTTCTTCTTCTCGGGACAATTTTTAAAAAGATGTCCGGTCTTATGACAGGTGAAACACTTTCCGGTCCGGAAATGTTCAGCGCGTTCTTCTTCAGAAAGCCGATCAATTACCATGGCGTTGGGATCTTTAGATGGTACGTATTGGTTAGATCCAAAGTTCTTCTTCTTCTGGGGTTGGTGGCGTGCCCTGATGGCATTCAAGTGAAGGCATGAGTTGTCGAGATTAATGCAGGTGGTGAGGACAACTTCGAAGTCATCGGAGACGTCACCCGTGCCATAGAGGCGAGCGAGCAGTCCTGGGTGTAATCCGTCTAAGAAGAATTGCTTCTTGGCGACATCACCTTGAATTCCTGCCCTTCGTGTGAGCATCAAGAATTCCGAGATATAATCTTGGAGCTCGGTTCCTTGTTTCAGATTGCGAAGCTTGGCTAACGTGGTTCCCGAGGGATCAAGTGGTTTAAACGCGCTCTTGAAATCGGCGAGGAATTCGGCCCATGTACCGTATCCTTTGACGAGGCCTACAGTAGTCTTGTTGTTGGGATCTTGCGCTTGTCTGAGGAAGTCTTCCTTCCAGTAGCGCGTGTTTCCTTCGTTCATGAAGGAAGTTACAAAAATAATTTTCTGTTTGTCATCGACATAGATCTTCTCGTTGATGTCGAGATAAGACATGCACGACATCAAAAATCCTTCGGATTTATCTCTATCCCCGTCAAAGACTGGGGGAGATCCAATCTTGATTTCAACGGGTTTCGAGGAAGACATTGGGGGGTTCAAAGGTGGTAAGGGTGGTACAGCACCTAAGTTCAAAGCGCCAAAAATTGGTGTTAATGACGTCAGCTTATTTCAGCTTCTTGGGACCTGGGGTTCTATCTGTCGTGATGACCAGGGTTTGTTCTTTCTGAGCTACAGCGTGTGATGGCAATGTATTCATGGAAGACTTTAATCTTTTGTTACAAACTAGGATGGTTCAGACGTATGGCTACTCGATAAGAGTAATCGGCCAAGGTCGGTTCAAGGCTTCGGCATATACCAAAGTTCGATGTTCTAAGACAAGACGAGGAGAGTGTCCTCGACTTGAATCAAGTTCAATACGACTGAAGATTGGAGGTCTTAAGCGAAGGAAGTTCCAGGTAAAACCTAGTAAGATTAAAGTAAAGAGCTACATAGTACAAAGTGAATTTATATAGTGAAAGATAACTGCTTTAGGGCCGGTACGACGGAGTCAGAATGAGTCAGAGATAAAAGCGAGTCAGAGATAACGAGAATAGATCGCCTAGCGATGGCATGATGCAATTGTGGCGTAATACAAGATAAGAGCGAGTCAGAGATAACAAGAATAGATCGCCTAGCGATGGCATGATGCGATCGCAGCGTAATACAAGGTAAGAGAAGAAAATGAATAGGGGCGTACTTGACTGTAACATGAATAAGTGATGCTGAATATAAAGGCACACATTATTAAAGTGAGAGTCTGAGGAGGGATAAGAGGTCTGAGAGACTTAAAGAAGTGATGATGGCGATGACAGGAGCAAGGAGAGGAAAAAGGGAGGCAGCAATGCCAGTGGCAAATGTGACAATAATCTCGAGGATGGAGGAAAAATCGCAGCCGAGGTCGGTGAGTATGGGGAGAGCCTCTGCACAAATGTCACTGATGACGACCTTCAGCACGGCACTGAGAGCAGTGAACAGAAACTAAAGCAGAGGCTCAGCACTCAGCAACAATGACACCTACGAGAAATTCCACGCGAAGCCTATGACAACGTAATTTAGAGGCCTCCGGACTAGGAATATGTTCTGGCAAACAAATGTTATCAGACTCGGGATTGTCATCCTAAACTTCTGATCATCCAGCCACCATCAATGGCATCGTTCTTCAGATCTTGGATTTGCAAAGCTCGAATAGCCTTGAAGGTGAAGGTTGGCAACATGCAGGAGCATCCGGAACTGTAGGACACATGAATCTGTGGCCCACGGGCGTGGAAGGGGGGGATATGTCCTGAAAGGGCTCAAATGGTGCCCTTGACCATTCAGGGAGTCCACAGCTTGCGTCCAGTTGCAGGCAGGGGCATGTGCAGGTCTGTGCGTATTACGTAATCATATGCTGTTGCTTGATCGGTGTTGAAATTGAAACATTGACTTACGGATAAACGATAAACGATTTTCATTGGCTAACTACGCTACTGATGTAACAGGACCCCTGATAATGCCTATGGAACCCAGTCCTCCATCCGGACAGAAATCGGGTCAAATGGTCATTTGTCCCAGGTCACAATCCGGACAAAAAAGGTCTGATTTTGGTGTCAACCTGGGTCAACCATCCGGACGTCTGCGAGGGGTTTTGGGAGCCAGGTCACCATCCGGACATGGTGTTCATGCTGGGCAGGTGAGGTATGGCGGAATGACGTAGTGGTATCTCAGGTATAGTAGCAGTGTGTCATATCCAAGTGCTGGAGTTCGAATCAAGCTTTTTACTTAAAGCAACACAACTGCTTGAGCTTCACTGCGATAGCGGCTGACATTGGCTGACAGATTGATTGATTTGACACGCAAATTCAGAAAATAAAATCAACTTTTTTTGTTCAACTTGCTCCTAACATGAACAACGTTAACACTATCGATCTCGTTCACCCCCCTATCTTTAATCCTCACAAGTGGATTGGGAAGGGAAGAATATTTGATATAAAAACACTTCCACAGTCAGTACTCGATGCTCGTTCTGCTGCGCTCGTTATTCCACCCACATACATTGAACACATTCCTTCTCCCGACCTTTCCGTTACTGATTTTCTGAATACATCCTTGCCCACTCGATCCCCGACCATTGTCACTGTGAAGGTCAAAACATTGGTTTAGTCACGACCTTCCAGACAGTGACGTCTCTTACCTAAAAAATCGTCCTATTCCTGCTGCCGGATGTCTGACGGAGCTCAACAAAGCCTTTAATCAAGCATGGCTTGATGGAGCTCAGTCATTGGCAGACCCGCAGTATAACGACGGCAAAGATCAACTACCTTTGTGGACCATATCATGGTGGTGTGAGTTGATTGCTGCAGTCTGTGCACAGACCGCATGGAGAAAGAGTGAGGAGTGGCTTTCCAGTGCATCGAAGACTGGAGAGGCGGCCGTTGTAATGGCACATGCTCGAGATCTGTTCCCTGCTGTGCCTTGGAAGGGCAATGGTGGCAGATCCATCGAATTCACAAATTTACTTGGGATGGGATGGATAATGGATGAACTCATAGATCTAATGATGACGCACCTTGCTCGCCGTGCCCGTGCACAGTTCCACATAAAACGAATCTTCATTGCAAACTCAAGGCTCTCTGAGGCTATCAAGGGTGTTACACCTTCTGGCAACACGCCCCCTCTGCTTTCAAAATGTCAAGATCAGATTGTCACCTTGCACTACGAGCTGTTGATGTTCCCTGTTCACGTCCATGGCAACCACTGGATTGCTATTGCTGTCAACTTTGACAAACAAACCATTGCTATTGGTGCGTCAGAGTATCCATAACCCACACTGTTAACTTACAAGTGATGTAGGAGATTCCTTGCGGGGACAGATACTGCCACCGAACCAATTCATGAAGCAGCTGCAGTGTTGGCTTCTGCATGCATTCAAGGTCCAATATAGCGTCGACCAGAAAGGCATGGCATGTGCCTTGCAAAATGACACATATTCGTGTGGGGTTGTGAGCGCTAATATAATTGTGCATGCTGCATTCGGAGATGAGCTCTGGCAGGCCCCAAAAAATTGGTTGCACGAGCTACCTGGTTCACGCTACTTGCGAGAGATTGGCTGAATGATGTGAGTATTTGCCTCACGATTTACTTTGAGTGACGTACCAATATGATTTCTGAAGCGAGACCAAAACACTGAGCTTGACATTGAAGATATACCTGACACGTCAGTCAGTGCAGTCCTATCAGGGTCTCCCCGAGTCGACAAAAAGAATTCTTTATCCTACATTCTCAATATCACGCCTTCCGACACACCTTCCGACACACCAGAACGAGCACCTTCCGACACACCACCGAACGAGTTGAAGGAAACTACGAGAGAGTCTGTGGAGTTACCGAAGGGAGGCTTATTGAATTGGCTGAACCAGGTGCCGAAGCCAGGAGAAAAACGCACCCATTCGAAAATTGATCTGGTTTATACTGAGACACTGTCATTGCAAGGGCAGCAGAGGAAAAAGGCAAAAGTAGTTGTTGAGGAACACTCTGGTGGCCCAGTCGGGATGAGCCAATCTGCGACTGCTTCGCGTGATTTGCGTGCTGTGGCAAAGAGTGGCCAGTTCAAACCATGCCTGAAGAAGATGGGCACTTGGAAGAAGAAGATTATCGAGCTCGATCCAGACGCTGTAGCTCAAGATGACTGTCAGACAGTCAGACATTCAAAATGCGGTCGTACCATCAAAGTCAAAGAACCATATGATGTTTCGAGGTTTCGAGAGCATGTCACGAAAAAGTGTGCTCAACTGAAGTTGTTGACTCCCGCTGCTGGAACCCCAACTGTCACTCAGTGGACCAAGAAGTTTGATATACGAATGAAGACCAACATCGAATCCGAGACGAGCACGCATTCCCTTACTAACCCCACCTTATCCACACCCGGTCTTCCCTGCCCTGGCATTACATTGCAAAACGAACCTTTGATAGAGAATTATCTAACCCGAACGGCGGGTCCCTGGAGGAGGCTCAAGCTCAGTTATTGAGATAGCCAAGGAGCTGTTTTTGAAGACGTTTGGCAAGTTGTCGAAGCAGCGAAAGCAGATTGTTATATATGGACAAACAAAGTCAAGGATGGAAGTGGAAGAATGATCACCAGCGGATTCGGATCTTCTCTATGCAATGCAAGCAAACCGTCAAAATTGTTCGCACTGATGGACATCCTGAACCATGTTTCAAATGCTATTGCCTCCTCTCACTGCGCACATTTCTCCGAGCCATCAAGCGCCCAAATTCCAAAAGATGAAAACTTTGTACATGTAAATCACCGATTTTGCTCAAGTGCTCTGGCGAAGATATATGCTCGCACCATTGGTGTTCGGGAAATGGTTGAAACAGCTGTACATGACCGTGACTCTCATGAGATGACCCTTCTAATTTGACATTACTTAGACTACTGAACGAACACCCTGCATTCAATTTGCCACTGGTGTCCTTTGGGGCAAATACACGAATCTCAGGCGTCTTCACCGGCCTTGTCGAAGCCATGGTGACCAAGCTTGACCGTGAAGAACGAGGTGTTGGCATACAAAAATTCAAGTATGCACCTAGCTGGGACGAGTTTGCCAATGTCCTCAGGATACATAGTCCTCAAGCACTCCGGTTTCTATCCAAACACCTTCCTGTCCGTACCGAGCGAAGCTTCAGAGAGAAAGAGAGTCGTCGCCCCCGTTTTCCCATGATCATATGTGAACGCACCTTTCAACTGGTTGCAGACCATCTCGCGGACTTGAGCTACACTGGTCCGACATCTCTATCCCGCGATGACACAAAGCTTTATGCTGCATGGCGTGTTTTCTGGGATGCCGACAAACAAGCTCATTATCTAGTTGGGGGGGTTGGTGAGCCATATCTCATTGCCGATCCAGATGCACTCCGCAAAATAATTGAAGAAGTGAAGTTAACACTTGCAACCAAAATGCGACTTTGGTGCTTGCAAGTTCCTCTCCCCAAGATTGCTCCCATAATCATTGCTGCTCTTCCCCTTGCGTTGGATCACAATGCCGAGTCTTTGGCAAAGTGGAGTTTGGAGATTATTGGTGGCCTTCAGAGGCATCAGATCTGCGTTGTCTCATATGCATGTGATGGTACAGAGGTCGAACGTGCTGTTCAGCGTATTGTGGTGCGAGACGCAGATAGTGTCGTTGTATATGATATCGAGAGCCCGTTCTCCAGTATGAGTACCATAAGACTGGAGATTCCCGTACACCATGGTCAGGCCTTGGTTAATATCCAAGACCCAAAACATGGTTTAAAAAACCTTTCGCAACAATCTCTTTTCCAGTGCTCGTCTACTCACCCTCGGCAACTACACCGCTCTTTTCACTCATATTCACACCATGGCGTTTGAAGATGGGACACCATTGTATCACTGGGACAGTCGAGAAGCTAGACCGTCAAGACGACAATGCTGCTGCACGGCTTTTTTCATCAGCAACTCTCAAGTTTCTTGTCGAACATCATCCTGACCACATTGGAGAGATAGTCTTCCTCTTCATTCAGTGGGGAGATTGTCGATGCATACCAGAACCACAACATCTCTCATGGCGAGCGAGTCAAAATGGTGCTCCGGGCACGGTATTTTTATGATGGCTGGCGACTTTATCTGGTGAAAACTGGCTACAAGGAAAACCAGTACTTTATGTCACACGAGTCGGCCGACATTGTTATGAGGCTCATCGACGGTCTCATTTCACTCATTATTGTCTATCGTGACCACATCTCTGATGCCTACCCTCTTCTTCCTTGGCTTCATACTAGTGAACCCTGCGAGCACTCCTTTGCCAACCTCCAGAACATCAAGAAGGACTTCGTTATGCTTGATGCATACTACGCCATTCCAAAACTACACGCGAAGCTACAAGAAGAAGTCCTACGACAACAATCACCCGATTTCAAGGCTCGTGCCCAAGGATACACAATAACTTACTTTTATGATCACACTGTCGACAAACTCTCGCGATATCCCTCTGACATAGACATAAAAGAAGCTTCACTGGAGGGTGCTCATGAGGCGCAGAGCTTACTTGCCTTGTGTGGTATAAGCCCTAGCCTTCTAATGCAAACACAATCTATTGTGTTGCCCAGCATCAATCACCTTGATGCTGGGTATATTGACGATGATGGGCAGGATGTAGACTCCAAGAGTGGGTCAGTCATTGATTTTGATGCCGAGGAAGAATGCGAAGCCCAGCAACTTGATGCTCTCGTGCAACTCGCCAAGGACAATGATATCCCCCATACCAAGAACGAATGGAATAAGCTTCTTCAATTGACTTTTGCTGCAATTGCCCTGGACACGGATGAGCAACAACGCATGTAAGCTTTCATTGATGCATGTGTGGTACATCATACTTAATAGTCAATCAAACAGACAAAAGTTTGCTGAAGATGACAACAACTCCGAGTCCCCTGAGAGTGATGTCCGTGCGCATGAATTTGCTCAAATCGAGCGCTGCTTAGCACTTCCTGCTCTTCGTATTGCCGATGACTTAAACAAGCCTATGGGTCTGGGAGCTTTTTCCATTCAAGCACTCGATGTTGACGCGCTTGTGCAGATTCGGAGCAGTCACGAGACCGAGCAAGCTAAGAAAGGTGTACGTACAGGTCGTGACCAGCTCACTGATGCAGAGGGAAAGGTACTTTCAGAGCGGCGACATCTGATACGCGAATTCCAAGTAGTTCTCAAGGAGCAGCAAGGTCGTGCGATTGGTACTGGCCTGGAGCGTACTGCACATTGGATGGAGAAAGTTCCACAGACAGGGAATTCTGCTAATGCCGCCACTGCAGCGAAGGCAGGTGGTGAAAAAGGTGCGCTCATAATCATTGTGTTTTGGTGTTTTGGCTGAATCTGTCGTCAGGCAATGCTTCGCAGGAAAAATGTCTTCAAAACAGCAGGGCTACATCTCCTCGCCATGATCAATGATGCTTGTATCACTCTACTTCGGCCACTCAAAGACGGTGACTTTGGCATCGTATTCACAGAGCAGTGGGGACTGCGTGTCAGACAAGGTAAGCTTTTATCGTTTCATAGAACTTGAAGCTTGAACTAATTACCATGAAAGTTGTTGCGCTGTACTCGAAAGGTGGCGGGAAAAATGGCAAGCACGGTGCTGTTGAAAACGTGGATGCAATCGCTGCCATTTTCGTACCTTGGGGTACAGCTCTATCAGCAACACTTCCATCAGCACTTCCGGTCTCTTCCAGATGCGACCAGCTATCTTTCAATGCCGTCAATTTGCCTTCCTTCCCTCCACATCCTTTCTTTGCCTTCTCACTGCTGCACCTAAGGTGACACCTTCAGGGCTTGAACTTGCACCTGCTGACGTCTCCTGTGTTTGAGATGTTGCTTCATGCTTCACCTCAACTTATCCAAGCGGCCAAACTGTTCCGCAAGCGAGTAAACCAGGCCGAAATGGACAGAGTTGTACAAGGGGATGAGGACGCCTGAATGTTCATGTTTCCATGTTTCTTGAGCTGCGCTACGAGTTCCTAGGTAGTCTAGCATACAAAAAAACACGTTTTTAAGATTTTTTGTTAACCCAGGTCAGAATCCGGACAAAATTTGCGCTCCTGGGGCGAACCCAGGACCGGATCCGGACAAAATCAGCCAGAATCCATCCGGACAAATTTGGGCCTTCGCTGACCTGGGTTCCAAAGGCATTATCAGGGGTCCTGATGTAACTCAGGCACCACATATAGTAAGTACCTCGTCAGCTCATTGATAAGACATGCCAGAGAAATAATCATGAACGTGGATGGAGATGTTGTAAGTGAGTCGGTAAATCAAATGAGCGCGTTATCCTTTATATGATAGAACTCTCACCACGCACGTTAATACATAGTCGCCCCCTAGTCATTTACATCGCCCATCTAAAACGGCCGGCAGGAACGGCGGACTGGTGGGGTACATCCCACACCAGTGCATTTGGGGATGCGACGACGGGGCGGAGCATGGGGCTCCATGACTAGACAGTAGTGTCCTACATAGAGTATCACTCTCAATGGACATAAAATTGGAACCCAAAAAAAAAAAAAAAAAAAATGAGCGCTGAGCTTTTCCGACCGACGGATTCACGATTCGCCTATAATTTCCCCAGATCTGCGCTGCGGATAGGGCGGAGGAATGCTATTACATAAGGCTAAGAATTAAAGTCGAACTTTACGGAATTTGATGCATGTTGATGCTAGATCATCATCAACACATGGATGAATGAGCATAACTCATTCAGCGACGCGTTGATTACGCTCCATGAACAGGCGCTTCATTCCATGTGAAGCGTCACTATTTCGAGGTCCTGGAAGACCCACTTTCCAAGCACGTTTTTTTCTGCAATATCTTCCCTGCCTCTAAACCTGGCCGGATGTTTAAACTTTATATAACCTATACTGCTCTTTCGGTACCGCAACTGTATTACCCCTCGACCACACAGTTCAGTGTATCTACATGAACGGCGTCGTAGCCGCACTGCTATATGGAACCGTGCTCGTTGTTACGTCGTTACTATCATGGAGCATATCTTCACCTCGATGATCGAATGTTGCTCGTGTTGAAATGGCGGGCTGCTATCATTATCCGAGCAGCAGAACCCCTACGCATCTCGTATCTTCGATTTTGATATAGAATTCTAGAAGAGGCAGGCAAGCTCATAATCATGACCGCAACGTAAGTGAAAGGAAACTACAAATGTGGAATAAACTTGGTCCAAGCTACTGTTTCGTATACGCCAGGAGGCAGCGATTGTAAGCTCATCAATAAAAGTACAATTAGTGTAACGCGTGCAACAATATATATGAGAGCGCCAACGACTAAACCCACAGGTGCGACAACTTCATCCGTCCGAATCGTTCCCCCAAATAAAATAGCTCAACATCATAATACCTACCGGTGTTAATACTATCTCAAGGGAAGCCACACGCCAGAGTAACTGTTCTGTACGCCCCTGAAACACATCATTCCAGCCTAGACAATGTATCGCTCCAAACACCGCCCCACTGCAACATCCGATGGCAAGTATAATGGTTCGATGACGACCGGCACCATCCTCATCATAGCCACCTACAGACGGAACCCGATGTGAATGGACAGCACGGGGGGAATTGAATGTGGCGGCGCCCATAAGAGTAAAAATCGGATAGACACAAGAGATAAAGTAATGGGAACAGTTTTCACGGGAGAACATTGGATTTACTTTGCTAGAATGCAGGCGAATAAGAACAAATTTGGACAGCAATGTTGATGACATACTCGTAGGCTAATCTTCTTGGCCGAGATGCAGTTGCTTTCCAATAAATAGCATGAGGACGTCCCACATCCTTGGGCTTCTTCCACCAAAAGCCATAGGTAATGCAGGTCAGGGCAGCTACAGCCAGAGTGTCGATTTCAAGCAGTGTTATCGGAAGGTTCTGGGTGTAACGGGCGACAAGCTGAAGAACGAACCACGCCAGCTGAAGAACGGCAATGCCCTTGGATAATGCGTCACCCTTGCTTCGATCTTCTATGTCTGCTTCTATGATGACAGGTACGTCCACGGATCCCTCACGAACAAAACGCAAAAGTTCGTCGGGTCGAAGAGTGGCTCGCGACTTGTCATCGAAGTAGAGCATGAATCCACCCATCCACGTAAAAAAAACCCTGCGTCACAGTCCAATCTGTGAGACATCAGTTGAATGACTCACCGAAAGGCCAAGCAGGTGACTGACCTTCAAAATCGCGACCTGCAACATGCGGAGCGCTCGGATGTGGACTGTCCCTTCCATCTGATGATGGAATTTCACTAAGCAAAGTAGCTGCACTCTCCCCTATATCTGGACGGTCGCTGCGGGCCTGGTGAGGTTGCGCACCAAAGGCATCGTTGAAGGCCTTTGCAGTGTCACGAGCACTCATAAACTGACTCGCAGCCCAGGTGATCATGAGTTCTGGGGCAATCAACGCCATGATCATGATGCATAGGCGACGACAGAAAACAGTCACTTTCCCCTCGTCAATACCCGGGATGTTTGGGTGAACTGCGGTCCATGTGCATGCGAATAGAGTAGCAGCGCAGCTCCAGATGATGTTCCACAAGCTTCTGGTGTTACAGCTGGGTGGAGAGTCACTGACATTGAGTGTAGGGGTACTAGTACCATTGAGACTTGGCAGTGAAGCATAAACAAATGTAATGCATAACAGGACAGCGTAGGGCAGGAGAGTCATGTGAAGTTGGGAGCCACAGCATACTGTTTCCGTCTTTAAGAGTTAGAGTGCCTATCATCGCATGACACCGGCAGCTGTACGCTTGAGAAATATACTCACAAACATTCACGCTTTAAATATACATATGCATAGCGTACAGCTTAGCACGATCTTTCCCAGTTCAAAATATCTTCAGCGAAGGTATTACAGCTGTTTGCATAAATGATGACAGTACGCGACTTTTTGAGAAAGAAGAATAAATAAATAAATCTTACACAGCAGTAAATAACGCGTCCCGCATGTATGTGAGTTATGATTGAGTCGAAAATGACAAACTCGATATCCTCTGATTCTATGGACTCTGACGACGATTCGATAACGGCGGCTGTCAGGGACCAGTATGACATCTCTCCAGGGGATGAAACAATTGTCGTGGAACCCACTTCCGAACTAGAATCACCAGAAAACGAAAAACGCGGCCCTGGTCGCCCTCCCAAGGGCCAAGCCCAAGGAAGGTACAATTGTTCGAAGTTCATTGACCATTGATTCTTGAATACCTGAATGTGAGATTTTACTCAGTACCTCCACCACCACACAATGTCTCGATCTCGTACACTCTCATAGTGTATTCATACTCAGAAATGAAGAAACCAAGAAGGCTACAGGTGGGGCTAACAACGTTGCCTATCTTGCGCCAAAGTTTAAGGACACGCCAGAAAGTACTTTCCGAGAATCCAACACAAGCGAGAATGTCCTGAAGAGAAAGGTGTTGACGCTCGTAGAGATTGACGGCAGCGAGTTTGACGTCGCGACTGATTTTTTGATACATCGATGTTGATTGCGGTTGATTGTTGCGGCGCAAGACGAAGTGCCACACTAGAATATTTAATTTTTCTTCTTTCCCAAAAAGTCGTGTACTGTCATCATTTATGCAAACAGCTGTAATATGGTGAATAGCAACAAATCGACCTACCACCTCTCTGAATAGTAGTATCACGATAGTACTAATTAGTAAGCTCTGAGTACTCAGAGCCTTTGAAGTTTTAACGTCATTGACAATGGCAAGCAGCCGGCAAAGCAGTTTGGGCTGTCTGTGTGAGGCCTGTGCAGACTTAACGCAGACTTTGCGTTTGCTATCGTTGAGCGGTCTTAGCAGTAGTAGCGAGAACGAAAGAAAATGTTTGCTTTATTGAAGCAGATAGTTTTTCGGGTGGAAGCCCCGAAGGGGCGACCCGGCCCCGATGGCGGCCCCAACCTGTGCGAGAGAGAGCCGAGGTGAGCTGCGATTCCCAAGTGTTAGGAGTGAGAGCGACGCAGCGAAGTGAACCTCGGATCCCGAATTGTAGGAGCCTCAGAGCGACGCTTCGAGGTGAGGAAAGCGGCGTTGGAAAGAAGAGATAGTAGCTTGAGGGCGTCCGCGTTGCGGGCATCTGCGTGAGCAAAAGTGCAGGCATCCGCGTGAGCAAAAGTGCGGGCATCCGCGTTAGCAAAAGTGCGGGCATCTGCGTGAGCAAAAGTGCAGGCATCCACGTGAGCAAATGTGGGCATCTGCGTGAGCAAGGTGCAGGGAAGAGCAATGGGAGGGATAGAGTAAAAACCAGTATGCAGGACGATCTACTTCACGACAAGGTGAGTAAGCAGATAGTTCCCTCCCTTTATCAGGCTCCTTGCCCTGATGGGCGAAAAAGGAACCCGACGAGAGTTTGCAACGGCAAACTTCCTGCATGAGTAAACTTGAGAGGGCGGCGCAGAAGCGTTTTTGGATGCCCTCTACCCATGGCCAGCTTCCCCGCCGGGCTTGTCTTCATTGCATGCGGATGCGTGCAAGGATCCAGGCCCTCAGAGCCCACCGTGTTGCCAAGTGGCCGGCGAAGATAGCCTAGAAAATAGAAATCAGGCCAATAAAATTTTGAGAGTCACCTAGGGTCACGAAAGATTGAAGAGGAGAGGAAACGTAGAGAAAAGAAAAGCAGAAGGCAGCAGGCAGGTTTGAGCCTGCTGGAGCGTGGCGCGAGCACTGCGTGGTGCAGAGACAAGAGAGGCCACGTGCTGCACTGCCGCTGCCGCAAAGTCCTAATTCTAACCCTACGCTCGTACCTCGCTTCGGGGTAGAATATCAAACTCCGCGTGGTCTGCGTGCTGGTCTTAGTATGTCAGCGTTCTTCAGGAGTTTCCGGCCAGCGTGCGTCAACCGCCCAAGGCAAAAGATATCTGTGGTTCTTTCATACTTAGTCTTACTCACCCCAATCACACCCCAATGGAGGCGGCAACTGCGAAATTAGAGTCAAAGTGAATCGAATCATCATCGACATCATGCAGCTGACTCTCCACGGACCTATAAAATAGCTGAAAATCATACTCATATTGATGATTGGTCACCATCTTGGATCATTCATGCTATTCGAGGATGGGAGCGAGCGAGCAGGGGGACTTGGTAGACGTATAACAATCTCATTCGTGCTTGATATACCACCATCCGGTGCTTACATCGCCAATGTGATATTTGAGAGATGATATCTGTTTGATCGAAGTGTTTCAGCCTGAATTCCAGTAGAAAGACAACGTGCATCCAGGGATACCAATAGGATCAAGGTAAAAGCTGTTGGCGAGATTGCAAGCAGTGACTTGTACAGAATGTTTGAACGCCGCAAAAAATCGGGGACTGTTCGTGAGTTCGGCAACCTGCCAGTGCGATCTTCGAAGTATTCTTTCGGTATGCTTGCTACAGTCGAGTGAGGGGTTCGGCTTCGGCCCCTCAATGATACCATTGATCCAACATAGGTTTGAACGGCGCCCAAGTCGACCTCGTGGCAGACATTGTCAATTACGACATGAGCAGAATCCACAGCTTTTCTTCAGATTCATGTACACGTTGATTAGTACAAATACGACCAAAAGTGCATACATGTGTCGCATTCAATTCCCTGTCATAAAACACGATCGACGTATGGAGCGACGAGGGCAGTCGTACGAAGGAGTGTGCAAGCGTGCATTATCAAGCACAATGGCAAAGGAACGAGCGAGTGTGTGGGCGTCTTAATAAATACAGAATGAAATATGGATCGTCAGCATATACAAGGTGAGGGACATGCGAGACATGCCCTTGAGGACTGGAAAATGAAAAGACCAGTCAGGAGCGAAGGGTTGGGTGGGGACGACATAGGCAGAATAAATAGGAGGGATGGCTCAAGATACAAGATGTTACAAGACGGTAATGGGCACGGCATTCCCAGCCACCATGAAGGCCATGCAAGAGCAGAGAGGAACATCCAGAACTATGGGACACATGAATATGTGACCTTGGCAAGGCACGGGTGTGAAGGGGGCCATATCCTGAGAGGGCTCAAACGGCGCCCTTGACCATTCAGGGAGTGCACAACTTGCGTCCAGTTGCAGGCAGGTTGACCGGGACCTATTTGTCATAATAGGATACAATGCAAAGGAAGCAAATAAGATTATGATAGCTCCGGTAAACAGTCACAAATATCTTGCAATACCTTGTGGCGCTCGTCATTGCAAGGCCACGACATCTCGAACACATGCCTTCGCTGCCATCATTAGAGTCTTTTGCCAAGGTACTTCTGTATTTTTTTGCGATGTTCAGCAAGCATTCATAACACATTGTCCACAGGGAACCGTCGCTACCGTAGCTGGTGTTGCAACGTTAGGTCCAGCGCCTCCTAATTTCTGATGTTCTCGAGTAACCTCTATGTCTTATAAGGCTGCGGACTACTATACTACGGACAAAATTATCTCATTTACCCATCCGCATTCCCCCCGGGCTCTCGCACAGGTGTGTTTACCGGGCACTTCACATCCCCCGTCAACGTATTTGACCAATCTTTAACAGAGGTCCCAGTGCCAACGGATTTTGGACTTGAATACCAGGATTTACCCCTCGTCACTGAAGATGGGTTTACTTTGCGGTGCTATCTTCTCATGCAACGGACAGAGATAAGCAATAGCCACGCTTCACGCATTGATTACGCAGACCAACAGACGCATGAAGAGGTACGTCACACTATCCCGATACTTTACATTCGTCCATTCACTTCTTCTACTTGTTCGTACAATGCAAGTTTGCATCCACTCGACCAACAGTTTTGATGTTCCACGGTAATGGTGGAAATCACGGTCACCGGATACCTCTCGCCAAAGTATTCTACGTCAAAATGCGTTGCAATGTACTCATGCTCTCATACCGCGGGTGCGCCTTCTGTCTTTCGCAATCCAGTCTACCTCGAGTCTGGGGATCCATTTCTCATTTATGCCAACAGATATGGTCATTCCGAGGGTTCTCCATCAGAATCAGGCGAGACGTCGTATCTTCAGTAATTTACTCCCTTTGCTTACTGTAATTTCTAGGCATACGTATAGATGCTCAAACGGCGCTCGACTATCTCACCTCGCACCCATACCTGAAGAATACTCCTGTTGTAAGTATTGTCAACGCCACTTTCAAAGGATTGGACTAACTTGCTTTGTATCAAGATCCTTTACGGCCAATCTATTGGCGGTGCTGTCGCTATTGACCTTGCAAGTCGAAATTCATCAAAGGCGATTAAATTCCAATTTCACTTCCATACCTATCATAATCTAAGACCGTGTAGATCGCGGCGCTAATCCTGGAGAACACATTCACGAACCTCCCACGTCTCGTACCTAAAGCTCTTCCTCTTCTTGGCCCTCTTTCATTCCTTTGCCATCAAAAATGGGACTCGGCATCGAAAATACCTCTAATACCCCGGTCGATGCCAATATTGATGCTGAGCGGTGTTAGAGATGAAGTTGTTCCACGCGAGCACATGCAAGAGTTATGGCAGATTGCTTCGCGACGTCAGGGTACCAAATCCAGTGGCACCGGAAACAAATCTGACATATCGGAAGTCGGTAATGGAAAGTCGAGATTCCTTGAATTCGAAGGAGGACATCACAGTACGTTATTTCGGTGATCTGAATTACTGGGTTTAATGGTGGCATTTAGATGATACGTGTGTCCAGCAGGGATATTGGACTGCAGTTGCTGACTTTATGACAAGTTTGAGTCGGCATTAGAACCCCCTGACGCGTGACATCATGATCATGTCATGGCGTTGGACAGTTTTTTTTCTTCCTTTCCCTGTTTTGACACGTTCCTTCACAAACATGCACATTCACTATTACATATCATTTCACCATGAGGAAATCAACTAGTTCTGGTTCATTATCATTGTAACAGGGAAAACAAAGGTCCAAATAATTGTTTTATCCTTCGTAACGATACGCAACCATCGCTTCTATCCGGTGTAGATCAGTGCTGAAGCTTCGCAACTTCACTTGCTGACTCTTGCTCGCCTCAATCGCCAGCGGATCAGTGTCGACCCACTCATCGGCAGGCACGTCAGCGGAATCATGCGTATATGCAAGGATGTTGAAGACAGTCGGCGTGTCAATAATTGGGAGGAAGGTTACAGTTGATACGATTTGTTTGAGGATGTAACGAATCTCGGCTTGGATTTCTGATTCAGGTTTTGCAGGTGTTCTTGTGAAGCAGGGTTAACCAACCGGATGCAGCGAACAGCGGTAGACTTACGGTTCGGTAGAATCAGCCGGTTGTTCAACGAGGTTAACATCGAACACCCATCGCTCAAGTGGTAGTCTGGTATCTTTTGATATAATCGCAAGTACGAGTTGCGTTACCGACCCAGTAAGTAGCCACTCTGAAAGCCCAATTTAGTTTGGGTATAAGAAATCGCGTGGCACCCACTATTGAGCTGCTTCAGTATCCTTAAATTAAAGTAAGCAAGTGTACGAAAATCGATATCGAATGAGATGCACCTGTCGAGGTAGTTCTCTAGCGCCAAGTCCTGAGTGACGAGGACAGTTTGCCCGTACTTCTTTACCATGTGAAAGTCATCAGATGGGTATACTCCTCGTTGAAAGAGAATCCTGTTGCAAGGCATGAAATCGTGAGTTGTTCAGTCGGAAAGTGGCTCGAAATAACGCACGTGTTGGCTGCATACTTGAAAAAACTCCGTAACAAGATTCGTGGAACCTTTCAGAGTGATGGCCTGGCGTGTTGGTGCTTGAGATGTTGCCATGCTGACAGATGCTGCTGAACAATATGAGATGGAGAGACTAACTTAGTACTAGTAGCTGCTAAGTTAAAGACTGACGAACGTCGAACATACTCGAGCGTGTTTTGTGACGCGAATAGATCACGTGGAGTTGTTTGTTTCTAAAGCTCTTGCCAAACAAACGTGATCATACTTATATAATATACCAAGTGTCACGAGAAGCATTTGAAATCCTCTTTCTTCATTTCATATCGCCAAAGCTTCGGGCCATTCACCATTAGCACATAAAAATGCACGAAGCGGACCCGACATCTCAATCGAATTATCTGCAGATCGCTACGAAGCATATCACCTTTGATTGGACAGTTGATTTCGACAACAAGGTCATCACAGGCACCGCAACACATGAATTTATTGCAAAAATTGATGAAGTGTCTGAGGTGATGTGAGAATGATTGTCTATCTATCTATTTGGCACGGGTTTTGAGCTGCCTCAGCTTCGATACTTCGTATCTGCACATCGAGAGAGTAAAAGTTGATGGAGATGCGGTCCAAGACGTGCGCTCTGCGTCTCTTCGCTGGTGTGCTTTTCTGAGCTTGCATTATCTATAGTTCAGACTTGGTCCTAAGCATGAGGTGATGGGATCTGCGTTGCATGTCCCCCTTCCTCGAACTTTGAGTGCCGGGTCGAGTATCTTAGGTTGAGATCACGTACAGGACGACTGCGAATGGCACAGCCTTGCAATTCCTTGCAAAAGAGTAGGTTTTCACTTACCATATGCGCAATTTCGCTTTCCCGTTCATGTCTATTCAGACAGACCCAGGGTAAAACCTTCCCGTTCCTGTTCAGCCAGTGCCAACCTATTCACGCGCGAGACCTCGCTCCTGTGCAAGGTGAGATGCCTCGATGATTTGATTCTGCAACTCTGTCAAAAGCTTATCGCGCATGGACAAGATACTCCGTCTGTGAAGCTAGTGGGTGTTTTCCACTGATCGTGACCCCCGGGCTTGTCGTGCTGATTTCCGAATCATCAGACGTACAGTGCCAGCGTCCGTTCCGTACTTCCAGTTCTTCTATCTGCGAGACGAATTTCTCCGCCCTCAGATGGTCCAGCCCATGATGGCAAGATCATCGGCAAGGATGAAGTTGTGTATACATACGACCAGGCATGTATCACCAGCCTACCATCACAATCTTGCTTCATGACAAACATTGGTGTCTTTAGCCTACCCCGATTCCGTCATACCTTCTCGCGATCGCTGCTGGAAATTTGCAGTACCGGCCGTTCCAGGTTCCTGACGGAAAACAATGGAAGTCTGGGGTTTGGTCCGAGCCTGAGCTTATGGACAGTTCATTCTGGGAGTTCAGCCGAGATACCGCCAGGTAAATGCGCATGAGCCTCCGCGCCGCAAAAATGGGAATGTACATTGTATATCCAGTTTTCTAGCGGCTGCAGAGAATCTTGCCGGGCCGTACCGATTTGGGGTTTATGACCTTCTTGTTCTTTCCGCCGTCTTTTCCTTATGGCGGCATGGTGAGTTGCAAGTTATTCTATACAACCACCTATTCATTACTACCAGGAAAATCCGTGTTTGACCTTTGTGACACCCAGTGAGCACATTGCATGCCTGTATCAGACTGCTGACCCCTTTCAGCCCTTCTTGCTGGAGACAGATCTCTGACAGACGTGGTGATCCATGAACTTACGCATTCATGGTTTGGGAATGGTGTTACGTTAGTTTTCTGCGGGTTTCCCTTCGTACATTTGCTGATGATACTCTAGGCATGCTCACGCTTCTCACTTCTGGCTTAACGAAGGCTGGACAACTTATGTCGAACGTGTGCTACTGCAGATTATACACTCACCCGCACACCGAGGCCTATCCTCTGTGATCGGATACAAAGGACTGTTGGATGCCCTCGCGTTCTTCGAAGACAAACCCAAATACCAAAAACTGGTTATCGACTTTGATTATGGAGAGGATCCGGATTCTGCGTTTAGTCGGGTGCCTTACGATAAAGGTGCCAACTTCCTCTTGCATATTGGTAAGTTATATTTGCTGTATAAAGTTTCCTATTGAGCTAGATTATCCCAGAGCGTACACTCGGTGGCCTTGAAGTTTTCCTACCCTATGTCAAGGACTACATCGCTACTTATATGGGTCACAGTATCACCACAGAGACCTGGAAGAATCACCTCTATGCCTACTTCCAGAAGAATGGCAGTAAGGAACAAATCAAAGCATTGAACAGCATTGATTGGGATGTAAGGCCGGACAACTGATAGTCGAAGAAAGTAATCGCTGAAATTGTCCGACAGGCATGGCTTCATCAAAGCTGGACTGCATTTACCTGTTGAGATGGAATATGATTTGACTCTGGCGAATCCTGCAAATGCGCTTGCCGACCGGTGGTATGAATCACGACACACCACGGATATTTCGAAGCTAGATTTCAAGGGTTCTGATTTGGATAACCTGGATGCCAACCAAAGAGGTGCGCGCCAACATGTTTTTGTTGATTGTATCAGTTGAAGAAGTGAGGTTACAGCCGTCTTCCTCGAACGATTGGAGAGTTACAATGAACCTCTTCCTGCGGGTCACCTTTTCCACTTCGACAAGTTATACGCCTTCTCCAAGACTCTCAGCGCCGAAATTCGATTCAGGTTCTATGCCTTGGTACTTAAGTCCCAGGCAGCAATGCATTTTGTTCAAGGAGCGGCAAATTGGGTTATCGGGGCAGATGACACAGGCGTCATCAAAGGCCGCATGAAGTTTTGCAGACCTGTGTTTAGGGTGATGTTCAAGGTCAAACCCGACCTCGCTATATCAACGTTCAGGCAGGCCCAGACGCAGTTTCATCCCATTGCGCAGAGTCTCATTGCACAGGTACGCATTTTGTTGAGTATGTCCGCATGTCCTTATCTTCAATTCATCAGGACCTTGGGCTGGACCTGGCTGGATTGAGAGTTGGTGGATAAAGGGCCCAAGGGGGAAGAAACGCGAAGAGAAACGGAAAGCATACCTGGACGATACCATCCTTGAATTGAGTCATTCTCCCAAAGTCACGTCACTGTATGATAGCTTTATGAAAAACAAAACAGACTGGTATTAGGCAAATCGGACTTCTGGTGATACAATGAATGGTGATACAATGAATTATGAATGAATCAAATGGCCTTGGCGACTCTTCACCAGATATACGGCGGCGCTTTGCAGCCGGTTCCCGAACATCTTGCTCAGGATGAAATATATAATTTAGCATATCCAAGTCATGCTCCGCCACAATCTTCTCCCCATCCCGCGCACCATCAGGACGTCGAATATCCTTCCGATTAACATGCATAGGATAATGGGTCTTCTGGATCGGTCCAGCCCAATCGAAATCGAGCAGCATGAAGTGTTTGTTGTCTCCCACAACGAAATTGGCATCCCGAAGGTCGCCATGGACGTAGCCGTCATTGTAATCGTGTAGCTCCCGGATGAGAGAGGTGATGGCCTCCTTCAGCGGCTGGCGATCCAAAACAGCTATCTCACTGAGCCGTCGATATGAGCCAGGCCGTTGCGAGAAGCAATCGTTATCGATATCAAGGGCATCCATAATCACCATATTCCAGCCGCCGGGTAAAGGATTGTAGGCGATAAGTTTGGGAGCGTGCCCCTTGCTGGCACAGAATTCGTGGGCCTCAGGGGAATATTGCCTGACGAACTTGATACATATCTTGCTCCCAGCCGCATCGCCGACGGTTTCCCCGAAGAAGATAAGTCGATCCCTTGGGATCTGAGTATCATCGTACGAGAATTCCTGAATGTGACCAGTTGAATTGATATAACTCCGAGGATAAGGACATCCTAGAGATGGATCTTTAGGTTTGAGGGACGGAATTGGATGGGAGTACAGTTTTGTGAGTTCCTCGATGGCGATTTTGAGAGCCCCAAAAGTACGAGCCGCCATCACTTGCATACGGAGGTCTGTTGAATGCCAAAAAAGAGGAATGATAGGGACTAGGACATCAGACTGAACCTTTTCTGTGAAAACAGAGCCTGCAAAGCCAATGCATGCCCCTAGTTGTGGTCAATAAAGGGCTTTAGCAATGAATCTGGTGAAATGAACTAACCGAAGACAGTGATATGGATGCATGGAATGACAGACCGGAGCCTCGCTATCTCAACCTTCGAGTCTTTGATAAACTTGCGGTAGTACAACATTGCTTCCGCGAATGGTTCGGGAGGGCCGCTTCCGATCTCGTTCTTCCCCTCCACTATCACCTGCACAAACTTTCCGTTGGGGGACAAAAGATGTCCGTCTGTCGTACATTTTGTCGAGCCAAACATACCGCAGTCGCGGAGCACTTGCCGGAATGCATTCATCCGCGTGAGCTCATCGGGATAGAAGGAGGACATCTTTTCCGAAAGTTGCCAAACAAGGTCGTTATCACGGACAGTTGGTTGATGATTTTGACAATTATCCACGAACTTGGCGAAAATAGGCTCGAGAAGAGTAACTGGAACAGGGTCCGCGGCTCTGCGAGGAGCTGAGGGAGTACCTGCGCTCTTCTTGAGATAAGCCAACCGTCGATCAACAGCTGGAATGTGTTGTACGACGACATGAATATATCCGCGCTCTACTCCATCCGTGAATACTTTGGACAGTTCGGTTAACGGCTTCAACTCCATGCCTTCATCTCTGATCGCGTCGAGTAAGTGTAGGTCGTTCGGATTGATCTTGACCTTCCAAATGATCAGATCGTCAGCATTAGACCTCGGGTACCGATCACTCACCTGCCATAGCTCAAGACCGTCAGCAGCAACATGGTCAAAACGTGGCTTCTTCGCGTCCTTGATGACCTTTTGGAGGGCGCTGACACTCGCTGTCGGTGCAATTTCGATCTCAAATACATGGCGAGGATCATCGCCCAGGACAAAGCAGTTGAGGTGGAGCGGTCCAGAAGACACTAAGTCAGACCGCGATCAGTAAGGAGGAAAGGGTGGAAATATCGAAAGACAACTCACCGGCAGGTGGGCCTTGGATAACAATATGCAGATGCTTACGCTGAGGAGCATTGTCAAAAACCTCGAGCATTTCAGCCACAGGTAGGGTACCGCACGGGTAACACCGAGGGTCGGAAAGTTGACACCGCACCCGCACCCACCAACACCGTACCCTTCACGGGTATGGGTACACACCGACCCGTCAATGTCGCGGTTTATGGAAAACACCGCGGTGTCTCTGAACACCGCGGGTACATTACCAAGAAGAGTGTATTAAGTATTAACAACAATGAAATAAAATAGTACTACTTTTCCTTGTCATTCTCCTCTGCTTCGACTTCATTTCGCTTCCGTTTTTGAGTCCTGACAGCGGCTAAAAGGTCCTCCATCACCAGAAGATCACTTCTGCCCCACGCTCCGAGGCAGAGAAAGGCACGAATTGTTGATGGTGCGAGTCGGTTGCGAGTAAAATGAAGGAGCTGCCGGCCCTGCGAGAAGACACGTTCAACCGCAGTTGATGTTGCTGAGCAAGATAATAAGTATTGATTGATTGAAAGAGGATTCGAAGGAGACATACCTGGGACAGAGAGATAGTCGAGTGCCATCCGATGCAGCATTGGATAAGCACGGCAGTTGTTTTGCCACCATGCGAGTGGGTCCTTGGTTTTCACAGTTGGTAATCGAAGAAACTCATCCAACTCGCTACTAGTAGTACGAGACATGGAACCAAGTGAGTAGTCACCAAAGTCATCCTCGTTCTGTATAGTTGTCAGTGTCAGTGCAAAATTAAATGTTGCATACGGACTGTGTCTGCTTCAATGTCATCAGTAATCTCGGCAGATTTCTCGTATTTATCAATAAACTCTTCGCGAACGAGCTTCTCGGCAATGTCAATCCATTCTTTCTCCCAGGAATGCTCACGGAAGTACTCGAGCTTCAAGCCAGGATGTAGGACTTTATGAAGATGATTAATCAATGATGTCAATTAAAGTTTGAAAGGCTGACCCATGGCAATGCGGTATACGTTGGAGAGATCTGTAATCTTCCAGTAGCGATCCATCTTGTTCTTTGCAAGCTGCATAGCCGACACAACTGCAGGGTGATATGCTTCCTTCGTCTGTTGATTGAGCTTGCTATCAAGTTTGTCCATTGCCGGTATCACGGCTGCGATAGTGGCTGAGTCCTGAGAGAAGAACAAGGTAGCCTTCTTGTATTGCTGGTGGATCAAAATAAGTGAGACAAATAAATACAATGTATGACGAGCGAGACCTACAGAGAGAACCGCAACGAGGTCAGCAACAATTTTCCACTCATCGTCATCCAATTCATATTTTTTAGCCCGCCTGAGGCTTTTATCACTCGTTATGCGATCAATGGGTACCTGATACTGTAACGCGAAGACCAGCATGTCATATGTGGAATTCCAACGTGTCGCAACATCACGTGGCATGAGCTTTTCTTTCAAGTGTGATGCTCCACATGCCCGTCGCCATGCTGGGAGCAAGAGAGTTGTTGAACGAATTACAGCGAAAGACAGACCACGAATCTGCCATATGATATTAGCTAGTATTAGATGCGGATCTAAGACACTGACCTTTGCAATAGTTCCTTTGACAGCGGCAGTGTCATCTAACATCTTCTCACGATTGGCTTGCGAGAGCATTTCCAACTCGTCAATATTGTCATCAGCGTCATCAAGCTCAGAGGTCAAGTCAACTTCCTCTACTTCCGAATCATCATCTAACATAAGTGGCGGCTCATCATCATCCACATCATCATTGGCTTCAGATGTTGATGCTACTGATGACTCGGAGCTGAATGGTTTCAGCAAAGCTTTTGCCGAAAGCTGGAGAGTATGATTAAAACATCGAACACGGTTGACAGACTCAAACGAGTTGTCGAGGCTCGCAAGCTTTGTTGTTTGAGTATCATTGGCAGTCGCGTTATCAGCATTGACTGCAAGAATCTACAATCTTCACGTTAGCATGATTTCTGCAATATTCAAGATCGGCTTACTCTCTTCGTCAGCCCAAAGCGTTCTAGCATTGCTTGAAAGGCTTTCGCCATTGCAGCACCAGTATGTGACTATAAGATAAGATTGTGAAGATTGGTGGAGCATTCGAAATGGCCTGTGACGTACCTCGGCAACTTCAATGATGTCAAGCAGAAATGAAAACATTTTACCCTCATACTCGAGGTGGACTGTCCACGCTACAAAAGCACGGTGGTTGGGTGAAGTCCAAGCATCCGTGGCAAAGTGTAAGCGTCCAGGGTGATCCTAACCATTGTGTTAGCCAATTTTCTGATGTTAGCGAAAAGCTTACACGGAGAAGCTGTCCAATGCGTTCGCTACACTTCTCGAATGCTACTTTGATATTGCGGGACAATACATCAGGTGATGGAAGTTCAATGTTCGGGCGACCTGCACAAAGAAGCTCGCGGAGTTCACGATCATTGATTATATTAACTGGGCGATTACTTTCAGTGATCCATTTCACGAGACGAGCACTGAAACTAATGTTAGCATGCAAAAATATCCAGATTCAGATCATTTACCGAACTTCTGGGTTCGTGTGTGTCCGATGGGAGTAATGGACGGGCTGTTGGCCTTGGCGTGCAAATGCTGCGTAGACAGAGCCACTATTAGCACCAGCATCCTTGCCCTTCATGGCGTTGTTGACGGCATCCTCGCCAAAGCATCCAATGGCATGGTGCTTCAGATTAGTCGTCGAGGACTTATCCTTTGTATCCTGATAGCGGCGCACACCACCTAAAGCTGTCTTACACTTACGCGCACCACACGGGAAAAAATGACACAAGCGGCCATTGTGGTGTTGGACCACAACTTCGGATGAAAAGAAACTATAGATAGGTGACCGCCAAGTCTTCTTGAGAGCCTCTGTATCATTGTATAATCAGATATTTGCAAAAATCAATGGAAAGAAACATACCAAGATCTGCAGAAGGATCGGGATCAGGCTCGAATGCACCTGCCGTTGATTTGTTATCGTCAGTGGCAAGTGAATCAGTACTTGATCGCGTAAGATCAACGGTGTCTGTGGGGCTCGATCGAGAAGACCGAGACACAAATGACTGCTTGACCTTCTTCAAGGGGCGGGCCAGAGCCTTAGCACCCTTTGCAACAGCCTTTTTGAGTGACCTGGCCTTCTCGGAGATGGACGACGAGATAGACTTAGATGATGAGTGTGACTGGGTAGACGAAGCATCAGATGCCTTCTTTGTGAGCTTAGTTTTCATGGGGAGACGACTCAGTGGACTTACTGGTCTCGAGTTTTTGCCTTGGCTTTATGGTAGTGACTCGAGCTTCTCTGCAACGAAGTGTCAGCTCAATAAATTGCTAGAATGATTCACGGGGGTACAAAAGACATGACAGAAATCAGTATAGCATTCACTTGTGATCCTCAAGCTCTCAGAGGAAGGAAAAACAGAGAATCAAACACGGTGTTCAATGGCTGTCGCGCGCCTGGTTCCCGATTTGGTATATTATACCTGCCCAAACACCGTCAACCCGCGGTGAATGGCCACGGTATGCTCAAGGGTACGACTATCCTACTCCGTACCCGTACCCTCCAAACCCGTCAGCATAGAACCGCGGTGTTACCCGTACCCGTGCGTTTCCCTAGCCACAGGTGATAGGGATTTCTTTGTGTCAAATGTAAGATTGCTAAGCTTGTGCTCGATCGTCTCGTCGGCAGGCAGGTCGACCTTCCAAAATATCAGATTATCAACACCTAATCGTAGGCATCAGATCACTCACCTTCCATAGTTTGAGGCTGTCAGCATCAACATGGTCAAATTGTCGCTTCTTCTCATCTTTGATGACCTTTCTGAGGTCACCAACAGTCTGTGTTTGTGCAATGTCGACGGGGAAAATACAGTTTGGGTCATTTCCCAAGACAATACAGTTGAGTTTGTACATCTGACGTTGAGAACAGGGGTAATAGTGTATTGAGCGCTGAACAGTGACCGCAGTGCTGCAGCGACAATGGGCTAACAAAGCCAAGCAGCCACACCACGTGACCGCGGCAACCTTGCTACGACGTCATCCGATTCCCAACTTCCCCAGTCACTTTTCATTGTCGGTTACAGCGCGTCCTTGTTGATTGTCATCAATAGTACTAATTGCTTCCAATTAGCTTCCACCCTGTTCATGGATATGTACCGTTATGTGTCAATGTACTGTAGTGCTGCCGAAGTTCGGTTCCGTCCGGTTTTTTTCAAGATAACTGAGGACCGAGAACCAAACCTCGGTCAAGTTCACACAGGTAGGTTGGACTCTGGGCCGGACCACTTCGAACGGGTTCACAATGGTCAGGTTCGGGTTCGGACCAGTTCGAACTGCCGAACGTGACATAATATTTTGCAAAATTTACCAAGAGATCTACAAACAATTGTAGGTTAGTATGACAGACCCCTGAATAGCAAGGGAGTCTTTTGCGATGCAAGCAAAGTCCTCAAGTTCCTGGTGAGGCCTTTGATGAGCTGCATCATGCGAGACACGAGCTTTGATTGCATTGCACATCCAACTATGACCACAATCACCTTAGCGCGAGAGGGACGGTACAGAAACATAATGTCCAAACCAGACTCAGAGAGGAACTTCTTGTGTTTGGCGCGGATCCGACATATGACCAATCAAAGGTCATCTCCCATACTTGGATGCGGTTGTCCATGAAATTCTATGACTCCATCCTCCGCTAGGCGAGTTCAGTCGTCTTGTGAGTGTGTATGTCTACATGTGAATAGACACTCACAATAGGTCCATTGAGCGAACCTGTGGGCACAGAGTCCGGGGAAATGACGGACAGTATATCTATAGCGAAAGGGACATTGATCACGATATCAGGCGCGGTGATCAATCGCTCTTCGGCCATCTGAGGGCCTGACGCAAAGGAATTCAAGCCTGATCGTTGGCTGACTGAAGATGTGATCGGGAAGGCTGCAGTTGTAATGGAAAGTATTTGCTCAAGCTGTTTAATCACCCTTCCCTCGAGCTGATAGGATAGAAGACTTGCACTTTGCGCATGTTGGTTTGCGAGTGGATGGAGCGGAACCTTGAATGATGGGTTCGGACCGGTTCGGACTGGTCCGAACGGGTCCGAGAACCATCTGAGACTCCCTGAACAACGAACCTAGGTAGGGTCTGGTCCTGCATTGTGTGTCGAACCACTAACCGAACGATGGTCCCGTCCGCAAAAGTTCAGGTTCGAACCCAGGTTCGGGACCGAACGGCGGCAGCACTAATGTACCGTCAATCATACCTTTTGAATTCGTATTCCACTGTAAGCACGCTGGGCCCGGGTTTAATAGAGTTCTTCAAACCTTGGATGGAATCGCCGCTCATCGATCAACATCAGAGTTTTTTAAACTGGATGATTTCGTTGCTTGGTTTCAATACAATGGTGGGGTCTTGGATACTTCGGTGATGGGCATCAGGTACCGATTTCCCTGGCAGTGGACGTGGTGCAGTCGCACTCCAGGATGGCTGAAGAAAAACATGGTGGGGGGCGTAGTGAGATAGGCATTATATACCTATAGTTTTATCCCGAACCCTAATGGGGAGTACATTCAAGGATACTCTTATGCAACGCAGTTGTGTCTTGCTGAGGTGTTGTACCGAATCAATCAATCATATGACTTTTGAACTTCATCCCTAACCACAAATCACCAGTGCATCTTAGGAGCAGTCACCTGTGGTTCCGAGGAAACAGACTGGAAAATACAAATAGAAGTTGAGATTAGGTGTATACAATACATGTCACGGAGGTATACAGTCCAAGTCAGCCTGAAATATAGAATTTGAGGTCCTTGGCAACAAGTTGCACATAGCCATGGCTGGATGCTACACACGAAGTTGTCAGATTGTCTCAAGAATACCCTAATCAACAAGGTGGGAGGACGCACGAAATTGATCACACGCCAATATGTATGAAGACTATGCGCTGCTCTAAGGGCATGTCCTTGTCACAAGCCAACGACTGGACCGCTTGGTGCAGCGCTCGGGCAGCTCGCTTGGAATTCATTTTGCCATCCCTGCACAAGTTTTTGTAGAATGCCTCGACTAAGCGCTGCACAGTACTATCACTGACCTTCCATAATGTCCCGACGACACTCTTGACTCCAGCGAATTGCAGGCCAGCCGCTAGGTGTATCACTTCGTCAGGAGTATCATAGTCACCGCCTGCAGTATCACAGGCGGAAAGAAATGCAAATTCATGCCAAAAGAGATCTGTTTGTGTGATGTCGAGGAGCGAAAGTGGGTGGTCTTGCATGAGAAAGGCCGAATTGAAGGGGTCCTGATATTTCTGTGTCCCGTGACATGAAAAATGGAGCCAAGTATTGTCTCGCAGCGTGCGCAGTGCCCTTGATCTCGTTGCATCAACGCTCATTATCTCGGCGAAGGAAACAGTTGGAGGAGGGGGCAAAAGACTCCGCACCAATTCCAGTTCAGGCTCCACACATTCCAAAGTGAATGAAGCACCGGCTGGGCGATTCTGGCCGATGGCAGCAAAGGACACTGACAGGGACCCGTCATGATTTCTGCGAGCCTTTATCAGCGCGGTAAGCGATGGGGTGTATGAAGAGACGTAGAGCTGTGACAGAAACTGCCCATGTCTCCTGTACTTGCCAGCAGCATGCAATGGCAAGAAATTGAAGACAGATGTCGGGCATCACCATATTCGGGGACGTCGCTGTGCAAATCCGCCCAGATTTTCGACCACTGGGCGGACGACGTCCTCCCACAACTCTATCAAAGCTGTTGTCAGCGCTGGTGTACTTCTGCGTTGGAATCTGGCCACCAATGTCTGGAGTTTCTCAAGCTTGGTGGGAAGTGGAATCTTGGTTGGAGGTTGCTCGTGCCAGATAATAATGGCATCACAAGACGACTTGCTCGTGATGAGCATGATGATAGGCCCACCACGAGCTGCATCTCGAAGATCGGAGAATGAAGGGGGAAGGAGGAAACAAGAGAAGCCCTCGATCCTCCGGATCTCTTCTACAGCTCCATTCCACTCCTTCACTAAATGTCTGTACCGGGCTTCTTCGGCTTCTGCATCGACTGTTGGGGTTGCTTCTCGATCGTTCGCAGGAGATTTATTGAGGAGGGAGCTGAGATCTCTAAATTTCTTCACCAGGGCCGCTGCGTGATCACCGCATGTCTGGAGGCTGTCAAGAGGTGTGTGGAGTCATGTCATCTGGGTCCAGATGATCGTCCTGCCTTGTTCCAACAACTCGACAGCGCAACACACATCACCGCTATGAAGAGCACACGATGCAGCATCCACAGCAAGCATACTTGGGAACGTGGGGGCCATCATGATATTGTGATAAGACGATACTGAAGCTGTCGTGGACATGTAAGCGTCCAAAAGTTGCATGGAAGTTGCATAAGCCTCCAGCTCAGTGGCATGTGAATGTTGAGAAGCATGGTGAACCCAGCGTAGACTTGCTCGCAGGTGAGATAACGAGCCTCCAGAGACAACATTTGCTGCTGCCTTGAGATGATACATAACAGCATTCAGACTGTCATTATCTTCGCCCTCTTCGCCCACACCGGTGCCGTCAAGCCCTGAATGATGGAATGATAGATGGACCCCAGCTAGCGACTCATGGACTACTAATTGACGAGGATCGTATTGCGTCAATAGAGTCAATGCAGAGCGTAGGTTGTCTCGAGACTCGTCGAAGTCTTCTCGATTGCGTTGGTGCTCAAAGCGGGTGCAGAGTTCATGTGCAAGGTTATTTAATGACGAGTACCTTTCTGTGTGACTGACCGGGTACAAAGCCAGCGCTTCCCTCTGAAGTGCGATGGCCTGACCCGAGTCTTTGTCATTGCCTCAATGTTCGAAGCGAGTGATCAGCATTACACTCAGATTGGATAGCAATTGCCCTCGATAAGTATCCACAATGTTGCAGTATTTCAGTGCATCATAATGAAGGGATATCACTTCATCTAAGGCACGGGGTTCATCTGTCCCAAGACACCACGCTGCTCGCTCAGCAAGTTGATTCGGCGTTAATGGAAGTATGAATGCACTGAGCCGCTCCTGCTCAGGATCATTTGCATCAATGCTTCCAACGGAATGCAGGGCGGATGTTTCGATTGCAATCAAAGCTGCTCTGTGAATGTGGCTGTCGGCGTGGGAGGCATCGAGGACTTCGCTCAGTAACTCTCCAGCTGCATCAGCATCCGTTTGAAATCCCCGTTTCGCGAAGTGAGATAGTAGAGCAATGGCAAGATGGAGCTGGGTGACAGTTTGGTCTGGATGATCAGTGGGACGCAAATCAAGGGCATCTTGAAACAGGTGGATAGGGATGTCGAGGTCGAGGTATCTTCCACCAGCTTGGCAACTAACAAGTTTTGCGGTGGCTAGATTGAATAGTGCTGCAGGGCAGCAGGGATGGTCAATGGGGCAGAGATCCGAGGCACGCTCAAAGTGGTTTATGGATTGGTCAAGATCGCTACTGTTCTGCGCCCTGTGGTATCGCGCGAGAAGATGATGTCCAGTATCTGTCATTGGTACTAACGGATCCATATCGCAGGACATAAGCTGCACATTACGAGCTCTCAGCATCAAGATACCAGACTGCATCGATCACTCACGTCAGTAAGGAGGCAAAGAACTGCGGTGTCGTTTTCAACAGAACATCGCTGCTCCAGTGTCATGAACAGTGAAGTACACAGGGATATGACTTCTCCCTGCTTGGGCTGGAAGATCATGGCTGTGATACTCGTTAATGTCCGTAAAATGTTATTTGCAACAAACATCACTGACGATGCGAATTTTCGCTGCGATCCAGTAATTCTCGGACGGAGATCTCGAATGTACGGAGGACTTCTCCGTGACAGAGCATGGGCCCCAATTCGAATGAGGCATACACGCTCACCCAAACTTTAGAAGATGTCTCACAGGGGCTAGAGTCTTTCTCAATACCGGCAGGAAAGATGAGATCAAGTACAACATACAGAAGTATGGGCTCGGTCCATTCGACAACAGCCTGATCTACGTGTACAGGTTTGTTGCTCGTCTGGCATTCAGCACTGTCAGTCTTTACCACTACATGGAAGCCAGCGGGGATGCGTAGGAGACCAAGAGCGAGATCAGTTGCCACGAATGGCTTAAGGGAAATTGTTAATACGAGCTGAGCAGAGATAGATATCACATACCAGTAATGACGACTTGTTGCACTGCACTGATGTGTATCTCTCCTGGGTCCTGGGTGTGTTCTGGATAACTTGACTCCTCCCTAAACAATACGCACATCGTCAGGGATTTAGATGATCAATGCTTCATATACTTACTTTTCCTTTTTTTGCCTGAAAACGCGAGATTAAGTCCATAGATGTGCTATACAACACAACGACTTACGATCATATACGTTTTGAGCTCTTCGTCTCATTGTCATTATTGTTCTCTGACGACTCACGTTTATGTTTTCTGCCTGTCAAGGGCTCGGTGGTAGGAGCGGAATTCTCCACTGGAGAAGTACTATGCGATGACGCTGAAGAAAAGTCTGAGTCAGACTTTGATTCTGATGAACTTGAAGACTCGAAGGTGACACGTCGATGACGGTCCATAATGATGGCTGAGGGATGGATGCAAACTAACACTTGAGAGTATAGAGGTCACGGAGCACTGTACTACCTGTATTATATATGAGGGAATCACAGCATGCATGTGGTATCCACACGGTGCAGCGCTGATGAGTCTACAGAACAGAAGTGACTCGCAGAATATTGAGTCATCCATAACCCCATTTACAATGTGCATAGATTTGCACAGCAGCGGGGATGTTGTGGGGTGGGATATTGATTGAAGCAGCGGAAATGGAGAGGCTGCGAGGCTGAAGAGAAGCAGGTCATTCCAAACCTTCACAAGAATTCGCATATTGCGAAGCGCTCAAGCGCTCATGAGCTCCTGCCTGAATGTCACCCGCCCTTGACAGGTTATCCTACAACCTCAGACAACATGTTGCATGATTCAAAGGTAGAAGTGATGACTATGACGGACTGTGGCGGACAAAATATAACTCGGCCAAAACCCTGCCGACTCCTTTATATCAACTCAACTCACCTGCAATTCAACTTGTTCACGTGGCAACTCGACTCAACTCGACTCAAGTGAAAAGGTCACTGAAACCGCCCCTCCGGTACAGAACAGTCCGGCGCAGAGTACGGTACTACGGTGGATATATCCGCAGTCCGGCAGCAGAAAAATGGCCAGATGGCGGACTTTGAAATTACCTAGGTATGAAACCTGCCTAGCCGGATATACGTAGATGTTTGCACGTGCTAATCTTACTCCTTATTGGCACGTACAGTGCATACTCTTTTCGTATGGACACCACATTTCACCTACTGCCTTCCAACAGTCACTGTCCGAAGCCTGGGTGTGGGCGACTCCTACCGGTAAAGTTCAAGCAGGGCGGTATCAATGACAGGAAGGCATACCTGCTGGTGCGTTCCCCCTTATACTACTAGCTGACCCGTGGTTCATCCCTCAGCAGTGCATCAACCCAACGGTTCACAGTGACAAGTACTGGGTCCATGAAGAGCGCTCACCACCACTCACTCAAGGTGAGGTTGCTGTTGCGCCATCTCTTGCAGGTGGACATGCTCCTGCAAAACCAAAAGGCTGCCAGTCAGCTTTCTGTGTGATCAAAACGGTAAAAGCTGTGTGCCCCAACCACATGTGCAAATCACACTGTATTTCCACTGGTGGCTGCTTCTCCCATGGCTTCCCACCTAATCCACAGCTTCTGCCATGCCAACGCCGCCATCCACGCATCTGCTGCTTCCGCCCATCCCAAACACTGCCATCTGCATATCCGCCGTCTGTGTCTGGGGCAGAATCCTATGACATCCTTGATGACTTCTTGTCCCGCACTGCTCCTGCAGATACAACTAGCTGGGACGCTTATTACTACTTGTCTGATGTTGACCACGATGAGCAAGACTTACAAGCTGCGCTCGCTCAATCTGTTGCTGACCTGCAGCCTTTGCATCCGCCTCCTCCTCCTCCTCCTCCTTCTCCTCCACCACCACCTCCAGCTCAAGCACAGACTACAACTTCGAAGCCTAAGAAGGGGAAAATTCGAGCAGCACCTGGCAGTATGAATGAAAACCGGGAGGGCCTTGGATCCTAGGCTGTCGACACAGCTCAATGACTCTTGGCTGGCAACCCACACTAGGCGCGAGGCACTGAAGATTGACTTTCAACAGCGCGCTGAAGCTAAGAAGGCTCACGAACAACGTCTCAAGGGTCGCTTTCTTGTCAATTACTGGGACCAGGTATGTTTTCTGTCATTGTTCTTGAAGGTTGCTTACACTCTCATCTAGAATGGTGCTGATCCTGTTTCGGTCACTGTCTACAAGCGCTCTACTGTGTGCTCACTCGCCGAACATCTGGACACCCTGCAAGCTCTCAGCACGGACCTTGGACCAGTCGACTACTATGATCTGAAGCTTCGATGCTGGATTCAAGATGATTTGAATTGTCCCCTTGAAGTTGTGACTGATAGCCAGCTGTTTATTTCGCAGACGAGGAGTTGACTGCAAAGGGTTCCAGGACTACTTACAGGACTATGTTCAGCCAATTGGGCATAACAACCTCCGAAATCTGACTTCTGAGTGATGAGCTGTCCGTGAAACGAGGAAGAAACTAAGACCTGACCTCGCCAAAGACTCCTTCACAGACACCAAGGCCACGGAGGCCAGGGAGGCACTGCTATCGTGGTAGCACTGATGATGGATCCGATATTGACATTGATGATGGTGCTCCAAGTCTTGCCACCTCACCCGACTGGCGCTTGTCTGTTCCCTCACCGGCCTCGAGCTTTACTCCAAGTCAACTGCTACCTGACGATTCTGATTTGGACTTTGGTTCTAGTATCACGTCGCTGGTCCAACGAAAGAGGTTCCACTATCACAATAGTGACAATGAAGACTCTGATTGTCCTTCACCATCCAAGGCTCCGCGTCTCGCCTTTTCGTCTAACGAAGCCCAATGTACTCTGTCACGGGTCCCGAGTGCTGCCAGTGTTGGACGCCCCAACAAATGTGTATCAACTTCCACGCGGTGGCCAACATTCATGTACACTATTGACATGTCTGAAGGCTTGCAGCAGATCGAAAGTCCGGAGATGAAGGAACAGTACCGACGTTTGGAAGATCGCTTTCAAGTGGTATTCGGTGTGCCATTCGCAGCTTCCACCTACCACGACGCAAAAAAACGCTGGCTTCGGGCATCTGAGGAAGGTTTACTCGAAGATGCCGAGGCTGCTGGACACACTGATGCTGGCCATTGGAGCAAGCTGGCCGCCCAAGTTCCCCTCAAGTAATAGCACCATAAGTTGTTTTCCTTCACCTCTTCGTATAGTATTTCACTGTTCAATAATTCCGAGTCCGTGTCATATACCTCCCTTGTATGGTTCTTGTATTGTTGTCTGTATTGTTGTCATTTCGCCCTTGTAATTTTTACCATATATGTTTGCAATGACGCTCGTCGGCGTATTCCTCCCAAAGACTGAAATTGCCTCGGCATAGTAAGGGGTCGATGTGTTATCAAGACATCCAGTAAGCACAGAGGGAGTGCATAGTGCATCCGCAGAATCAAACGCACTCTTTGAGTAGAGATATGACAAACATTACTCCCTGGGTTACACTCTTAAGGGGTCGACGTGTTATCAAGACGTCCAGTAAGCACAGAGGGAGTGCATGGTGCATCCGCAGAATCAAACACACTCTTCGAGTGGAGATATGACAAACGTTACTCCCTGGGTCCTACCAGTCTTACAGACTGCGGGAAGTTGATAACAAAGACTTTTCCCATCACCGGTGGGCATTAGGACGAAGACATCCTTTCCATCCAGTGTGGCGTTGATAGCTTCAAGTTGGTTTTGCCTGAAAGAAGTCAGCCAAAACACACTCTTCAAGACATCCACGGGTACCTTTCCATGATATGGGGTCTGCAAGATTTGAGCAGGTAAAACCACAGTGTCATGTCAGACAAAAAGTCCGCTGAAGAGTAGCAAATCAACCACAGCGTGTATTGCATCTCCTCCCACTTACCGTCTGATCTTCACAAGTGGTCTCCACTGGAATGAAGCCTCCGGGTCCCGAGAAAATATCATCTGCGCAATGGATATAGGCACGCCTTGACAGCATGGGCTTGAGCCATGTCAAGATCGACAGGGTGCTAAGCAGGGTGAATCAATGTGGCGCATACATTCACGAGACTAAGGTAAAACGAGAAGATGAAATAAGGTAAATGTAAAGCGAGACTAAGGTAAAATGATAAGGCAAACATGTAAAGACCGTCTAGGTAGTTATGTTCTTAGTGCTGGCTGTGTCCAAAGACCCCACCTCAATGGGATAGTCGTATGATAAGCCTCGAGGACTCATCTCACTGCCACCTGCATCTGAATCCGACGGAATGCTGATGACATCCATAGATACCTCTCGCTTGATGCATTGCCAATGGTGATTATAGCAAGGTAGGATGATCCTTCACTTCTGTGGTCGTCGTTCAACATAGATGTCAAAGTCGAGCGCAACTTTCACATTGAGGTTCTTGAGGTAGACGTAAGGCTGAGTCAGGGTGAGGACATGACCTGCGATGATCTTTCTCCAGCATTCATGCGTAGTGTTGTAATAGTAGCAGCTATCGTCCGCAAGCCAAGGGTACGAAGCCAGTCTGCAGTGACTCTGATGCGTGGCAACACGAACCCAGTCTGAAAACTCGCAGACGGCTGGCAGCTCTCCACCCTAACAACGAGCTAAGTGCCATATCCATTATTTTATGACTGTCACGCACCACAGACCAGCCGATTGCTGTGACCGTGTTCTCAGCTGCGATGGAAAGCTCATATTCAAGAGCCTCAAGTTCAGGCGCTGGTGAGGAATAGTGTCTTGGGTAGTAGGGGCCACACTTGATAAATGGAGAGTTCAGCGGTGTGTCGGACATGATGAGGGATGCGAGTGGTTGAAAAGCTGAACATCAGAGCAGAGAAATGATTGGTAGGTACATGCTGAGATTGTGATTCAAGTCGTCAGCCACTGTTGTAACATAACAAGGGAACGAGTCTTACCAAATTACTGGAATGAATGGGCGTACCTGGAATAGCAGTGAGGAGGTCAAAGTCAAGAAAGAGGGTCGTGAAATTAAGGAAAGAGACATGCAATCAGCCTTTGTACGTCGTTTTGGGTGGAGTCTAGAAATGCTAGATTACATTCATGAATGTATGTGCGTCATAGTACAAATCGAGTGTGTATATAGATCTATGCATCTGCGGGGGAATACCAAGGGAATTGACCATGATCCTCCATGGTCTTAATGAGCGCACAGTTGCGACGCATCACCATCTCATCGAAAAAAAATCATACTTGTCAGGAAGCATCTCATGCACAATGTTATGATAGCCACCTAACCAAATGTTCACCTATTCCGCAATCGAGGAGTTGAAAAACCATGAACCGTCAGCATTCAGAAGCTCTGGATAATGTGCAGGATTGCATCGTGTCTGGCAGAAATCGTCACCCTCTTTGTGCTTGGTTTGAAAATGGAATGCATTGACACACATGCCAACATTGTCAAACCAGGTGTCGTTGCGACTCTGGACTTCACGAAGGGCGTTACAGTTGCTGTCGTACATGATGTGCTCGGGTTTCTGGGCTCCAGGGAGAGAAAACATAGTCTTGACCATATGCTGTGAGACGAGTTAAGTTGTGTACCTGCCATGAACGAAACAATTTGACTCACAAGGACATTGGAGATCGCCTCGGCTGCAACCATGGTGGCACGTGCTACAATTATCCCGCACGGACGAATAACGATCTGCTCATTGTGTGTCCGAGAACGACCAAACTTGGCTCTGAGCTTGCAATTGCCAAGCTCGGATTTGCCATCACAGGTAGCGTCAAGTTCACCAGTCGAGGACAGGTTGTTGAGGGTGAAAAGCTTCATGGATTGAGTCGTCGGGTCCAAAGTGTACCACTCGTCCTTGAACTCTAGATCGAGGGCATCTGACAGCTGCTGTGCGACCATGGCATCATTTGGTTGTGCAGCGTGCATCTTCTGGAGGCGCTTTGCGGCTTGGAAGTTGGCACGCATCTTCTCACCATGAAGGCATTCCATTTCCTGGTGGGCTGGGAGTGTGCATGCCTTCCATCCCGGTGATATGGGCATATCACAGTCGACTATAGCACAGACCTTGTCAAGACCCTCATCGAGATGTTGACGGCAGAATCGTGACCGGTTATTGGCAAGTGGGTTGCGGCATCGGAATATGTTGCAGCATGGGCGACCCATGGACAAGCCATCTGTAACGACAACCTGCACTTTCCGTACACTACCATCGTCGTTCCAGTAAGTCCGCATGCAGGTGTCACAGTAGTGTCGCAGTTCTGGCTGCCCCTCACGGACGATGCGCTCGTTGTGGGCTTGCATAGCTGCAGAGAATCTGTGCGCCTGGGTACCATCGTTTGGTACATCAAGTGGGACTCCGCTGTGACAATATAGTTTTCCCTGGGCTGATATTACCCCTTTTTACTTACCTTCACTTACCCACTTTCCTTAGTTTATGTTCGCATTTTTACTGCTTACATAATCATGTCTCCCTTTCACCAGTGTCAGTACCAGTCTGAATCACAGTCTTTTGCTTGATGATATTTCTACTCTCTGAGCTCTGAGTCTAGTACAGAAATCCTTTAGGGTCAAATAGCAGCTAGGCATAGCAATTTTGACCCAACATTTGAAGAGTACTTTACAGAGTTCTCTTCTTGTTGTGTTTCCCACACCGCACCGAGCACAGTCTTCAGTGAGCGCAAGTACAATGAACGCATCCCAGATGTGCTCATTTTTCAGTTTAAACCCAAACTGCCAGCCTGCATCCCCAAGCTTATTCTCCTCCCTCATTGACAAAGCGCTGTTGTAAATGTTTGCGCATGCCTGCGCAGATACACTAGATAATTGAGTAAGCAAGATATAGTCCAAGAGCAAAGCAGATACTCACTGGCCCTTTAGGTGGAGCTCCACCCATAGGTTGGCAAGACGCCAGTCGACAAAATGGTGATCAGCCACCTGGATATACTCTGGGACACCACCATAGTACCATCGTCTGCATTCGGCGATACAAAAGTTGTTCATGTATATGGTGTTGCAAGTATGACATATAAGGTGAACTGACCATGTGGGGATGGCACCACGGAGTATGTGTAGGACAACCTGACGGGATTTGGCCTTTTTGAGTGGCGCCTGCGACTGGGTGATGGAACAGTTGGATTGTGTACAGTGTGTATGTGGAGGATAGAGTGAGATAGATGCTATTATCATATTAGACATTTGACAGTCGGGCAGGATACAAAAACTCACTCAAACCAAGTCGCTGTCCATGCTCACGAAATGCTCGCTCATGCTCCACAGCCAACTCATGATGGCTAGGCATGACCCATACAATCTCTTTGAATGCACGCCAACATGCTAAGACAGTATCCATAGTTAAGCCAGTAGACAGTTGCAGGAACTCGCAGATTGAAAGTGGCAGGATGTCGGGCAGGACATTGTCAGGGGTCGTCTGGAGTTGTGGGAGCATGATATCATGCTTGAGAGCTGACGCACGTGAGGTGAATGCAAGGACATCTTCAAACGACAGCATCTCCAGTAAGTTATGGGTGGCTAGGGCTTTGGATATGGTGGGCGGCGTGACTGAAGAGTACAAGCAACATGGTATAGTCATGTAGATAGTTGAAAGCTGCTGGATAGATTGTGATAGGGTGTTGAAGGAAGTTCGAGTTTCTGCCGAGTGAGTAGTGAGCAGAAGATATGGGTCATCAGTACTCAGTGCTTGAACGTTGAACGTTGAGGCCTCGAGGTGTCGTCTTACGGTCTGAACATACATACATGAACATACGTACAATTGATTTTCAATGTCCGATGTGCCGTCTGTTAGCCACCAGCTTTGCCGCCGTCCCCCGCCATTCTTGCCGTAGTGCGTGCCATACTTTTTGCGCTGGAGGGGCGGTTTCAGGGATGTTCTCACTCAAGTGACTCAACTCAACCATGTGGCAACTTACATAATCGACCAACTCATTGCATCAACTCAACTTGCAATGCTTCGACTCATTGGTGAGTCAACTCTCTTCATGCGTCTATATCATCACATGGTGAATGTCTGGATTTTGGCCGGTCCGGAGGCCTTCACATGGGTCTCCTAAATCACCGAGTGGATCAACAGCATTGGAGATTCTGTTCCATGCATAATGTGGCTATCCGGCCCTGCAGGCAAGGGCAAATCAGCCATTACTCACATGATTGCCAACTGGTTCCACGAAACGCAAGGTCTTGGTACGGATCACTCGGAAAACATGCGACTTCTATAGTGTCCCTGCTGACACTGTCATGTTCCCCGCATAGTTATAGCCTTACCTTGTATATTATACAGCATTACATTTGTACTCATTCCTTCCGTGAATTGACTGGTTGACCCTATTCTGGCACTGTTGTCCATGTTGCGTGACCTTATCTAGGTCCCTGCTAATACACTCTCACCCTCAACTACCATGGAGGACCAGTCATTTGAACTCGAACACCTTCCCCTTCCCCTGCAAAACATCATACTTGCATTCAACCAGCTCAAAGAAGATGTTCGTGTTGCCTTACTCACGCAGCTTGGAGATGCTGCCTGACTCCAACTGCATGTCGAAGCATGTGAACATTTAAAAAATGACATTACCTTGGTGAGTCACACAACCATGACACCTGTAGTACACTACTAAGATATTTCAGCATCGTGCTTTAGTCCCTGAGGCCACCTACATCACCATGAATGATAGCTTGAATGCTATGATCACAGACCTTGATGAAGGTAAAGACCGGTCAGCTGATGAACCTGACATGGCACCTATTGAGGTGGTCTCCACTATTCATACCCATCAATGTGGATGTCCTCGAATTGACATTGACCCAGAGGTTTTAGCTACAGCCCTTCAATTTGCAGGACCAACAAGGCTTGGTGCTCTTTTGGGTGTAGCACCACGCACTGTGCGACAGAGGGCACTAGAACACCAAATCGTTGAACCTGGGAATCCAGTTATGTCGAGTTCACTGATGATGAAGGCGAGACACTTCGATATTATACATCATCTACTGCAGCACAGTCTTCACTCCCTGACAATGAGCTTGATGCTATCATGTTGCAGATTCTCACTCAGTATCCCCGCTTTGGACGTCGCATGATAGATGGCCAATTATGCCACATGGGGGTCATTGTACCTCATTCTCGCATCCAAGCGTCATACTCTCATGTTCATGGCCCACCCATTGCTGCCTTTGGTGTGCATTGCATTACTCACCGAGTTTACAATGTGAAAGGGTACAACTCCTTGATGCACCATGATGGACAGCATGGTATGTTAATTTTTATTATGATGCACATCAGACCATCATGATTTTATAGGTCTGATCCGGTGGAAGATTGTCGTGCATGGTTTCATTGATGGATATTCTCATTACATCACTGGACTCCGGCCGCACAATAACAATAGAGCAGTCACTGTCATGAATCTTTTTCAACAGATTGTTCATGTCCATGGTCTCCCAAGTCGTGTTCGAGGAGATCATGGGGTGGAAAATGTTGATGTTGCGAGATTTATGGATGAAACACGAGGGCATGGAAGGGGTTCTTACATTTGGGGCAGGAATTATGGACAGTACTTTGTAGATCAATCCACATACTAAAATATTTAACAGAAGGGTACACAATATACGTATTGAGAGATTATGGGTTGACTTCACACAGGGCATTGGTTCCAAGTGGAAGAGTTTTTTTCAAGACCTCGAGGCCACCAGCGGCCTAGACGCCAATAACATTCACCATATCTGGTTGCTCCATTTCCTGTTTCTTGAGACATTGTGCAAAGAGGTTCATGGCTGGGCCGAGGCATGGAATAATCACCGAATGAGCATCCCTGAGCATGGCATGGCCAGTCCTCACGAAATGTGCTTCTTTAGCATGCTACAGCATGGTGTGCAGGGATTTCAAGATACTGCTACATTTCAACCGCCAGAGGAGATTCTCCAAGATGACAAGGCCATTGCAGAGTATGGCATTGATTGGAATGATGTCGAAAATCATCATATTCGTGCACATCACCATACAGCAAACCAACTCATACATGATCCTCTTGGCAACAATCCATTTGTCGCGTATACACCAGAGACTCTCAACAATGTTCAAGTTGACGAGCCAAACTGCCCACTTACACAGGAACAGCTCCTGTATCTTCAGGAGGTTGCAGCTCAGTTTGTAGATGATGGAACAGATATTGCGAGGTGGAATATCTGGGAGAATGCATTAGCATTATGTATTCAACACTAACTACATAGATCTTGACCTGTAAAGTTATCTATGAGCCGAAGATAATGGTAGGGACCACAACGCAGGTAATATTGGTGGCAGAAAGGCCGAGTTGACGCAGATACCATGCATTGAGGTTGGGAAGGAATGCACTATTGAAGGTATCAGAGAGAGTGCCGTTATGGATCAGCTGGAGCGTGCATAGTCTTGAGCTGTTCCATGGGCCCCTCTCGGAACATTGCTTGGTTAGAGGCCATAGCGGATGTACTAACTTTTCCGAGTATGAATCAAGGGCTGATGTGGCTTCGTCGAGCAGAAGAACTTTTTGGTTCTGAAGCAGTGCACGAGCGATTGCTATACGTTCTGGACTATGACTTCAGCACACAAAGAAAGGTATCCGTTGTGGGTAACACAACAAAGGTGACTGCAAGTCAGATGACAAGCAAACACTCTCTATGTTGGGTCTTGATATGCCGTGCAATATGTTTGACCCTTAAGGGAAGCAAAGAAAGCAAGGATCCACGAAATGATGCTGATCAACCCTGATCAAAGGCGACAAAAGGGCGATGTAAGCGCGAGAAACGCGCTCAAGGCGCGCGCGGGAAAGTGAAATGCGAAAATGCGCGAAGCGCAGGAAGGTGAAAGTGCAAAAGGCGAAAATGCGCAGAGAACTGGAATGGTAGTGCAAGCAGTGCACAAGTGTAGAGAGACGATGATATGGTGAAAAGCACAGATATTGATGGTTACTGATACTGCCACTAGCTTTAGACTGATGCTAGGGCCTTAAGATGATGACGTATGCATGCATTGCATGGAACTAACTGCCAAGTACATGGTGGTAGAAAGATGTGGTAGGAAGCTGGTGGTGTAAAATGAACATGAAAGTATGTAAGTTCTACCTAAGCGCTCTCCCAGGGCTCGGAGCTGAATCCCAGTGAAAGCTGGCTGTGATGGGAGCGGGCGGTGTATGATGAGATGTGATTTGGCTAGCGGTCGTTGAAAAAAACACTCAAGGTGATATTTATCAAGTAAGATGAGAATCATATCATATTTGCAATATTACGGGGCAAAGTCTCTGATGCTCCCATATGATTCGAGCACACCAGGTTCATATCAGCGCATATACACGTGCACTCTGGCTGCCCTCGCAGAATATGCTCTAATAGTGTAGGATATTATTATATCGCACATCTACAATTGCCTGGGATATCATAGGTACACAGTAATAGACGTAGTGGGGGATGCTACAGCTCGAAAACTGACGAAAAAATGTTGCAAGCATGATGAAGACGAGCCGATAATGCAGCGGACGGATCGAAAAGCGAATGAGCAGAATACGTGTTGAAAACGGGTCGAAAACAGAGCCTAGTACATCTCGCCTTGCCCGACAGTCTTGTCCCATTTGTCGGTGGCAACCTATGAAAATTTCATCCGACTCGTCAGTATAGTAAATACTATCAGATAGCGACTTACAAGTTCAGCAGCCTCTTTATCGTAAGCCTAATATAATGTGAAGATGAATATAGGAGCAAGAGGGCCAAAGAATAACATACCGTGCGCTGATTCTCAGCAAGGCCCATATAATATACACCAAACTCGTCAGTCGTCCCATTCGTTTGATCTGTTTGAGCCAGCGATGGGCACATAAGTTACTGTAGTGTATAGTAGTAAGTGTCCAGCTCTATGAAACGGTGATATGCTTACCGTCCATTCTTTGTTTGACTTGGACGCATCTTCCCCTTGGCTTTCTTTGGCTTCGACAATGGCTCAGCAGTGCTTGTGGTCGCCTTTTGGACTGCGCACCCGAGCACAGGATTGACTACTACTGGTGGGAGATGGAGGTGGTGGGAACTGCATGTTTGCGGCACATAGAGCGAGTGTAGAACTGCTGACTTGTGTTAGTAGCGAATATAGCCAGACATTTGAACTCACAGTGGATTCATAATCGTAATTTTAACAGGTTTTGGTGCAGGAATCGTTTGGCTTTCGGTAGGGATATTCTTGTCTGCATTAGACACAGCATCGAGTGAAGTAATAGCATCCACAGTTGCGATTGACTGAATGAGAGGCAATGGAGATCCAAGAGCAGGCGTTGGAGATTCGAGAGCAGACATCGGAGATTCGAGAGCAGGCGCCGGAGATTTGAGAGCAGACATTGGAGATTCGAGAGCAGGAGTCAGAGATTGAGAGCAGGCGGCAGAGATTCGAGAGCAAGCGACACATATTCGAGAGCAGGCGATGGAGATCGGAGAGCAGGCGACGGAGATCGGAGAGCAGGCGACAGAGATCGGAGAGCAGGCATTGGAGATTTGAGAGCAAGCGACACATATTCGAGAGCAGGCGACGGAGATCTGAGAGCAAGCAACGGAGATTTGAGAGCAGGCGTCAGAGATCTGAGAGCAGGTGGGTGGAGATGGGGACAATAGGGACATGACATGATGTGTTTTTGAAGTAGGAGTAACTAAGATATAATTGCGTTAATGTGGTATTTAAATCAAGATAATGATGAACTTTTTCTTTTCTTTTTCATCCCTTCACATTTAACTGAATTGATTGTCTGCTTTCGTTTTGTCCCCTTACTGCCTTCTCCATCACTCTCAGCACATTTGTTATCGATGTCATCGTTATCGTCCTCCTTTTTGATGTTACCGCCTGACTTCCAGTCACAATTGGTGTCAAGATTGTTTCGGCGCCAGGCAGGGTATGTCGTAGTAGCAAGGTGATCTAGTTTCCATCCGTTGTTAGCAAGTTTGAAAAGGGGAAACTCGTTCTCCATGAAGTTATGGATCAATTGTCTTCCAGATGCTGATAGTTTACCCCAAGAATGCGGGGCGATCTTGCGAGTAACAAGCTCGCTCCAGCCACCACGGAGCACCCTTCGTATGGCTTTGATTGTTCGTGACGAGACCGTGCGGCCATTTTCGTCTTCAAGATAGACCAGGTTTGTGTGTGAAGAGTGGTGACCTTGACCCGCAGGAGTGTCACACCACTTCTGAAAATCGGCCTGTTCCCAGAAACGGACATTCGGATGTGTTAGTGCGTGATGGTCGATTAGAGTTGGAAATGAGTGGCGCATTGAGCTGCAGAGGGTCAGCCTGGTGAAGCCTTCCAGTACTACTGGCAAGCCGTTCAAACATCTCCCTGCCATGTGATGAAGTTAGCTGAATCTCCCTTACAAAAATAAACTTACTTGATGGAGTCACGCTCGGTAGTCAATTTGACCACCTCCAGCTCTAAGTCTTACAACGGTCTTGTAGGACCGATATTTGCTGGTGATCATGGATATATGCACCCTAAAAATATATTTCTGGTGCGACAAACATATAATGGGCACTTACTTGTGGAAGCGTTGTGCATGCGAAGTGCCTGATTCGAAAGGGTCCTCTGGTAATGGTGTAGCGCCAGATAGGGGGGATGGAGTGAAATCCCCTCCCCACTGAGGATTTTGTAATAAATTCTGACCTGATGGAGGAAAGTTGAATTGCCTGTGCCCGCCATGAGAAAATGAGCTGCTCTCAAACATATTAGACAGTCGATACGGTGGAGAGATTCGAGAGAAAGACGCCATGCATACCATGAGACCAGTAATATTACCTTGAAACTCCGTCGGAATTGTCCGCCAAGCCTCAAAATTATCTACTAAGTCCTATCAAGTTGGCGCAGTGTGTACCTTCATTTCACTTACTTCCTTCCATGTCGAATGCAACAATCAGTGTGCTTGGTAGCGTCGGCCTCATTGAGATTAGTGGTGATGTCTCTTCATGGGACATGTACTGCTTTGATCTAGAAATACCGACTCACCTTGAAGTGAGGTTTCTTTTTTGTTGCTGATACCTTTCTTATCCGATATGTTGCAGAGGATTGTTTTTCGTATCAAGGACTCGGACATCACAAAGTCACTACCAAGCCTGTCGGATATGATGTATGTTCTATTTCAAACGACTGTAGACTCATATTGACATCTAAGACAGCAAGAATCGAATCGATTCAATCCACCAGTGACAAGATCAAGAGTGAAGATACTAACAAAGCTGAGAGACTCATGACTGCGAGCGCAGTGGGAGATGATATGAAGATCAAGGTAGATGAGATAGAGCAAATAAAAGTAGAGGTCGAGGAAGGCAAAGAACCCACTTCCATGTGCGTCCTTTTGTATTTGTAATGCTTCGACTGACATGATGTTGAAGGGATTCCCCAGTTTACCCCTTGCCGTCTACTTACTAGGCTTTATGGAAATCCCAAACCAGGACCCCGCTCGACCCATTTCGGCCATGGCACTATTCAGTTCGACCCTTTTTACCACTCGGAAATAGCAGCAGAAGTGGCTAAAAAAAGGGCCCCTCTATCAGCAGATCCGTGATGAAATGTACGATGAAACATCAGATTTTTTTCCAAGGCACTGTTGTGAATTCTTCCGTCCTCTGCTTTGCACATGCTCGCTTTGCTTTACTTGCACGCCTTTCCTTTCCACCTTACCACTCGTTTCCAATGTTGTACTTGCACATTTTTTCCATAGTTGCTCATCACAGATACATTGCATTGTACTGTAATATGATACTGTTAGACAGTCGCCGTATACCTGTAATACCTGTAATCAATAATCTTGAAGCTGTATCATGCGCAGGAAAAGGCTTCGAGTTGCAAGAATTATCATGAAGTACTAGTTACGACAATGAAACTACTCAAGATCAGCACCGTTGTCATTATCATCATCCTCTAGCTCATCACCACCTCCAATATCAAAACCAGAATATGGTACTCCCAGGTTCGATATTTCTAGACCAGGCCCGCTCCATCATAAAAAAGCGGCTCTCTGTAACTCCAGAAGGCAATGTCGGTTCATGCGGGACCATTGCGATAAACGCTAACAATATTTTTGACATCAATTGCCAGAATATCATCAAGGAGTGTGCAGGATACGAGGGTCTGCAACGAGAGTTTGAGGAGTTCTTTGTGCGGCATGGAGTACATCTGCACGACTGCAACATTCTCGAAGTGCCATTCATTGTCGTCATCCGAGTTGTCTGCGTTCTGTCCGGCGACGTTAACTGGCAGCTGTGTGTAGTACAAAACCTCAGCGAATTGAATTTTATTGTTAAGTTTTATCTATTATAGTATTAATTGAAGTTAGTAAAGCCGACAACAACAAGCCGACGTTCGAAATATACCTTGACATTGCGTGACATGCGCGTCTTCTCAAGGGGTTTGAGTTTTTCTCTCCACGATGAACGTGCCGTCTGTCCATTTGGTAACCGAAGTCGTGCCCACTTGCGTATACGAGGGAGTTGTTGTCCATGGCGAAGAAAGGCTGTGATAGCGAGTGCATGTTGCCCAGTGGGGCAGATTGGGTACCTCTCTCGTTTCGCAACAACACATACCCATCTCCAACATCAACGGCACCTTCTGGAAGGCCCTTGGGTGGCTCATCTAATTCAGGCATCATCGAAAGAAGAGTGTTGATTCTACAACGCCGAACTCCTTGTTGCGAGAGGTTAGCATATGGTTGCGACGGCTGTCGAATCTCTTGACCAAGATTCCCGATGGTTCGCTCCATCGTCCACTGAGCGTAGCAGATCGGCGGACCTTTCTGTACAGTTTCTTGAGCGAGATGATTTGTTTGATGAACGCACGGGCGCACAAATGGAGCCGATACTCTTTGCGTTGATAGTAGAGGTGCTCGAATTCTTGTTCCCAATAGCATAGCAGTGATTGAGCATGTTGAAGGTCTTCAACTGTGATGCGATATTGACACAGTAGCTGGAATCCGCGCAACAAGTTTGCAATAATTTTGCCAATATTTCATCGGAAGCAATCCATATAGAAGTGCAGGTGCGAGGCCGAACATATAAAGCTGAAATTCCCATGTTTTGTAACTCGTGTTGAGTTTTTCAGCAATATTGCGGGGTTTGCGATCAAAGGAACCTGGTAGGTATACACCTGCTTTCTCGACAGCTTCACCATGAGCGATCCAAGTGTCTTCATCTTTCAGAACAGCCCAATCCCAGGTGGCTGGATTATCGGCAGCTGCGCAGTCCTATGGTTGCGCGCCACAGACTGAGGAGAAGGTCGCTAAGATTGCCAGCTAGATGCATAATATCGGGAGTCATACAGTAAGGAACACCGAGGGACTGTGAAGGGCTGAGACCGAGGATAAGCGGAGGTTTGGTTATTCCCCGTGTCTGTCCTCCTTTTCCTCCCATTGTCGCGTGTTGGGTGCCTTGACAAGTTCTTCGAGATTTTCAGCATAGCCTTCAGATGCCCCGAGAGGAAGATCAAAGACATTGAGGTCAGGATGATCGCTACCACGAGCACAACGGTCCGCTGGCCTGAGCAATGCAGGATAATAGTGGCTACCGCCAGTCTTACGTCTCCCCTCTCACCCCACAATATAGACGGCACCCATTTTTACCACTATGCCCGACCATTCCATCCCAATAGACGAGTCCAGGGCCATCGGCAGTTGTGAAAAGGAGATGGAGGTCAGATGTGAAAACAGTGTCGCGGGATGCATCCCAGATCGTAAGACCATTCTTCTGAAGGGCGGCAAGGTGGTGCATCCCGACAAAGAGGAATGAAATCTAAGTTTTTGGGCTTATTTGGCCCGGGTATAAAACCACCTGGCCGTACATGCACTTTCTGGTAGCGCTTGTCAGGCGATAGATTGAGAATGATCCATACATACATCCAACAGTCCGGACTGCTTGCTTTCGTAAAGCTGCGCGCCATCGAGTGACACCATGAGGACAATATCATCCTGCTTGATATCATTGGCAAGTACTGCGGCGAGGTAATCCCAACCTGCAGCAATGTCGTCAATTACAGGAATGGATTGCGTAGCCCTTAATTGTGCAAGGATCTGTTGCGTGTGTTCATGAAGGTACTGCATATGGCGCGCACTGTCGGGATCACGATACATGGCCTGCAACTGGGGACCAAGCGGAATGGTTGTGAATTTCTGAGCCGCGACCTTGCTGCGGTCATTGGTTGCTCGCAGCTTTCCCTGGTCCCAGCGTGATTTATCGCACAGAGGACAGATCTCAAGTGCTGCATATGGGCCTGTGAATGCCAAACACGAATCGGGACACATATCATGTTCAATTGACTCGACACCAGTGTACTGCGCAACGAGCTTTTCAACATTATAAAAGCTCAGGATACTGTCTTCATCGTCATGAGCGTAATTGCGTATTGTTGCTCTTCGTATATGATTATAAGCTTCTTGAGATGCAAGCTGCAATGATAGGTACATGGCAATACTTGACGTGTTCCCGGATTGTTGATGTTGATAGGACCCCTGGGTGGATTACGCAGTCATTCGATTGCATCGTTGCTTAGCTTGGTAATAGGGTCATCTAGTGATCCATGCTTTAGAGCAAGGATGAAGTCGAAGGTTTCCCTGATTTTAGGGAGCACTGCACTCTCCGCAAGCGCATCGATATTAATATTTGGTCGAGGTCTGCGCTCAATGTCTATTGCAGGTGGAGATAGGGCGCGTCCATCCACGTCAACATCTGGAGGGGGAATGGGGCCTCGTCCATCTGCATCAACGTCTGGGAGGGGGAGATGGGCCTCGTCCGTCCGTAATAACGTCCGGAGGGGGAGATGGGGGCTTGTCCGTCCACGTCAACATCTGGAGGGGGAGATGGGGCTTGTCCGTCCACGTCAACATCTGGAGGGGGAGATGGGCCTTGTCCATCCATATTAACGTCTGGAGGGGGAGGGGAAAAATTGTCTTGAGAATGGGGGGAGAAAATCATCTGGAGGCTTAATGCAGTTTTTAGAAATGATCATTTGATCAATTTGGTGAAAATCTACATACCAAAGCTTCAGCATGGGTCAACTGGGTCAGGCTTCGTGATCCGAGCACGCTTGCGACGCCCCAATTCTCCAAGCAGCGTCATCATCATCTTGCTGTGTTGTGCGTGGAAGTACGTCCATCACAATATCACTGTGAACGTTCGGGGGTTCTGAAATGTTGCGGGTGACGCTTCCTGAAGCAATACTAGCAACAGTAGAGCCAGGGATATGACTCGGAGGTGGCAAGCTACCACCTCGTAACACTCTTCCAGATCGAATACGTTTCTTTCTCCTCTTGCGTACCAGCGTCATGCAGATGTCGGTACCAGGTTGCTACTGAAACAACATGGGAAACCCCATATTTCTTGCAGACACACACACATTGACCAGTGTCATCGAGCTGCTCCGCACTTGGAATCGGAAACATCTTAATGAAATGAGTATGATACTTAGTTGGCCCAAATTCAATTGATGGTAACATACCTTGCAACTTGTATAACAATGTGACAGCACACCAGACTATCACACCAAGACAATGCCCAAGACTTTGAGACTTTCCTTCCGATGCCAGCTTCCACCTAATTATGCCGTTTGCCACCCAGTACACACCAAGGCAGTTACTAGGCAAGGTGGGTAGAGCTGCACAGCAATGAGTGGCACTGGACTTGGACGCAATATGAGATGCAATGCAATGTTTGTGCGATACAATTTGCGTGATATGCGATACAATATGTTGAATTACGAAGGTGTGCGATGCAGAATACGAAGGTGCGATACAATATGTTGAATACGAAGGTGTGCGATGCAGAATTACGAAGGTGCGCGATGCAGAATACGAAGGTGTGCGATGCAAACGTTATGCGTTGTGATCAGGTTGTGCGAAGATTGCATTACTCATCAGAAGGAAGCACATTCTGACATAGTACGAAAATGGTAATTCACATCTCATCATACACCGCCCGTTCCCATCACAGCCAGCTTTCACTGGGGCTGAATAGGGAGCGCTCTAAGTATGTAAGTGATGTAAAGTAAGGGTGCATAATGAAATACAAAGTGTAATAGGCTAAATATGGTCTGATAATGAAAAGGGACACACCTAGGAACTGGTTGGGCGATGGATGGATGCTCCTGGATGATGCACGATGGAGTGCACTTAAGCGCGAGAAACGCGCTAAGCGCGCACGCGGGAACGCGAAATGCGAAAGCGTGAGAAAGTGTTGCGCCTATGGCGCATTTTGCAGGAGAGCTGTGCATTGTATGCGCAATGACTGGAGACATAGCAGAAGTTGCGTATGGAGTAGGGCAACAAGTGCGAGAGAAACGCGCTAAGCGCGTGCGGGAATGCTGCGCGTTGTGTGGGGAAGTAGCGCGCCTATGGCGCGTTTCGCGGGAAAGTGGTGTGCTCTTTAGGGAAGTCATAGTGGATGATGGTGCAAGTTGTGCCATGAAGGCCAGTTGTCGGAATTTGTAAAATGAGCCCATATGAGCCCACAGAAACACAAGTCTCTACACCGTCATGGGATGATACACACGTTTCTGACCTCCCGACAGCTGCAATCCCTTGCCACCAACTTCGGTATTGAATTCACTAACATTATCATGTCAGTAAGCCTCGAGTTCTCGTAGTGTTGAGGTCTTACTCTGGAAGTGATTGAATAAAATCTAGTATGTTAGCACCACGGCAAGGCAGTCTCAATCTCTTCGCATCAGAATGCCAGACAGTATTGATCACTCACAGTAGTCAGGGGGCAAGAACTGTGGCGTTTGCTTTCATCAGAAATTTTGTCAAAGTCGATACAGTTGTGAGGAGTCAGTGGAACGAGGAAACAAGTGATAGGGAGAGTGTGGGGGAGGGGTAGATTTCGAACTCGTCAAGCCTCCAAATCAAGTACACATAGCCTCAAGAGAAGTGTAGTCACCAGAGGTCCAATGCTTTTAATGAGCAGATCTATTGCATGGCAAGGAGTATACAGACTGTACAGGGTAAATAGATAGCAATAGACCAGAGGGAAAGAAGGAAGCCAAAAGGATAGCGAACCGATAATCAAAATGAGTACAATCTGAAAAGATGTCTGGCCTAACCTGACAGTACTAGAGGGGAACAAGGATCTTGACTTTCATCATCTCGAGAGGACAAATGATGATGTTGTCATCAAGACCTCTGCCAATGCGGAACCAGCGAGCCGTGATCCAGTGAATTGGAGTCGACTTTAATTGAGAAAAACGGCAGAACTCACCCCAGAGCCTAAACTTCACCATTGTAGATGCCACGATGAACATCCATCGTTGGCTGAGGGAAATCGGGATGGAAACTTGCCAGCTTTGCGAAGTAAGAGCCTGCACGAGGGGAAGGATGAGATTGGTAAGCTTGGGTTCGGGTGTGCATTCATCAAGGGCATCGACAACAAACGTCAGAGGCTGACACCCGCGCAATCTGAGTCAAAGTTTCTGGAGGGGTTGGAGAAGGGACCCTCCATCTGGTTACAGAGAGGCGTGTCTGGGTCTAGTAGAGCATGATTGTTGCGGATCGCTCTGTTCACATCCTGCCGGATGCTTGGAAAATTGGTGGCAAGCTGATAGGCAAGCGTTGCAACGTTTGGTGTGCTTTCACAAGAAAAAGAATGCTCCCGCTAGCCGCATTTTTGACATTCGTCTCCTCTGTCACTTTTAGACCTTTCATCCTCTCGGCTACGGTGAACGCGACGGCACACTTTCCGTTGCAAAGAGCCTGTGCAAGGGAAAAGATGAGATCGGTGAGCTCTGGTTCGGATGGGCATTCATCAAGTGCATCATAACAAATGACAAAGGTGGACATCTGTGCAATCTGAGTCGAAGTTTCCGGAGGGGGTTGGAGAAAACAGAGCCTCCATCTGGTTGCAGAGAGGTGTGTCTGGGTCTAGTAGAGTGGGATTGTCGTGGATAGTTTCTGTTCACATCCTTCCGGATGCTGGGGAAATTGGTAGCAAGCTGGTAGACAAGTGTCGCAAAGAAATATCTAGCTGTGCACCATTTGGTGTGCTTGCGCGAGAAAAAGAACATCCCCGCTAGCCACTTTTCGACATTCGTCTCTTCTATCACTTTTAGACCTCTCATCCTCTCAGCCACTGTGAACGCAACAGCAGACTTTCCGACACCAGCAGTGCCATGCAGCCAAATGAGTTTGATTCTTCTCTGGGTGTCCAGGAATTCCATGGATGTATTTAAGGAGATCAACCCGGGTCCCATCCAAAACCTTTCGGGTGAGGCTGACGTTCACGGGAGTTATATTGAGCACCTTTGACAGCGACCTGGGCCAGGCTGGCCCAAGTTCCTTCAAAAACTGTCAGAGAGGTTAGAGAGCATGTGAGAGATAAGAGATGGAATTGCTGACAATGATCGTCACTCATTGACGAGAGTTGTGGTATGCAGCGAGATGCAATGAACAATTGAAAATACTAGCTGGGTTCGACGGTGCGGTTAGAAATAATTTGGGCGATAGTTTTCTGGAGGGACGACGAGCGAGGATTTGAATCCAAGCTTTTGAGGTTGCGGAACAATCCAGCTGTCGATTGATGAAGAGTGTGAAGCGTGATGAAGATAGATGGACATAGGGATATTTCAATATTTTGCTATGGAGAGCTTGCTGAATGGTTGTGGGAATGCACTAGTTTGAAGGACGAATAGGCACTTGCCGTCCAGTGCTTGCAGGAGGACACGAGGCCGCTGTGCGGCGGCAGCCAGCCGGTCATACTACTGCACAGCCAGACAGGACCAGAGAGACAGTACTAGTACTTAGTAGTAGTGCTCACTGCTCGGATCTGCAGATCTCAGATCTTGACCGATAAACTGCATCAATTTGAGAATATATAAGTCTTTCCTCTAGCTTGACTAGTGCTGTTCCTCGCTATCGGAATAGTGAACGCTCTGCATTGCCTTCAACTGAAATTATTACATTGTCAGGCAACACACTGGCTGGTCGAGTTCCTTGGTATCTGAGCAGAGACCGTTCTGCATCGCCTCATCCATTACAGCATGGACGACACCAGAGGGACCCCTTCCTCATCACCTGAAAGTCTAATTCTACAGTGGCTTCCTGCACCTGCATCCAGTATCCATTCGCAGCCAGCATTGTCACCCATCTCACCCCACTCTCCACCTCCTACCTGATGCCATGGCTGACAGTTTATTGTGATCGGGTAGAACTCTTCACCCGCTTCCATTGAGACAATCTTATGATGAGTCAGTCGCCCCTCTGATCCTTTCCATGCAGGGAATATTCATGATCTCTTTGATCTATCACAAGCTATTCACTCCTCTGCCAACCAGGCCTACTCTGATTCTACCCTTTGCATAGAGGCCAATACTGTAACAGACGCAGCTAATGGCATGATGATGTCTTCCGACATTACTATAAGCGGCTCAGTGAAGGCGGTACTCTTGACTCGGACATATTGAATTTACCAATCCTAACCTGCATGGCACTTTCTATCTACCGACAGGAGAACCTGGTGAAGCATGATCTTACTGTTTGGGGACATGAAGTCCATATTCTCAATACCTGTGTGGCATTTTCAAGCGTAAATAATATATTTCCTTCATGAGACACATTGCATTTACTGACTCCTCACATTAGTGGTCATCGTAACGCAACTGACAGCTTTGGGTAATGGCGTCATGCGACAAGTAATTCACACTGCCCTTCGGAAAAGTGTTTCCTGGACATCTGACGGTAGTAATGAAGATAATCTGGCACTTGCAGAGGGTGACGTCTGCATTGAACTTGATGATGACTTTTGGGCTCTCAAGCTATCATGGTTCCCCTCTTCTAAAAAACTTGCCACCATTTTTGCCATTGGTCGTCTCTGTGCCTTGCACATTCTTCAGGTGCAAAATGGGCCACACCCAATCTCGCCAGCTCTTTTGAGCTTCATCATAAATGGTGTCTCATCTCTGACAACTTCAGAATCAAACCATTTGTGGCTTGGCAACAATCTATTCCCTACTTTAGCCAACATTATCAAGTCACTGCCCACCGAGGACGAGAATGTGTCCAACCTTGTCATGGATGGAGTGAACCGAGATCATATCACAAGAATTTGTCAATCTCATCTGATGACCGACATAAGTGCTGCTGTTTTTGCATGACAATGTTCCATGGTTTATTTCAAAACATAGTTTGGTGAGATTCGAGGCACCCCATCAGAACACTGGCCAATGGTACGCCGGGACTTGATTTGTGCTGCTCTGCTCGGTTACTCCCATGATGAGTTTGTCAACTCCCAAGAGTACCAGGCTTTTAAAGATGGATTTGACCTCCATGTGACGTCATCCATTCCTTCGCTCTCTGAGGTACATATGTTGACTGCTAATTCCTGTCCATCTTGAACTGATACTAGTAAAAACCTCCATCAGATTTTACAACCAAGTTTCAGTAGCATTCTTCGATTGATCTATGATTGCCATCCAACTGCTGATGTCTTGGAGAATATGCTATGCTTTGAGGTTGATGGTGATGAAAACTTTCATGCTCGATTGTCTCCCTATCTTCACACATTCAAACGCGCTGTCCTGAAGTATTTGAATGGCAAAGGCCACCCCTGTCACTCCATATTCGAAAGTCTACATGACGATGAAGCAATGCATCCACACTACCATGCACTCTGTTTTGTTAAGGTGTTAGTGGAATTCCCTTGGTGCCGGCAGACCCTCTAGCACGATTTATGGTATGCGACTTTTCTGTTTTTGGACGTGTCTCATCATAGTTTCTCGACATCTAGGTCAATGTTACACAGCATGTCCCAGCTGATGCCACGTTCAATGGTCATCTAAACGTAAGTTATAATGTGCTAATGATATTCTCAAGGCTGACCGCCTCTGTTGTAGCCAGAAACCGATCTCATTCCGCCCATTGCACATGCCTGCATGCTTAGGCTTGACATATTCATGAACCCGCCACTCATGAACTGGTTGTGTGCACCATTCTAGGTTGATGAAGGAGCATCCCCTCTTGATGTATGCCTTCACATGGCATTGGTTGCAGTCGGTGAGGACTCCTTCTCAGCACATTTCCCTTTATCATTGTAATTTTTCATATCCTCTGTTTCCTTGCTGCACTTTTCGTTATCAGTGTAATGTTTCACATCTTCATCAGTATTCCATTGCCACACTATTGACTGTCACTATACTCATTATCATGGCACATACTTGTCTCTCCCTCTGTATTTCCTTGCTGCACTACTCGCTGTTATCATACTCATTATCATTGCACGCACTTGTCCGTTGCACCTGTTCCTCAGCCTTGTCTTGTACTCACTCAGTGATGTCTTCCATTAACATTTGCACATTCATTCCCTCCAAGTCCATATCACTGTGTTTTATCAGCTCGTTGCTCATTACAATAACCCGTCTGCTTTCTAACATAGCTAACATCCAAGTACATAATGCTCATATCACTTTCACCATATCGTATGAATGGCCACTCATGGCAGAGCCTACTACAGTTGTCATAATGCAAATCAATTTGTGAGTAAGTAGTTTTGAGTTCAAGTTGAGTCAGACAAGTTCAACAGTCGGTGAGTCGACAACTTGAGTTATGTAAGTTGCAGAAGTTGAGTGTGACCGAGTTGAGTCACCACGTGTTGAGTTGAGTTGCAAACTGTCGAGTTGAGTTACCGCGTGACCGAGTTGAGTTGTGAATTTCTGAGTCAACATTTTAGTCCAATGTGGTCCTTCATAGATGACTGTACCTGTTGAACTTTCGATATCAAACTCGAGTTGGTAAAAACCGGCTCGATCAACACATTATTTAAAATTGAGTGCTGTAGAGGCCCGTCACAGGTCACGGATAGACCGTAACGGATAGTAACTTTGATATCAAATTCAAGTTGGCTCGATCAACACATTACTTATATAATCTATTTATATCGCTCCTGTGTTGCCAATTTACCCGAATGGCCGTACTCCTCTGAGACGCACCTTCAAGTTCTTACTAGCTTTATGGTCATCTCCTTCCTTCATTTTAGTCTCCTCGTTTCTCTGTTCATCACTCGGATACTTGGGCCTCTTTCTCTATTCCAATCGCATCTTTCTCCAGTCGTTTTACACTTCGATCGTTGTTATTTGATTTTGATTTTTCACTCTCGACCTTAATCTCCCCGATTTTTTCCTTCGACTTCCCAACCTTCTTTACTGATTCTTATTGCTATTGGCCCGAGGCATCTTCTCCCAAACACTGACTACTAGTACTAGCATGATGCCAACACTCACACAGCTCTCTGGGCTCTCTTCCATTACCTCCTGTGGCAGGACGTAACGACGGAGTATGCGAGCGCAGATGCTAATTATGAGTATCATGAGCAGGTGCGTTCGTTCGTTTTATACTTTGTCCGAGCACGTTTAATCTGATGATACTAACGTGTATCTATTCATCCTACTGTGCTTTCGTTGCCTTGTTTTGGATGTTTCGATCGAGAACTTAATCTGCATCCGACTTTTCTCCTCCAACGTTTACGGTAAATCGAAAGAAGAACAGCCTTGCACTGGATGTATGGATAGTGGTTTTCATATCAGCTAAGATTCAGCTTAAACGCCCATCGCACTGCCATTCCTCCGCGTGGTATTGCTGCGACTTCTATCTCATGTTGACTTTGATTTGCGTACCATGGAGCCTGCAGTGAGACTCAGACAAGTTATCATGACCTGATCAAGCCTTGCGAGGTCATTCAAGTTCATTCGTTACACATTAGAGCCAGTCAAAATGTATATAAGGCGGTCTCTGCTGCCCATGGTCTCCTAGAATTTTCCTACTTTCCAATATCATTGCTATGAAGATTAAGTACGAGTCACGGAAGTTCATCGACCTCATTCAGCGAGCTAGATCTAAGTGGGCCAATTGGGATCCACCAAGAAAGATCACGGTATGTAAAGACCCTTTTTGATTTTAACTAACCTGTCAAATACCCTAGGTGGGCGACTATGGAACTATCATCAATGAAACTGGAGAATTCGATTGGGAAGGAAACATATACAGCCCTCATTTCCAGGAACAGCTTCAATCATCCAAGTACAAATTCGACATCAACTTAGCGGATCCAGCGCTACGCCCCATCGAACAGGAAGCAAGTAATGACCACTTTATCGTCGAATCGTGGGGTGTCACTACTAAGGAACTCAATGCCTCTACTGAAGTGTAGGCACTACAATATGCAGTGTTTGGTTCATATATCTGACTGTGTTGCAGCGCCATGCCGGATGTAGTGAACGTCGCCCTCAAACTCGATTTGCAGTTCGATGGTAACAAACCAGCAGCTGTATTGGTCATGCACAAGCCAAGATACAGTAGCCTTCCTAACGATGAGCGCATCATCAGGCTGATCAAGTCCATGCCTGATATCCTCAAAGGGAAATACGTCGTCACCGAAGTGATATCTTGCGCAGCATATATGATGCATCTGTCTGACCAACGTAAGTCTGGTATGTGCAAATTCAACTTCTGCACTGTTGACACTTGGCGTAGAAGCAGAAAAGTTTTCCGCGACGCTCAAAGCCGTCGGGCCTGTTACACCAGCTATCAACGCTGGAGGAGCAGCCAGTTCCACCTGGTCTTTGGAAGCTGCTTATGGTCTTTCCCGTCAAGGATGTGACCCTGCCGCAAAATATATGCCGTTGTACAGGCTGAAACAGCCTCGTCCCAAGTTCTGGGAATGGCCTTTTGGTCACCGCGGAGACGAGAGAAATAATGATGCGATCGACAGGTGAGTCGAGATCGTCTCGTGGTTCAGCAGTGCAATGAGCTCCTTGCAGGTGGGAGGATGTCGACCCGACTTGGAACCCTCTCGGCGATGATGGCGAAGAACAGGAAATCTATGATGCAGTACGTTATCGATGTTCTTATTAGAACCTGGCTTGATTCGTCTCTCTCCAACAGGAGATGCATGGTGACTTTGGCGTTTTCAATGATGGCTATCCTGAGTAAGTATTACTACTGCACAAACCTTGCGCATATCTCAACTGACTCTCATAGCAACGACGACGACGACTACTGCATTATGATCATTCACGAATGGTATTACTGCTACACCACTTGAGTTCAAGTGTTCCAAGGACCAAATCATATCACTTTGTATATAGACGAGCAACATTAGTGAAAGAGTATTAACACAATAACTCACATGTTATCCAACGACGTTCAACAACCTCAACAGCCTCAAATCTAACTCACAAACAAGTCAAGGCCCTCGTCTGGCTTTCACAGTATGTGCCTGTTACGTTCGTGGAATATGAAGTTGGTCCGGTCCGCTTGCTGCGAGGCTTCGTTGTAAAGTTGGGCAGATCAACAGGTGGCCGGGTCAGATGCGTCTCTGCAGAGTTGAAGATCGGCGGCTTTCTTTCGTCGAGCTCGTAGTTTAAAAATGGGACAAACATTTTTGTAATTATATCTATTTGAAATTGAGATCTCTTGCTATTTGAGCTTGAGCTCACACTAGGATATCCGCAAATTTTATCGTTCAATGTCATGAGTTGGCTTCACCGAATACTCCATGTTGCTTTGAGTGCCTACTACTTAATGGGCTGGGGTCTGGTCCGACTGTCCTGGTATTCCTCCATATCCCGCAGGGAATAGTCGGTGGCTCTGCAATTATATACAGTTGTGTCTCGGAATGAGTCGAGTCGCTGCGAGTCAGTCAGCTACTGCTGTCAAACAACATGTTGCGCGAGAAGGTGTGAGCTTACTTTCGATATCAAATTCAAGGTCAAAAATCGCGAAGCGCCAGGGTATTACGTCATCGTTGAATATATATCGCCATGTTCGTAGTATGTAGAAGAAAGCAAAATAATTACTGTATGGCTTCAAGCGATCGTAATGGGATACATCTTGGCTAACCTATGATGTATACTTGGATCGAGCAGCGGAAGACAACTGCCCAAACTTGGTTTGTTGAGGCCCGACTTGGAGCGTTGCCAAGCGGTGGGCCTGAAGCTAACCTGAAGTGTCTCAATATTCTAATACAGCCGAGTGGGGTCCACAAATCTTAAACCGGACTTCACTCAACTCAACACTCTGAGCCAATCACCTCTATTTTCACATTCTTTCAACAGCATTCATGAAACTCACTGGCTTGAGACCTTATCTATCTTATGAATGGTTCGGCGTCTCGGCTTCCTTTGACCCGGCATGTAGGCTTGTAACATCTCCGTTCTTTTCTCCTCCGAGTCTCGGCGCACTTCGTCTGCTATTTGCTGTTTATTCGCTCGTTACAACAATCACCGTCCTCGTTTTCGAGTCTGTTCGATTTCACGACGGTAGTAGGTAAGTAAACGCCAGACTTGGCATTGTCCAACAGATGGTCTGATCCAGAACCTTACGACTGGTCATGCTACCCCAGTTTTTTTTCCTACTTCACTGATCTCAGTTACATCGGCCTTGTCGCATACCTCTGGGCCTCTAGCATTCAAACCATAGTATTTGTTTTGCGGGGACAGAAGGCATATCCTTTGCAAATGCGACCACGGATTCTACAACTCTTGCACGTCCTCCTGTACACCACCATCACCATATTCCGTGAGTTTAATGTTTAGCTTCTCAGTCTAGTTCTGAAAAACGTCTCGCAGCAATCATCGTGACTGTTGTTTTTTGGACTCTACTCGCTTCTTCATCGACTTTTAGTACCCGGTACTCAGGTGTGGGCAGCGTATACTCATACCGGCTGCTGTTGCTCATGACAGGCCATTCCTAGCTTGGTCCAACATATCCCAACATGCCATGAATAGTGGCTTCGCTCTATTTGAGATACTCCTGACGAATGCCGGTCCTAGTCCATGGAGCCACATCGTACCATGTTTTGTCCTTTTTGCGTGTTACCTCGGTGTTGCGTATATAACACATGCAACGCAAGGATTTTACAGTAAGTTTATTTTTACATGGATCACAACATCGCTAACGCCCACCGTTAGCTTACAGTTTCCTTGATCCATCAGTACAGCACGGACTTTTAGCCGCTTACATCGTTGGCATAGGTGTTGGTTACTGTATTCTCTTCACGATCGTGAAGGGTATCTGCACATTGCGATGCCGTTTGGTCTCGCCTTCCCGTTTGGACCCTCCTGAACAAGTACAATCTGAAGCTTTAGGAGAGTGGGAACACATTGATGTCGAACAGACGAAGGAGTCAACTGGATCTGAAGCTTAAGTATCAACACTCCCTTTGTTTATTGTTATCTTCATGGTTTAGACTGAATTGGTTTATTGGCTGCTGGTAGTGGACTTCCCCTGGAACGTTATATCCGTCCTTATACTATAATGTTGATTATGTATCATTATGCGATCCGTCTTCTTCCCCGCGGGGTTGGCTTTCGCACACGGATGGCCCGCTATCCCTTCGGGAACTAGGTGCCGGCGGTACCGACTCACCTGCCAGAACTTGCCACGAGCTCGATTCGCTTAGTATGATCATCGACTTACAGTCACGTACAATGACCATTATCGGTATATTCTGGATGCTGACTATACTGGGGTCTTCCTTTTGCCCACCACGGAAGGCATCCAACCAAGATTCCGTGTTCTCACTGATCAAATCATGGTCGCACGCATGCTTGACGTGTGACTTGCGAGCGCTGAACTCACAGGTTCGAGTTATTTCAAAGCACTACGACACTGATGACCACCCCCTCTTGAACGTGAAATTTAGGTTGGCCTTGATTCTTGCGTCACGAGCATTAACTGATTAGAACGAAGAAAAAGCCGATGATGAAGTATGGTCGCTCTCGGAGCGAAATATGACCCTCGTGATCTCATTGACCTGCTCGTGAGCGGACCGTTGTGGCGGCAAGTAAGTGTGCGCTGTCTCCGCTTTCCAGGATTATTGCAATGACCCTGTGATACGAGTTCCGTTAATCGGATATTTTGCTCAATATAAAATGACCTCACTAAATCCACAAGTCAGTACTTCTGCTCAATGGCGTTCCTACAGGGTGTGAAGCTCGTGTTTGCATTATTGGCACTCGCCACCCCATCCTGGGCAGTTGGTGTCGCGCCTGGTCAGATCAAAAACTTTGTCACTTTTGGTGACTCCTACACCGATTCCTCGTACTACCCCACCGCTGACGGAGGCTATGCCTGGCCAACATGGGCGGCGATGTATGGTGACCTTAATCTCTATGGATTTGCTCGTTCCGGTTGCAACATGCTCGAACCTGCTTACCTACAGACCCTACCCTCCGATCATGGGTGCGTACTATGTGCAAATGGATTGTGAATGTTGTCCTGATCACAGTGACCGCCTAGGTTGGCAAATCCCTGCTTACCTGAATGAGACGAATAATGGCACGCTGGAATTGAACCCGGACGAAACGATATACACCATCTGGATTGGAACCAATGATCTGGGTGCCAACGCGCTGATTACCGGAAGCGATGCCCCCACCACGTCAATTGTTGAGGTCAGGCAATGCGCCATCGACGTCCTGAAGACCTTGTACGAGAGCGGTGCTAGGAACTTCATCATGCAGAATGTGAGTGTGCGAACATTGGGCCACTGTGTCTCGAGCTCACCTCGCGCATACAGATCCTTCCCCTTGACCTGACAATCTTATACTCTAACTACTCGTACCCCAACACGTATTGGAACATGGAACGCAATACAACTGGATGGAACGTGTATATGACGGAGCTGGTGCGTGCAGGGAATGAAATCACATCCCTGATGCTCGACGCGCTTGTGCCCACGCTCCCTGATGCTCATATTGGTCAGTCAACATCACGTCCTGATTCGAGGAAGCAGCTGATACGTAGCAACACAGCATCTTTTGACTCCTACGGGCTTTTCACCGATATGTATAACAACCCTGAGAACTACTTTAATGGCACTGCGCCATACAACGTAACGGGCTGCATACATTCATGTGTGTACACCGTGGACAGCACAGCAGAACCGGCTTGTACAATCACCAATGGTACTGACGCAGACAGTTTCCTATGGTCAGTCCAAAGATCGGTCCCAAAAATAGCTACCTAGAGCTCACCTGTCACTTAGGTACGACGAACTTCACCCATCGCAGCAATCCGATAGAATTGTGGCTAGGGAGATAACCGCAGTGATGCAAGGAGAGTACAACCAGTGGACGACATGGTTGAGCTGAGCTAGTCACATTTGCAGAGTTTCGAGGGTGGTAGATAATGCCTTAGAACAACTGGGGATACCGGAGTGCTTTGATATTGCTTTTGGTTCTTCTCGGTCCGATTTATCATGAGCGATGTCAACTCTATGACCTATTCTTGATTCTTTAAAGTTTTGCGGGGTTCGGCATCACAGTGAAGCCCTTTAGGAATGCTAAATTGGCCCGAAGGCATCATCTGCTAGAACACGAGACTGGACCATATCAAGAAGCACTCATTGGCAGATAAAAAGAAGAGAGACAACCAAATATACCACAAAAGCACGAATTGCGAAGGTTCGTGGGTACGGTAACCAACAGTCCCGCTACATGGCTTTAAATGCTTCGGACTGGCTTGTGTACTCGCCGTTCATCCTCGTCCTGGGGGTAATAGCGCATCGCTTGCGTCGCCAGAATAGACCTCAGTCGCTACCACCTGGTCCACCACCTAAGCCGTTGATAGGAAATTATCTTGACGTCCCCAAGGCGGAGCCATGGAAAACATTCTCGCAATGGAGAAAGCTATATGGTCTGTCCTAAAATACCGTACCTTTGGAGGTGTACTCAATAGTGCAAGCAGGCGACCTCGTATACGTGAAAGTTCTCGGGAACAATATTCTCATCCTGAACGACGAGGGAAGTATGCGCGAGCTTCTTGAGAAGAGATCGCAGAAGTATTCTGATCGACCATCGTTTGTGATGGCAAAATACATGGGGATTGAGAACGTGAGTACATGTAGCAGCGAGCTTTATGGCTGAAAACAAACCGAAATTGGACAGAATCTGTCGTTCGCTCCCTACGGTCCAGATTGGAGGCAAGGACGGAAGCTCATACATGGAACCGTCAACCAGGAAGCCGTCAAGAGGTATCACTCGCTGCAGGAGAATGTTACCGCCAGATTTTTGAGGGATTTAGTGGAATATCCCTCAGAAGTCATGAAGCATCTGCATATGTGAGACCAGCTGCGAATCATCTTCATGTTGCCTGACTTGGTATTACCAAGGGCCACGGCTCATATCATCGCGTCCATAACCTATGGGTTTTCTATCGACACCCCAAGCAATGTGGTGAGTGAAACTTTGGTCATCGGCTCCAATCTTTTTGAACCGAGACACGCAGTACCTCGACGAATTTGCCGAAACGGAGCGAATCGTACTGAAAAGTGTGGTTCCAGGGGCCTATCTGGTTGATATGATTCCTCAATGTAAGGTAGTTTTCATCCTGGCAGACAACTAAGCTGAAGGTGATGTAGTATGGTATCTGCCATCCTGGGTCCCATTTAACAGCATACGGCGAATAGCTGAGAGGGGGCGGCAGCGGGTGTCTGATATCGTGCACCGTCCGATAGAGCAGGTGGAACAGGATATTAAACAAGGAGCATCCCCGGCTTCGTTTGTTTCGGATCATTTAAGGGAAAGTGGAAACGATGAAGTGATAAGGCAGCAGTTGCCTTGGGTAGCGTGGTCAATATATGAAGGTACGTTTTTACCCCATTGACCGAGAAGATGGATGACATGGTTATCTGACTGCAAGCTGGAAATGACACGGTGAATATTCCATAACTCCGTGATATGCATCCATCTGACCATGCCAAAGACAAGTGGAACCATGCTGGTCTTCATGCATGCTATGGCGTGCTTCCCAGAGGTCCAGACCCGCATGCGTGAGGAGATACATAGAGTCGTAGGGACTGACCGCCTGCCATCTTTTGTTGACCGGGAACGGCTGCCATATATCAATGCGGCAATTAAGGAGGTGTACCGCTGGAACCCCAACACACCTTTGGGCGCACCAAGGAAATTACAAGATGCGGATGTCTACAGAGGTTTTTTTCAATCATGAGCGGCGAGGAACACTTCTTGACCTCTTGAGCAGGGTACTACATACCGAAAGACACCATTATTATGCCTAATGTCTGGTGAGTAGGAAAAACGTACCCACGAAATGGGCTTATCCTGTAATATAGGTTACTCAGCCGGGACCAGGACAGTGGCATAGATCCAGAAGCATTTTCTCCAGAACGCTTTCTTGATATCCACGTGGATAAAACGGCAATTGATCCTTACAGTTATGCATTTGGCTTTGGCAGGAGGCAAGTGTGCGTCATAACATCTAATGAAACCTGTTAACACCCGCGCCCAGGATGTGCCCAGGGCGCTTTTTAGCAGATAATTCTGTGTTCATGCTTATAACCGGTATGGTGGCGACAGTACGGATTTCGAAACCCAAGGATAGCTATGGCGTAGAAAAACCATTTAATCCTCCGTATATATCTGCAGGTCTGGTCAGGTGCGTCCCAACGAATAATAAACAGAAGGAGCACTCACGTGTTAGCCGATCAAGTTTTCCATATCCATTCGAAGTCGACATCGAACCGGTATCGGACAAAGCAGTGGCGATCGTGAAAGGTAGAACGACGAGTATTGATTGAACATTCGTGTATGTATGGGGAGCACCAAGGCTCTAATGCTGCAACGTACGAGACCAGTCCTGTTGATGACGTAGCAGCATATAGGTGTCACGAACTTACGACAATTCTTGATTTTGACATATGCCCATTCACAATTGCATATTCTAAATCGCGATGTCCCAAAGATGTCGAGGAGCCGTATTACGAAATATCCCGCCACTCATCGAGCGGGCGGCGCTTCTAGAAGTGCAGCAGATTGATTGTGCGCTGTCCCAGCCTCTTCTACTCGTGTTGAGTGGGGCACGACTCGACTCGGACCTGATGATACATCCCGAACCCAGTATATGCCGCGGAGCACGCGTGATTGGACTGAGTGAGGACATGGCAGGGAGACCTCTCGAGTCCATGCTGTACAGGGCCTATGTTATCGGGGACCTCCAGGATGCTCCCTGCTGGTCTGATATCCAGAGTGATGAAGTGCTTCCGTACAGGCTGAGAAGGGTTGAGAATGAGAAACTGCTAGCTGCGAGAGTTGAATGTTTCGAAAATCGCAGAGATGGGGCGGGTCGACATTATAGAGCTACGCAGTCAGTGAGATGAGACGAGCGAAAGTCAATCCCAGAAATGCAGCTATTGTAGACGCTTGAAACGCGTTCACTGAGACGAGAAGGCCTGGTAAAGAGGAAGGTGCCGGGGATAGGGATAGCACCGTATCATGAGGTGTATCGCAGAATTGCATGGCGTTTTGAGGACAGGGACCAAAGTATTCCAGTCAGCTGAAGATGTACGCAAATGAATTCGTGACACGTTAAACTTCTTGAGACTTCTGTACATATTTTGATTAGCAGTACCACAGTCGTTGTGTGAGTACTGGATGAATCATTTCTGCGTTGATTGTAGGCTACGATGAGCGCGTGAACTTGTTTTGGTAGATTTCGCAAAGTTTGAGTCGACAAAATACCCTGGATAGCGGTGCACCATGCCAGCTGGTCGACATCATAAGACCAGATCTCGTACCATATCACCAAGGCTTGGTCTTTGAAAAAAGGATTCGGGAGGCCAAAATAAGCTGCTCAACTCCCATTTTCCAGGGTTTGCATGGAGCCAGTCACACAGGCAATCCTGATAGCGAGAGTCGAAGACTAAGCTAGAGTTGATCATCGTTTGGTGAACAATCAGTTGTTCGCTCATCTGATAGTGCTCGTGCAGGAAGTCAGGCTATCATATCCAGTGTGTACTGTTACAGTGTAGCCGACATTAAACGAGTTCTCCAATCTAGCTTCACGTTCGCCACCTCAGCGCACTCCCCACTAAAAAACCTTGGTCGAGCGTCAGCGGATAACAAGAGTTAAAACAAATATCTCACAAACTCCCAGCCCACCCATGATCCTTTTGCCAACTATACTCCCCGGTGTACTGGGGCGGGCCATTCTCAGTGCATAGATGCCAGTGGCAGCGAACGCGCCGCTTCCTATGACGCGACAAGTCATGCAGTCATTGTAAGATGAAGGCTGAGGGACGAAGGTGGAGCCAGAGTCAGGCGCTGCAGAATTGGTTGTGTTTGATTCAGACGCGTTCATGCCCCTCTAGTTGCGGAAGAAAAGTAAGTCTGGACTGTAGTTGCCTCTTTACAATATTTGGGTGTCACGGAAGGACCCCGAAAACAGGATGGGTATCAAATAATTTATGATTTAGAAAAGAGCGTGTTACTACTAGTACATGCATGAAAGAGTGTACATCTTAGCCTTTAGACAACATCGTAAAGTGCTTTTAAGTGAAAGATGATCGATAGATATATATAACGAGGGGAGGTTTTACAAACGACGAGCACAAGCTAATATTGCCTGTATGCATAACCGAGCATCTCCGAAGGGCGTCTTTGCATGAATTCGGGGCACATGCAGCCCTCAGTCCACCCATTGGCCGTCGTCACGGGTTCGCTAAACATGGTAAAGTCGTCCTCACTATCCACCGGGTCATAGAAGACCAACGACGGGTCTTGGCTGTGAGGGTGTGATTGGTAGGACGAAGCAGAGGGCTGGGACGATGGAGTCCTGTCTGATGCGGAGGGGGCAGCGACACGACCGCCGCCGCGTCCGCTGCGCGGAAGAGGAACATATCCATGTTTTGTTTTGCGATGGCGCGTCAAGGCAGAAGGATCGTGGGTCCTAAAGGTGCAATCATGAGGGCAACCATAGCGTTGCTCGCCGGTACTAAATTTGGTAATCAGATGAACTCATTGATGATAACGCACGAGCACATACTGTTTAGCGGAGTGGACATCGAAGCTTCTTTTTATCAGCGTCGCAAAGTCACATCCCGGAAAGGTGCAGGTGTACACGCTGGATGCAGGCTCATGTGAGTGACCAGTCTAGCATGTAGGATAAACACGTACTTTTCTGCATGCCTAGCCTCATGTCTCTTGAATTCCGTGAACTTGGTGAAAGTTTCGCCGCACTTCTCCTGAGAGCAAACATAGACCTACACATTTTCAGATTCAGTCCTAGTGCATAAAGTATGCTCGTGATTAGGCTCACCTTGGTAGGAGACATTTGAAAGTTGATTATAGAGGGTGCTGCTTGATTCTGTCTTCGGTGAATGCCTGATTCTCCTTGGGGTGATGATGATACCAGGTAGGCATTCGGGCTGGACTATATACGATTCCCAGAGGTGGAAATGACATTGTGCTTTGCGGTGGACAGACGCTTGTGGGGTCCATACAACAACGCTTTGTTGGTGGACTAGTGGACGCGAGCCACGACAAAGCACGAATGCATTGTTAAAGCTTCCACACCCGCTCGAAGGCTTCATTATCCGTTATACGCAATGCTACGAAGATAATTACATTAGCAATCACTGATCAATGGCAGGCGTGACATATATGGATGCCTGTGGTCCCATCTTGGTGGACGATAAGTGGACTCAGTCGCGCAGATGACAACTAGCACGTCATGGGTCCAGCATCGAGTGGACACCGGGGTCGCGGTTTATGCTAGAGATGTATCGATGGATGTTATCATTGTTATGTAACTCGACGTACAGAATTGAGTAAAGAACTGACGATGACACCGAGTTTCAAGATGTCGAACTAGTTTCTTGACACCGACATCCTGGTTTTCGATACTTTTGTCGTAGGGACCCGCCCGCAATCTGTGCAATAAGGTCTAGATATCTTATGCAGAACTTATTTATAATTATGGACATAATGATTTGTGCATTAGATATCTAGGCCGCCGTCATTGATGGTATTGAAGAATGTAGACGAGAGCAGATTCAATCGTTGACTCAAGCTCAAGCTCAAGAGTCGCACAGCCTTGAGTTTCACACGCAAAATAAGTACCAAGATGATAATGTCAAGTTGGGCTTCTCATTGGATCTCACTGGACGAGCGTCAAAAGAACTTGCTACACATATCATTTTACCTTGAAGCACTCGATTACGCCCCGTGCAGATCCTGCAAAGCTTACGACTCACCACACCCCCCCACCGCTAGATGCTAAAAGAATCCATGCAGACATGCAGAGCTGAGGATCGAAAGACTCGGAGGGGCATATTTTATGGATAGCGCCTGCGGAAACCAGTGTCCTACGCTGTAGCACCACATAAGCCTCTTCAAGTCAGTTGATTGGGACGCTGCTGACTCAGTCGTGCATACTTTCCACAACGTCGACATTGAAGGGTCCTCGTGCAGGTCCTGTAAAGACTGCCGTGCATCATACTCCGCCGCCAGACCTGCTAGAGAATACATACAGACTCCAGAGGCAGAGGAGAGTGCAAGCACAATGGGAAAATACAAAAAAAAAACGAAAACATTCAGGAAATGTCAGTACTAGTGTTATTGTATCACAAGTACTGAGTACTGAACGTTTAATGAATCATAAATTCCAATATTTGTTCGAACAAGCAATTGCAAGGTGAAAATCGGCAACGCTGATCCCTAGTTATACATTTACTCCGAATATTGACAATTCAGTGGCAGTATCGTCGACCTTCACTTCTGGGCACAGTAACCAGTCTATATTTCATTCAGTAAATCTTCGACACCGACCTCAGTGTAAGTAATCTCAGCTGCAGCTCTCCTAGTACTTGAAACTGACCAGTAATATCCAGGAATCGGATTGGCCACTATTCCGAGATATCTAGATCCTTCCTATCTCTTCCCTCCGAGGCATCATCATCATCACGGTGCTAGTACTCATCACCGCCGCTTACCTCGTTCCTCTTCTCGCTCCCGTCTATTGGACTCAGATATCACGTCCGTGCACCTTGCTCCCCTCCTCGTTAACCACCCCACTCACTCAGCCTCAATTGTACCAATAAACTGTTGCTTTCCCTCCATGTAGTACTGTCGTCGATTATTCAGCGTGTTCCGAGGCGTAACCTGCTTACAGTGGACTCCTCAGTGGATGCCGGTGATGTTTGGGACAAAAATGGACTCTATACGTCGAAGCACTCTCATGCAACCCATGACCATAAGTCACGATGCCACATCTATTTCATATCGCTTATCTAGTCCTCCTGTCTTCGAAAACCCGTACTTATCTACCTGCCTTAGCAGCCCCCCTCACCAGTCTTGTGTACTCTCCTCCAAGATATGCCCAGTTTAACTCTGCCGGAATGTGCACACTACACCCCCCCTCCAGAAACAAAGGAGGACTGTGAGAGTGTGTCCGATCAATGCAATACATTTGTCTAACGGCTCTCCGTCTAGTGGAATTTGCGGACCTTCCCATCATCGACCTTTCCAAAGCCCATACACCCGAAGGACGCGCACAGCTCTATCCGCAGCTTCGAGATGCACTACGCACCCATGGCTTTCTCTACGCCATCAATCATGGTTATACCCAAGCTCAGGTACGCCTCGTTCTCGTCACTCATGTTCAAAGGTCTCTGAATCAATGTTGTAGCGTGACAGGATCTTTGACCTAGCTGGTGTTCCTTTCAATGACGTCTCTCCAGATGAAAAGAAGACATACACTGCCGATGTCGAGAAAGTCGGGTACTATGCAGGCTATAAACCTCGTCAATTCTGGGTGCGTCGTATTCCACAAGGGACAACATTTTCGAAGCTGATTGCTCTCATTCAGAAAGTCGACACGGATAATCAAATTCTCGATCAGATCGAGCACTATGCAAGTACGTATTACAAATACTCGTGTGATCGATGCTTTTTATGCTTCGACAGTAAACCTCAATGTCGCGAAGCGTCCCCATCCCACGGTCTTGCGCTCCTTCCTTCCAGAACTCGATGATTTTGCTCGCCATAATCACTTCAATATCCTCCACCCGATCCTTCGGTCAGTTCTGTCGCGAGTCCCTTGTTGACGTCTTAGCTTATGAACGCTATCATACAGCTTGATTGCATTGAGCCTCGAGCTGCCCGAGGAAACTTTGGTGGAAAAACACAACTTTGACCGAACGGGAGAAACCTCTGGTTGGTCTTTCTTCTTCTGTATCCAGTCCTAGATTGTTGAGTATATTCGCAGTCAGGTTCATGAAATAGTAAAGGCCCTTTCTTCCCAACTGCTTCTTAACTTATGGACTCCCGCCAAGCTATAGGCGCTCAAATGACGAAGAAGAGAAATCAAAGAATGTCTGGTTGAAGGGACACACAGGTACATTTGATGCATTTTTTACTTCACACTCGTCTCCTGAATCGCGCAGACATTGGCAGCATCACCATTCTATGGAGTCAACCTATCGGGGGGCTGCAAATTATGGCTCCCGACGGGAAATGGAAATGGGTCAGACACATTGACAACGGTTTGGTACGCCCGTAAAACACTATCATGATATCTGCGAACCTGATATTCTGCCATAGGTTATCAATACAGGTGACATGATGACATTCTTCACAGGTGGATACTACAAGCCTACGATCCACCGTGTCATCCAGCCCCCCTCGGACCAACGCGCCTACGACCGTCTGGGTGCATACTACTTCGCGATGCCAGATAACGACGTTCGTTTGTTGCCGTGTGCTGAAAGTCCTGTATTAAGGCGCGTTGGTATCGAGCGTCAGTGTCTTGATGAGGATTCGCCATTGTGCGAGACATGGAGAAAGGGAAGGACGACGGCGTACGGGAGGTCTGATCTTAAGAAGGGGGTGGAACGTGGTGTTGAGGAGGAGGTTATCGAGGGGATTGTGGTGAAACATTATAATTGAGTACTGAAGAGCGGCAGAATGTTCATGTGTTATTGTTATGATTGGCTGACTTTTTGTATGGTTTAGTAGCAATATAGATTTCACAGCTGCGTGGACGTCATTCGCACACGAGGTTCTTTGTCAAATATAGCTGTATGCGCTCCACTGTGCTCTCACGAACAATTAATAGGACGGCGGCCAGGTGTGGAGATGAACAGCGATCTCGTGATAGCGCGCCCGTTTCCTTCCTCAGTGCCGCATGAAGACTCCGTGCTATGGGGTGCTCTACGCACGTAGTCCGTCCAGCAGTGTCAATGGCACAGCGTGGATAGGAGCAAGGCTCGGAGGACGGCTGATGAGAGACGTTGTCAGTAGGCTAGGACTCATAACTTTAGGAGACAGGTAAATGCACCCCGAGCAATGATTCAAGTTTCAAAATTTCCAATGCAAACTCACTGCAGTCCGTTGTATCTTTTCAGCGCCAGAACATGCTTTCGAAAGTTATTGGTGTTCCCTCTGAATCTGTACATTCGCCTGGTATCACGGTCGCGAGCTTTCCGGTCGTTTCAACCAGTTGGTCTGAGCATCGAACTTCAAGTACAGTCCTTGTCGGTACAACAGCAGAAAACAACGGAACATCATAGAACTAGATAGACGACTGATGTGGCATGGCAGTTTGAGTGGAAACTTCAAGAAAGCGGTCATGCTGTCATATTCCCACGGATTTCTTGGCCAGTCGCCGACAGCGAGCGCAGCTGTGACTGCCACGTCTGCTATATCATCCACTGTATACTGGCTAGGCAACACCGAGCATGATGCTGGGAGGGTCGAATGGTACGCCGTGGTTCAGGGCATCAAAGCTGGAAATGCTCGTACAAAGTGCCTGCGATCCGACACTCCATGAGCCCAACTACGCCATTCACCTTGAGATCGCTGAATTAATCAACACCAAGAAAGCTAATACGTCTGTTAATCCTGCTCTTGCAATCTCTAATTCTGACATTGAATTAGCCCTCGCGAAGCAGCGATGCTCATAGCACATCTATCAAACCACCGAAACCCGCATATCGCCATCCTTGCACTCGCGCTTCTCGATACCGTCGTCCAATCGTGCGGCTACCCATTTCACCTCCAGATTTCAACCAAAGAATTCCTGAACGAGCTCGTTCGTCGATTCCCTGAACGCCCACCTCCTTTCCCTGGTCCAGTCATGTCACGGATTCTAGAGCTCATCCATCGATGGAAGGAGGGTATCTGCTCTGATTCCCGCTGGAAAGAGGACTTGGGGAATATCAAGGATATGCACCGGCTTCTTACATTCAAAGGGTACCGCTTTAGGGAGATTCCCCGCCGCGTGGAAGCGCCCCCGACGATGGTGAGTTCGTCTGTGGCTCATGTCTATCTCATGCGTTCATATGACGGTGTAGAATATTAAATCTGCCGACGAGCTTGAGTCGGAAGATCGAGAAGCACAATCTGCTAAACTCCAGGAACTTATCCGGAGAGGTACCCCGCGGGATCTGGTAGCCGCGCAAGAACTCATGAAGTCCCTCGCTGGCGCGAACCCGGAAGCAAAACCCGACTACCGCTCTCAAGCCATGACAGAGCTCAATAAGCTCGAGAGTAAAGTCATTCTACTCAATGAGATGCTCGATAAGTCGATACTACACAAGGGGAGAAGTTCGCATCGGGAGGACGCGTATGACGTGTGTCGATATTCTACTTGGAAAGTTGTATAAATTTCTCACTCGTTGTAACAGCAAGTCGCATCGATATTGAAGTCTGCCCGTCCGAAGCTCCAGAAATGGGTCTCGGACGCAGAAACAGACGACCCTGAGTCGTTAGGTACGTCCCGGTTTTCTTATTCTCCGGCATAGTTCTTATATGCTACTCAGACGCCTTCCTCCAAATCAACGACCGAATCAACAACGTCGTCACCCGCTTCGAGGGCCTTCAAGAAAGGCGACTACAGCATATCCGCCGTCCCAGCTGAACTCGCACAAACGAGGGTCCCTCATTAATTTCGATGATACCTCGCATCATCATCACAAGTCGCACCAGTAGCTGATCTAGCTTCATTATTTGCCTCGCCGCCACAACCCCAATCTTATGCCCGACCATAAGTGCTAGCGCAATGTTCGCCTCACAACTCAGCGCCTCCTTGACGAACAACGCTTCTCTTCCTCTACTTCATCACCGTTCCGAATACCCCATCGCCACAGCCCCAGTTCGGGTCTATCATGCTCGCGCCTACCCCACACGCGGATAACGTCACCCAGTTATTTCGGGGGTAATAACGGAGGGTACGAGCCCTCGAATTCAAGCTCGTCGTTTGGAAGGGGTCCTCATGGATTGGGTATGAGTAGGCCACCAGCGACAGGCATGAGCACGGTTTGCAAAATGGAGGTTTGGGTATTCCTATGAGCACACCGGGATCAAGGGTGAGTATGGGCGCGATGATGGGGCAGACCGCAACCTACTTCGACGCCACCGACGCAGCAGGGGAAGGATCCGTTTTGCAGATCTGGCGGGGTTGTTTTAGGTACCTGTCGTGTGTGTGCTTGTGCTTTACATGGGGTGGGGTGATCGATACTCGAATCCGGATGTTGTGCGGGTTTTGGATCTTGTTATTCTCGGAGGCAAATATAACTTGGACTGAAATAGTATTTATTGCTCGACGTCTACAGAACGATGACTGCTTGCTGGTAATTTTGCAATGTTGAGAGTTATAGTGTTCCCGAACCTCAAACTTGGTATTTATTTTGCGTGTGAAACTTGCAAGGCTGTGCATGTGCGACTCTTTAAGCTTGAGTCAACGATTCGGCCTGTTCTGTTCTCGTCTACATTCTTCAATACCATCAATGACGGTGGCCTAAATATCTAATGCACAAATCGTTATGTCCATAATAAATTTTGCATAAGATATTTAGACCTTATTGCACAAATTGCGGGCGGTTCCCCATGACAAAGGCATAGGCGTCGAAAACTACGGGTGTCCGGTGTCAAGAAACTAGTTCGACATCTTGAAACTCGATATCATTGTCAATTCTTTACTCAACCATATACGTCGAGTTGACCTCCATCGATGCATCTCTAGCATAATCCGTGACCCCGGTGTCCACTCGATGCGGATCCACGACGTACTAGTTTTCCCCTGGGTGGCTGAGCTCAATCCTTATCGTCCACCAAGATGGGGCCACAGTCATCCACATATGTCACGTCTGCCATTGATCAGTGTTTGCTAATGGAATTCTCTTCGTAGCATTGCGTATAACGGATAATGAAGCCTTCGAGCGGATGTGGAAGCTTTAACAATGCATTCGTGCTTTGTCGTGGCTCGCGTCCACTAGTCCACCAACAAAGCGTTGTTGTATGGACCCCACAAGCGTCTGTCCACCGCAAAGCACAATGTCATTTCCACCTCTGGGAATCGTATATAGTCCAGCCCGAATGCCTACCTGGTATCATCATCACCCCAAGGAGAATCAGGCATTCACCGAAGACAGAATCAAGCAGCACCCTCTATAATCAACTTTCAAATGTCTCCTACCAAGGTGAGCCTAATCACGAGCATACTTTATGCACTAGGACTGAATCTGAAAATGTGTAGGTCTATGTTTGCTCTCAGGAGAAGTGCGGCGAAACTTTCACCAAGTTCACGGAATTCAAGAGACATGAGGCTAGGCATGCAGAAAAGTACGTGTTTATCCTACATGCTAGACTGGTCACTCACATGAGCCTGCATCCAGCGTGTACACCTGCACCTTTCCGGGATGTGACTTTGCGACGCTGATAAAAAGAAGCTTCGATGTCCACTCCGCTAAACAGTATGTGCTCGTGCGTTATCATCAATGAGTTCATCTGATTACCAAATTTAGTACCGGCGAGCAACGCTATGGTTGCCCTCATGATTGCACCTTTAGGACCCACGATCCTTCTGCCTTGACGCGCCATCGCAAAACAAAACATGGATATGTTCCTCTTCCGCGCAGCGGACGCGGCGGCGGTCGTTCGCTGCCCCCTCCGCATCAGACAGGACCCCATCGTCCCAGCCCTCTGCTTCGTCCTACCAATCACACCCTCACAGCCAAGACCCGTCGTTGGTCTTCTATGACCCGGTGGATAGTGAGGACGACTTTACCATGTTAGCGAACCCGTGACGACGGCCAATGGGTGGACTGAGGGCTGCATGTGCCCCGAATTCATGCAAAGACGCCTTCGGAGATGTTGGTTATGCATATAGGCAATATTA